GAGGGGGGAGTTGGAATTTTTGTGAGAGAAAACACTGGAGCAAAAACTTGAGTTGTGATTCGAACCAACAAAATGACCGGGGCCTTAACTTTTGAATCAAATTATTTTATTATTATTTTATGTTTGAAGAAGCAATTTAATTCTAGGTGCAGTAAGTTTGACGCCTTATTGTTTGTATCAGTTCTGGATAACTGCATTATCAACTTGTCATTACAATTTTTTTTTCCTTCATCATTGTTTCCTCTAAATTTTCTTGACATAAAGGGGTTTTCTTGTCATCTCTTCCAGACTATTGCTGTTGTAGCTGTTGTTCCACATGGAGTTGTTCAGCTTGGTTCTTTTAATGAAGTAAGTTTTTACTTCTCATACATAGTTTCAAGTCGTGTATGATTATTAATTGTATATCTCCATTTTGGTTTACGATATGTTTAATATTTTGGGTCATAATCTGTAACTTTGATTGTGTATTAATTTTTGTTGTTCCTTTCTCCATGAGGAGCAGGTCCTTGAAGATATGGAGCTGGTTAATCATATTAGAGATGTCTTTATGTCTCTTCAAGATTCTTTAGTGGGACACGTTCCTGTTCCAATACAATCTAGTGTGAATAGTTCAGTAAATTTGGTAATTCTCTCTCTCTCTCTCTCTCTCTCTCTCTCTCTCTCTCTCTCTCTCTCTCTCTCTCTCTCTCTCTCTCTCTCTCTCTGTGGTGTGCCCTTCTATCCCGAATGATTTGCATACCTGCTTGCTAGGCACAAATTGAAGTATGTTTGTTATTTCTATTTTTTCTTTATGATAAAACAGAAGTACATGAAGCATTATATTGATGCAAAGTATCTTCTTTTCAGCAAGACATACCTTCAAAAAGTTTCACTTCAGAGACTGTTCCTGATTGCTTGCACAATTTAGACAAAACCTTAAACGGAGAAGGGCCAGATATTTGGTTTTCCATTTTTCCATATGTAGGGAAAGACGGTGATAGTCCTTACGTTTTATCACTGCCTAATAATTATCAAGAAAAGGCAGTTGATGTTGTCAATAAGCATGGAGGACTTGAGTTTTCCACAAATGGGACTGATGAAAGTGCCAAGTTACTTCAATCGAGAACAAACATCCTTGAGCATGAAAATCACAAAGTGATAGGAATGAACCTGCGTGATAACTGGAAGTGTGCAGGAGAGATCGACAGTTGCAAAGATGCTGCAGTGGGTCCAGTCAACAATGGTAATCCATTCCTGTGCGGTTCTGTTATGGGTGATGTTAATTTACCTAGCATTGTACTTCCAGCTGAAAAGGTTGAAGTTGATTCTGCGCACTTCTCTTCAGGCCTTGTTGGCTCTGCTGTTTGTGACAGAGTTAGGTTGGACAGTGTAGACTATTACCAAAATGGAGTGTTGCACGTAAGTGGACCCTCTAATACTAAGTTTCAGAAAGATCCGGATAATCTGGAGTTTCAAACTGAGTTAAGCCACATTGACACATCTAGCACATCTTTGAAGTTCCCTGCTGGCTATGAGCTCCATGAAGCACTTGGACCAGCTTTTCTGAAAAATAGCAAGTATTTTGATTGGGAGGCAACGGAAACTGAAGGAACAGCTCTAGAGATGCCTGAGCAAATGAGCAGTAGGCAGTTGGCTGCTGACTCCCATCCCGAACATCTTCTAGAAGCAGTAATTGCTAATGTTTGCCAAAGTCATAGTGATGTTAAGAGTGAAAAATCGTTTTGTAAATCAGTGCAGTCTCTGTTGTCAACTGAAAAATATCCTAAGCCTTCAAGCCATACAACTTTAATTACTGATTCATCAAATCATTCAATTGGTCAACCCTCGGTTAAAGGAGAGGACAAACAGCATTGCTTGAGCTCATCAGGTATTTGTGGCGTGATGTCCCCGAAAGGGTTTTCATCAACTTGTCCAAGTGCTAGTAGTGAGCAGCTTGAGAGGTCTTCGGTACACAACAAGAACAATAAAAAGAGGGCCAGACCTGGTGAAAATTGCAGACCTAGGCCAAGGGACAGACAACTGATACAAGATCGTATTAAGGAACTAAGGGAGCTAATACCTAATGGAGCAAAGGTGAATTCATATCATCCTTATTTTTTGACAAGTTCTAGACTTTTACAAGTTGCAGTACAGTTCATATTCATGCAATAGTTTTGCATTGACGTGTGTTAAAATTTCATGATACTTGTTCAGTGCAGTATTGATTCGCTATTGGAGCGCACGATCAAGCACATGCTATATCTGCAAAGTATAGCTAAGCATGCTGACAAGCTAAACAAATATGCTGATACAAAGGTATATAGCAAGGCATATTATAGGCTTACCAAAGTTTAGAAGCAGCTTAATCAATTTCCATTGGAGCTGAATATGCTCATTTTAATATACCTTTTTTCTAAGTTAATATAGTTTACATCTAGCTGTTTTTGGCCTTAGGCTTCCACGCAGACTTGATTTTATCACTATGGGCAGAAAGTCATTTTTATATCTTGGGGGATTAAGTATGATCCTGTCCTTTTCTTTTGATTCTGCTGCGAAATTTGTCAGTTTTCAATATGATGTCTAGTACTGCATCTTTACTCTTGGCAACGTTTGTTGCTTAGTATGAAATTGCTCTATGTTTATTATTGTTGATTTTGATTCTATTTAATTTATACTGCTGAATATGTAGTTGTGTCACAAGGAAACAAGCATGCTAGAATCCTCAACCTATGAACGGGGTTCAAGTTGGGCAGTGGAGGTGGGAGGCAATCTGAAAGTTTGTTCAATCGTAGTGGAGAATCTGAACAAGAGTGGGCAGATGGTTGTAGAGGTATGTATGAATCTTATATGTATATCGTGGATATTCCTTTTAAATATCTGATGATATCTTACAATAAAGTTGAATTGCAAGGTTAAACATATGAATGCCTGATAGAGAATGTGCAGAACAGTGAGCTTGGCTATTAATAACAGACTTCTCTCCTTATTTGATGATATTCCTTTTAAATCTCTGATGATATCATACTCAGTATTGCAAGTATTTTGGCTGATTTGTGCAGATGATGTGTGAGGAATGCAGCCATTTTCTTGAGATAGCCGAAGCTATCAAAAGCTTGGGTCTTACAATCTTAAAAGGAGTAACAGAAGCCCATGGTGAGAAGACATGGATATGTTTTGTGGTTGAGGTAGGATCTCAAGGTTCTGAATCTTTTGTTATGAGATTTGTTATCTTTTCAAATTTAAATATTTTTTCCAAGTATTAATTTCAAAAAGGCCAGTTTCATGTTAAAGCAGATTTCAGTTGTACAAAATATCATGGGGGTTTATTCAAAAAAAAAAGAAAAAGAAAAAAGAAAAAAGAAAGTCATGGTGGATAACTTGAAAGGGCCTGATTACTCATTGTAATTACTTCTTAAATGGATGGCATGTATAATCATGTCTAAGAACCACAAAAGCCTTTGAATTTCTTCATGCTTCACATCTTGATGCAGCAGGAGACAAAGCTAAATTAATAAGCTAGAACAAACGACAATGAAAATATAAAAACAATTACTTATGCCTAAATCTCCCCACATCAGGCCCTGAACCTAGAAAGTATCTAGTTTGTCATTTAGGTACTAACCATGAACTAAACCTGAATTCTGAATATCTGCAGGGACAGAGCAACAGAAGCTTGCACAGAATGGATATCCTGTGGTCCCTTGTTCAAATATTGCAGCCTAAAAATGCCATCTAACGGCAACAGTTGGTTTTCCTCCCGGAGATTGTCATGCGGCCTTTTCTTTTCCGCCTCTATTTGTGTGCTGTGTAAAATCATTGTGGATTTGTTTACATTTTTCTTTAGTTTGAAGATGCCTTTTATCTATTTCTTCTGCCTCTTGCTTTCTCCTTGAAATGTGACAATCGTTTGTGTGCGAGTTTGAAATTGCAGTGTCAAAGTTGTAACGAATATCTCATTATGTTCGTGCTGCCAGCCCCCGAAGGTTTTTGACGCTTTGTTATGTAGATTAAAGTTCTGGTGTGGCTGGCTTTATGTAGTGTTGGGTTTTGTTAGATATGAATGAGAGAATTACTAGACATTTTCAAAGAAAAACTTGCAGCCTCTGATAAAGTCGAAAAGAATACGAGTAGGACTCCCCCACCTTGTTCATGAGATTTGTCAGATTATTGCTTCTAAGTGAGAAAATCACCGTAAATGTAATTCAACTGAGATTTTCGTTCTTGGTAAAAGTAATTCAACCGAGTTACTATACACCAGATGGTCATTGCCGCGGCCCCATGAGAGCTCTGCCACGTGAGCTATAGGGGCAAGCCATCTCACCAACAGACGCATCTAGTGTACCATGTTTGACCGGTATTTCTCGGTTTTCCTCTGTCGTGGGCTCCTCTGGAGAATGACTCTAGTTCTCCACCAGTTTTGTGCAGGGGGGGCCAGTGGCCTAGCCCTTCAATTCGGTGACACTGAAGTATGTCCTGCACTTACCACTGGAATCGTCCCATCCAGCCATCCTGTGCGTTCATGCATGTCCCATTGCTCCTCAGCCCATAAATTGGGAAGTGACAACATCTGTAAATTAAACAGTTAAGATCGATCAGAGAGTCAACAATTGACGTTGACATAGGCTCGACTTAAAAGGCTTATTTGTACGGATGTCCTTTTAAGTTTGTGCGTTTGACAATTTAGAGCTTGTTCATTATACCCAACTTAAAAAAAAATTTGAATTTAAATTATAATTTTATTCAAGTTCATGTTTTTTTTATAAAATTTGAGTTTGAACTTGAGTTTTAACTTAAGTTTGGAATTAAAATCATAAGTTAAGTTTCTCCTTCAACTCAAATTTGTAAACTCAAACTCAAGTTAATAAATAATATTTTTTTATTTTTAAAAAGATTATAACTTTTTCGTTTTAATTCCGATTAAGATGATTTTTTTATACGTTCACAACGAAAAGACAAATAAAACTCTACAAATATACCTTATTAAAATTTTTCATTATTATTGAGTTTTTATTAAAATACTATCTAAATACAAATTTAAGTTTTGACCCACCCAAATAAAAACTCAAAAAGATTCTTATCTTAAACCATAACTCAAATGTACACAACTAAACATAAACTCAAGTTACAATTTCAACTCAAATCATGAGTTAAATTCAACTCAAAATTTACACTCAAATCACTATAACTTAGAAATGCAACTGAATAAGCTTATAAAGTTTCTAAACTTTGAATCTTGGCATTGACCCCATAACATGTCCAATTGCTAACACCGTTAGAAAAATAGACAGAATTCTCACGCGTCTATCACGTGCACAATTAATCAGGACTAAATTGTATTTTACTGATATATTTTAAACGAAAAAAAAAGTGAAATCAACAACTCACACGCAAATCTCTCTCTCTCTCTCTGATCTTCCGCTCTCTTCTTAGATTACAGAAGAATAAAAAAAAACGGAATAATTCAATGATTGAAGAAAAAAACCAAACACATCATATAATTAATCTCATCGTCACCATTTTTATAACCAGCATGAGAGCATAATCGGTAATATACATCATCACCACTGCCACCATAACCTCATATTTATCAAGAATCATTTAATTTGCTTCGCTAATTTAAGTTTTTAATTTAAATTAAAATGTAATTTTAAGTGAAATTTTTTTTACTGTAGTAAAAAAATTAAATACGACTATTAATTCGAATTCTAAACTTAAATAAATGAGATGAACGAGACCTAAGGGTGTGTTTAGTTGGGAGGAATGGAAAGAAATGAAAGGAATCAAGGCTCATTCTCATGTTTGGTTAGTTTTAAGAAAAAGAATGATCATTCAAAATGGAATGACTTTTCCATCAAATTGGTGAATCATCATTCCTTCCTCATATGAGATGAATGCCCATTATAAGTTCTTTTAATTTTCTTTTCCATCATTACCCTTAAATATTATAATTATTATATTAATATTTATAATATAATTAATATTATATTAGAATAATTTATATAATGTAATTATATCTTATAACATATAATATAATATATTATATTATATTCTAATGATAAATATAATTATAATAATTATTATTAATTACAACATCACAACTATATATTATATTATATTCTAATGATAAATATAATTATAATAATTATTATTAATTACAACATCACAACTATATATTATATTATATTCTAATGATAAATATAATTATAATAATTATTATTAATTACAACATCACAACTATATATTATATTATATTCTAATGATAAATATAATTATAATAATTATTATTAATTACAACATCACAACTATATATTATATTATATTCTAATGATAAATATAATTATAATAATTATTATTAATTACAACATCACAACTATATATTATATTATATTCTAATGATAAATATAATTATAATAATTATTATTAATTACAACATCACAACTATATATTATATTATATTCTAATGATAAATATAATTATAATAATTATTATTAATTACAACATCACAACTATATATTATATTATATTCTAATGATATTCACAAATTTTTATTATAACTATCATATTATTAATGAAAACATCACATCTATATCATATAATATAATATAATTGTGATATTGTAATTAATAATTATAATAATAAATAATTATAATTATATATATTATACCCTTATAATTTTACATATACAATATTAGTTATTAAATGATTATATTAATATATATATGGTATTAATTATATTAACATGAGGAATAATTTTGTTAACATGAAAATATTTATATCCTATTCTATTATATTTGTAAAAATAAAACTAAATAAATAAATTATCTTTTATTTTCATTTTATTTCATTACCATTCTTATTACCATTCATATTACCATTCCTCTATTACAGCCAAACGCACCCTAAATGTCACTAAAACAAGAGACGAGAAACAACAAAGACCCTTTCTTTTTCTCCAGAGGCTTCCCCAAACAATAGAAATAAAAAAAAAAACACAATGAAATCATATATAGATTTCCATCAATACGGTAACATTTGGACGAAACCGTCGATCAATCGGCGACCAAGAACGAAACTTTCACTTCTTATGGCTGCCGCGAACGCCAGGCGAGACTTCGAGGGGTCGGCGACATGGGTGGGATGGAGATTGAAGAGCTTGGCCTCCTCGAAAGAGACATTGGGGTTTTTCTAGTGGAGGAATCGGACGGGGGGTGGTGAAGAGGAAAGCGAGGAAAAACCCAGATAAGAATTAAAAATCCTAATTGAAGCTTGATGGAGATTGAGTAATCGTGAAATTCTAATGCTGAATAAGAAAAAGAAGAGGTGAGGAGCTCTACTTGGGTCGAAGGAGAAGAGAAGAGAGAGAAGAGGATGGGAGAGAGGGACTGGAGAGAGATCGATGGGGTTTTCGCGTGAGTTGTTAATTTTAACTTTTTTTTTTAATGTTTTAGTTTTTTTTTTTGTTTAAAATATATCATTAAACTTCAATTTAGTCTTGATTAGATATGCACGTGATAGACACGTGAGAAATCCTTCCATTTTTCTAACAGCGTTATCAATCGGACCTGTCGTGCAACATATTTTAAATTTAAGGAGTTAGGTGCGTTTAGAATAAGGATTCGAGTCATGATTTGAATTATAATTTGTGACTCGTTATAATATTTTTTTAAAAAAATACACGTAAATCGAAAATAATTTTAAATCATGATTCTGAATTTATAACAAAACGTTGGTGGATTCGTGTCATGATTCGAATAATTATTCGTGAATCGCTACAATATTTTTTCTCATAAAAAATATACGTAAATAAAAAATGGTTTTAAATCATGATTCTGAATTCATGAACTAAATGTTCACAAAATTCAAAGTAGTATAAATTTAAGAGGATGCCCGTATAAAAAAAAAAAACCCGATTTAAAACATCAATGGTCGACGTTACCATACTCGTGTCCGATTACATGATCATGAACACCACTTAAAAAATCCTGTGTGTATCACATTCTAATAATGCCGCGAGTGGCCATCGTTTGTCTGTTTCTTTCAAAGATCGCCGTTGTTGACGACTTAGAAGCCACGGTTGATTTCTTCTGGATGGAAGAAGAATATGCCACCAATCGTCCAAGTGATTTGTGATTTTGGAGGTAGTCATTGAAATAAGAAGGATGACTCCAGATACAGGTCCTTTCATTTTCATTGACATACTTTGAATTTACTACACCTGCCCAGATACATTTTTATTCCGGTAGAATTTTGGTTCTTCAGATATTTCTGTTTTGTTCACTTCACGGATTCGAGTTGAGATGTGATATAGAGTTTTTAATTATAAAAAAAAAATTAAATGTGATTTTTTAAGAATTTTTAACTGTAAAAATTTAAAACTGAAAATTTAAGTCGGTGAAATAAATAAGATCTTTAATTTAAAACTCGTTTAATTTCCAAGTTTCAAAAGAAATCCTCCCGACCATTCAAAAGCTTAGATGTAACCACTCACTACCGATGTCTTTTTTTTTTTTTTTTTTCCATTGTTTGTTTTGGTACTCTTTTGGCGTATATAAGTTACTACACTCGGAAGAAAAAAAGAAGAAAAAAAAAAATATTCATAACGCTTTGAATTGACAAGTTTGGCTAACTCATACCACTTGCTGCCAAACACAGGAAAATGATTCTGCACGAATGAAGAGGTCAAAATTCCAAACCAACTGGACCATAGATATGGATACCTAAACTATAAAATAAAATGGTACATATTCGGTTAAAATTTGAAACGCATATCTAAGCACCCACCAAATTAATTAATTGGATATCTCGCATCTCATATATATTTAAGTAGAGCATAAAAGTCCCTTTTGGTCCTTTGGTGGAGGTGATAGTGGTGATGTCTTGATTTTTTTATTTTTTTTAAAATAAAAAAGGGCGTCCTAAAAACGCTTCAAAGTAGTAACTTTTTATTTTTCCCACAAGGGGAAAAGTAAAGAATATCATGATCTTTTTTTCTTCTTTTTTTTTTTTTTTTTGAAAAGAGAAAAACTGACGACAAAATATACGTGTATGGAAGATGATAAGCATGAAATCATATTTTTGGTAAATAGCAAAATGACACGAATCATGATATTTGCTGGCATTGGGACCATTCTCTTTCTGAACCTGAATATATATATATATATATATATATATGTATATACACATGAATAGATAAGAACTTTGGCTTCTTGAGGATTCAATTCGGACAAGGTTTTCATTTTTATCGCTGTGTACTTATGCAGAAAATCGACCTCTAAGACGTACTCTGGTTAAACTCTCAACGGGGACCAGGTTATAACGCAAATGTTCCTTGTTCAAACTGAAGCAGCTGGTTTGGTGAATTATTTGGTCCGACTTTCGACATTTTTTTGGTATAATTAGAGAGAGAGGAAAAAAGGAGGAAAAAAAAAAACAAGACTTAAAGGTACGGCGTACAAAATAATCTGCTTGAAACTTGGCCGCCCTCTTACACATTACACATTGCGTGCATGGTTTTTTTGTCAGTTTTGTAAACTCCCTAATTAACATCTTATGAGACGAAAATACCGCCAATGGGATACTCGATAGCCTGTAGCACTAATCAGAGATCCTGTCGAGCTAAGAACTTATGCGTCATCAAACTCATTGTGGTATGAGTGAAACCGAGCTCATCTTTTAATTAAAATTAGGTCATATCTTTTCCATTTTATATGTTAAATATGAGACCGAGATATGAGAACACAGATGATTTTTTTTTTTTTACAAATTAAAAAAAAAAAAGAAGAAAAGCCATCTAAGAAGAAAAAGCAAATTATTCATTAGAGTATATAGGTTAAGTATAACCTCACTAGTACAAATCAGTTCACTCATTTAATTTGTACTAGTAGTGATAACCATAATATCATTGCATAACATAGCATATATATAAATTCAGTTGTTAATACTGCAGCTTAAAATGAGGAAGGGCGGAGTGGCCATCAAGACCCTTGGACCTGTAATAAGAAAGATATTCGTAAATATTAGTTTCTCTATACTTGGGCGGTTCTTCCTCGGACAGAAATTCTTGAATTGGACCGTAGGGTTTATATCTGTGGGTGGCGCTCGGATACAGGAAACATGCAGATGATATTCTTGGACCATTGCTTCCGGACAGCACTCTATGCTCCACACTTTTGAACTTGTCGTTTGTAATAAGCTGCAGCAAATGATCATATACAAAAAGGTATTATATAAACTTGTAATTATAAGTTTGAAAATAGAAGAATGAATGAAAAATATTGTTATCCATAACATTAGTTTTCAAAACTAATCTCAGATTCACATGTCAATTCTTGTGGTAAGCGGAGACCGAGAATATAGCGGTATGGTGATATTTAGTATTAATTTTTTGAGTATTAATGTGTGTATACCTGCATGAGGTCGCCGATGTTGGCGACTAGAACTGAGTGCAATGGAGGTACGTCAACCCATTGATTCTGGTGGAAGACTTGGAGGCCGCCGATATGGTCCTGGAGGAGTATGGTTAAGGCGGACGGGTCGGAATGCTTGGTTGTGCCTTGAGTCAGGTCCGGTTCGGGACAAACCGGGTAGTAGTGACAAACCAGAGTTTCGCTTTTCATGCATTCTAACTTGGCCAAGTAGTCTTTGCTAAGCCCCAGCGCCTCCGACAACAACTCCGACAGCGTTTCCCGCAGCTCTACCATGTGTTTCATGTATTCTTGTACCGCTTGTCTGTCCATCAAATAAGGCGTTGTCGCGTGAAAAGAGATGATTGATTAAAAAAAAAAAAAAGAATTAGCAACGTTGTTAACATTAAAATATTCAAAGAGCACCTGCAGGCTGAAGGGAATGCGTCGGGTTCTAGAGGACCATCCTGGAAATCGAACGCGATGGAGTCCCTCCAGTTTGCGGTTTTCGACACCAGCAAGTCTCCATTGCAGTAGTACCTCACTCTTCGCTGACGATCCCGCGAGTACCATTCCATCTTCATCTCCTTAGGCTGCTCATGGAATTGCCGAACGCCTTCCAACATGTCGTTCAAGACGGCGTCGGGCACTCCATGGTTCACCATTTGAAAGAATCCCCACGTCTCCGAGGCTTCACGGATTTCCCTAACTATCTCCGCTCTCCTCACGCAATCCTCATGGCCTCCGAGATCTATGACCGGAACTCGGAAGTTGTCATTGCCATTGTGGGGCGGTCGTGAGTCATTTGAGAGGTTCTCTGGAGGATGAATGAGGAATTTGGGAACTTTAGTCACGCCAGAGTCTACAAGCCCTTTAACACCAGCCTTTGTATCATCAAACTGCTTAACTTCTTTGGCTCTGTCATAACTTAAATCATCCTCAACATTAGGCTTTGCAGTGTCGGGAGTGATTTCCATCTTAGTTATAATAAAAATTTGTGAAAGGAATTTGGTTCTTATAATTTGAGTTGGAGGAGGTCATTTGAATAAAAAAATGAAGATGCTAATCTGAATGGAAGATCTGATGCCTCAGATTATTAAATTGGAGATGAATATTGAATACAATAAGTTAGACAAAAGTCCAAGAAAATGAAATATACCCACTTTTGGCATTTCTTACAGCTTATACTGTCATAATGTAGTAGTCTTTTATGTGTGTGTGTTGCCACTCAATAATTTCATAATGTCAGTTGAATGGAAAATGGCATTTCCTTCGGATTCTCTGGTGTATATAGATCTTCACGAACGTGAAAAAAGCAAGTCTTGGCTTGGTTTTTGGCCTTATTTACAACACTAGTTGCCGAAAACGGTTCTGCAGAGTTAAAGCTCATAAGTTTTGTGTTCTAGCCAGTTAGATAAAATCAAAGTCATAATCCAGGTGATAAGGCCAATTAGACGTGTTCAATCTAACGAGTGATACGTTTGGGGAATTATTTATTTATTTATTTATTTTTTTGGCCCATTTTAATTGCTTGCACGCGTCAATAAGTTTCAGTATGAAATTTTGTTTATAAAAAATGACTATAAACTACAGATATAAACAGGTGACGCTTTACTTTTACTATAATGATCTTATCCCGTGTGGCATGGGACCTTCTGATTCTATTTGTCCACTAGATAGGGAATTAGCTCAAATAGTATTATTAACTTAGGTCCGTTTAGTTCGTTAATTTGAGTTTTTAATTCGAGTTAAAATATGATATTATGTGAGAATTTTTTACTGTAATAAAAAAATTAGATGTGACTGTTTCTAAAAGTTTTTTACTGTAGTAAAACTCAAATTCTAAACTCAAATCGACGAAATGAACGGATCCAAGGCACGTTGATGCGCGTGTGTTTTGTTATGTTTTTTTTTTTCTTATTTATACATACATATATATACATATATACACGTATGTGTATATAATTTTGTAGGTATTCTCTTTTTGAAATGTTATGGCAATAAATAGCTTCAGTCAAGTTGAGTTGAATCCCTTCCCTGATTGAGTGCTAGTCTACATGCTACTAGTACTACTAAAACTTTTGGGACGTGACTTTTTTCTTTCTTTTTTTTTTTTTTTCATTGCCCCAAAAATATCCCTTTGTTAAGTTCATAAGCTCTCTGTTTCGCTTTTTTTTTTTTTTTTTTTTTTCTCCTCAATCATTGATGTGATGTTTCGTTGGAAAATCAGGGCAGGGGAAATAATAAATAGCTTGTTGGGCTCATAAATTTAAATAGAAATTTAATTTTGTAAAAAAAATATTATAACAAAAAAAAATTAAACAATAATTTAAATTTACGAAATAAACAGATAAAAATTCTCGAGATTGGTTGTTTGAGCATCTGTTTTATTTAACTTTATTTGTAATTAAACTGGGGCATTGCATCCATAAGAATTCTACGATAGTGTATGAAAATATATTTTAGTGGTGGGATTCTAATTTTTACCCTCGTATCTTAATTATATATATATATATATATATTATTTTGATTTTATTTCAACCAGATCGAATGTTTGAAAACTTGCAGTACTACTAATAAGGATACCCCATCCCGCCATATAAACTCTTTATATCCAATATATTTTGGTAACATTATGGAGACTTTTCTTGTCTCACTAATATTCACTACAAGATAAATCTTCATGGCCTCGTTCATTTTACCGATTTGAGTTTTTAATTTTAAGTTTTTACAGTAAAAAGCTCTCAGAAAATATCACATCTAACTTTTTCTGTTACGGTAAAAAGCTTTCAGAAAATGTCACATCTCAGCTCGAATTAAAAACTCAAATCCGCAAAGTGAACGAGAATGTGTTAGCAAAAAAAGAGAAACCTTAATTATGTGCTCAAACAAATACTCTCAGATATGGCTACTTAATAGGCGAAGAAAACCTTTAGAAGAAGAGAAAAAACATAAGATCCAAGAAAAAGAAAACCCCATGAACGTGTTAACTGTTAAAAGGTACATACACTAATAAACTGGTCAAAACAAAAAAATAAAATAAAATAAGATAAAGTAAAGGGAAAAAAAAGAAGAAGATTTCAGAATAAAAAGCAAGCAGTAACCCGTACACTGAATCCTGTTAGCTAAAACAAGGTTTCATAAAAAACAAGGAAATTAACCTAATCCTCTCCAGACAGTTTTTGTCTTGCTAACCTTCTTCTTATGTTTCCTTGGATTGGAGTTCTTCATCCCTATGAAGAATAACAATGCCCGAAAGGAAAAGTTGAGTAAATTCTTTCTCCTCGCTGTCATAGTCGTAGAAATTATATAAAATAGGAGTAGCAATCATTTGATGCAACAGCTGCAGTGTTAAAAAAGAATAAATAAATAAAAATAACAAAAAATATATTGACAAAATGCCAACCATGATGTTGGTATTATGACTCTAGTTTATGAGGGTCCGTCATTATTTGGTTAAGGCGGTTATAGAGTAATAAGACTGCAGCTTATCATGTCCTAACCGACTTACCCTATTAGTTAACCAACAATGGTTAAGCCTAACTCTAGTTAGTTAAGAGTCTAGTTATTTTGTATAAATAGGAGATTACACATAAGAACAATTAACTAAGGGCATGTTCTTTTAGAATGTGATTTGAGTGTAGTTTTTGAGTTGAATTTGAGTTATAATTTGAGTTGAAGTTGTAACCTGAGTTTGTGTTTAGCTGTGTACATTTGAGTTATGGTTTAAGATAAGAATCTTTTTTTGAGTTTGTGTTTGAGTGAGTCAAAACTTAAATTTGTATTTAGATAGTATTTTAATAAAAACTCAATGGTGATGAAAAATTTTAATAGGGTATATGGATTGGGTTTTATTCGTCTTTTCGTTGTCAACGCATAGAAAAAAAATCATCTCAATCAGGATTAAAACGAAAAAGTTATAACATTTTTAAGAATAGAAAAAATATTGTTCATTAATTTGAGTTTAAGTTTATGAACTCGAGTTGAAGGGGACACTTGAACTCGAGTTTTAGTCCCAAACTCGAGTTCAAACTTAAAAGAACATGAACTTGAATAAAGTTAGAACTCAAATTACTTTTTTTTGAGTTTTTTAGGTAGCCGAACACACCCTAAGTCTCGTAACAGTTTGTAGTCTTCTGTTATGTCTGAGATTGAATACTTGGGCGAGAGAACAAGAGAGAGATTGTGAGAGGATGTTTGATTTATGAATTCAGAATCATAATTTAGAATCATTTTCAATTTACGTGTATTTTTTATGAGAAAAAATACTGTAACGAGCCACGAACTATGATCCGAATCATAGCACGGATCCTTGCTCTAAACGCACCTGAGTTTCTGGGTTTGCTCTGGGTTTGAGGGCTTGTATTCTGTGAGAGACTCAATCTGTAATTGTTGCGAGGCTTGAGGGTGTATTGTTCTTGTTCATTGATAGTGGATTGTGCTAGGGATTTAACCCCTGAACCAAGTAAAATTCGTGTCTTCTGCGATTGATTTCCATTGTTCTTGGTTGATTCTTGTGAAATTCCCGGTCTTAGAATTCACACACGAGTTCCAAAAAAATGACAGGGACACGACAAACTTGTTCATAAGATCTTAAGAAAAATACAAACTTGAGTTGAAAACAAACCAAAAGATAGGCTCCAAGAGGTTACGAGAATCGAAAATCACATAACAGTTCATTCTGAATCGGACGGATTTTGTTTTAGCGGTTTCAAATTGATCGTCTTTCAAATATATAGATAGATGCAAATAAAAGGATTGGCAGCATCCATTTGAAAAATTAAGATGTTAAAGGCCTTGCTTTGTCTTAACAATCATCTGGAGAAGATTCTCGACCCTTCATTTCACTGTTTACAACACAAATCAACAGTGTTGCACCAAGTAGAGACCTAAAGTGACTTCATAAGTAACCAAACGACATAACATAAAAAAAAAAAAAAAAAAAAAACTGACATATATGTGAATATTGTTCCTTTTAACATTTTCTAACAATCCTACTATTCGTTAACGGTGAAAATTTGTAAATAAAAATATAATAAATTTTAAAATAGTTTGTGTGAATTTAATGATCTAAAACATTATTAAAAATAATTAAAGAATAAGAACATACGAGAATTATAGTGGTTCATTTTTAATTCAAGATTTATGCTCACTGTAGGGAGGAGAGAATTTACTATCTTTTGAGAAATTGCACACACTAATGCTCATAATGATTCTCATTTCTCGACTTACAATTCCTTATTTATATATGTTCCTTTTCGTCCCAATTGGTTTCCCTATTTAATTCATGGATATTTCTCTCATCTTTTTAGATAGTTTTCCAAAAGACGAGGATTATAATTAATGATGACGATTTCATTACTTAAATTTCGTATACTTGAATTACAAATAGCAAATGTCGCATGTCTTTTGACTTGCGTAGACTCGACTTTGAAGCGCTCCCAGAATCATCTTCACCTACAGTTATTGGTGCGGTCGACCTCATGCTGTCATTTGCATCTCCTCAGAGCGATCGACCTCCTATGTATGCCACAGCCTTTACTAACGGTCTGCTCTTAATAGAGTTTCCATCTGACGTGGTGGCTATGGTTGAGCTGTCATCGATCATTTAATGTCCTTATTTATGACACATGAATCCCATTTAATACATGATTTATGATGCAGAATTTTACCCTACAACACTACTAGTCTCAAAAATTCATTTTAGGAAAAGTAAAGTATGTTTGTACAATTTATTCACGTGCTTGTATGTGTTTAGGAGAGAGGGAAAGAGAAAATGAGATCTCACTTGAATTTCTGGCGTCCGTAAGCCAACATGAGAGTGCAAACGATGTGTAAAGACATCAAGTTTTGGTCCGAGTACCTCTGCTATTGGTCCCCCATCAACTCCATATTCATTGAATCTGTAAGGACAAATTGAGCCTCTGCTATTGGTCTGAGATCGCACTATGTATAAGGACACTTTGATATCCTTATTTATGACTCGTGAATCCCATTTAATGTTTGATTTAGAGGATGCTTGTTTCATGTATTCGTTTCTGATTCTGAATCATGATTCATGGTTTTCTATAGTGATTTTCTTTCATAAAAAACACACGTAAAACAAAAATAATTCTGAATCATAATTTTGAATACATGAACTAAACGTCCACTTAGAGTTCAGAATTTTACCAACAACACTTTTAATCTCAAAAATTCATTTTAGGAAGAGTAAATATGTTTGTACAATTTAGTCAGGTGCTTGTATGTGTTTAGGAGAGAGAGAGAGAGGGAAAGGGAAAATGAGATCTCACTTGAATTTCTGGCGTCTGTAAGCCAACATGAGAGTGCAAACGATGTGTAAAGACATCAATATTTGGTCTGAGAACCTCTGCTGTTGGTCCCCCATGAACTCCATATTCATTGAACTTAACAAAATAACAGATAAATATATCAGAACAATTTAAAAGCCAAATGCCAATGGGATTTCGACAGAATTAAATATTTTATTATCCACCAAAAAAAAAAGGAGAGAAAATAAAACAGAATTTGAATCTTGCCAAGCCAAAATGACAGAAAATATATTTACGATATTTATAAAACAAATAAATGTTATGATTCCTTTAAACAATTAAATTGTTCAAAACAAAAGAAATTTGGACGAAAATCTATAAAAAGAACCAAATTGCATATCATATAGTAAGGCAAAAGTAAAGCACGGACCTTTCGGTAAACCGACACAAAATAATTCTTGGGATGTAAACATATAGCAAAATGACAAGTTATGAAAAGTAACTTTCGAAAATTCAAAATTTTGGAACAAGGGAAAAAAATTGTAGATCTATACAAGCTTATTCTAAGACTGTGAAACAGCAAATTGACACCTTTAACATGTCAGATCTACAGAAATATTCACTCAAAGACCCTGTTTTTATCTCTGGCCAAAGAGAGTATGCAAGACAATACAGAATTAACAGGACAAAAAAATATATATAAAAAATAAAGATTTCGTTCATTTTAACGATTTGAGTTTTAAGTTTTAAATTTTTATAGTTAAAATTATCAAAAAATGTCAAATTTAATTTTTTTTATTATAGTTAAAAATTCTTAAAAAATATCACATCTCAATTTAAATCTGCGAAGTGAACATATTAAAATGTATAATAATGACTCTTAACAAACAAAAAAAAACTCTTAAAAAATGTCAAACGAACTGAAAGCCATTGTTGATTTTTTGTTTAACTTCCAAGATTTCAGGCGGAGAAAATTAAAGAACTTTCCTGGGTTTATCTTTGACTTTTCTTTATTAGACAGGAAACGGATGGAAATAGATGTTAAGGAAAAGAAATGAAAAGGAGTAAAGGGTATTATGGTCCAAATGAATATAATCTTTCCGGCGTGGCCTTCTTTTTGAATAACGACGATTGTGAAATTTTTTTGTTAGTTGACTAAAATGCCCTTCAGTTTATATAAACTGCAGTTAACTGACCACGTATAAAATTAAATGAGCCGTATGGGGACATGGAAGGAACATTCTCAAAATTTTCAATGTATTGCTTTGCACCTTTTGAATGGTTTGCAAGTGAAGGAAACAAAAGAAAGAAATTTCCTCTGAAAAAAATTATTAAACATCTTAAAAAGATAAAGAAAATATTTACGTGGAAATGATTATTTTGCGCCGCCGGCAGCAATTGTTGTTTGGTAAGCGTTGAATTAATATTTAACGGTTAAAATTGTACATATTTACATTAAAAATACAGTGCGGTTAGAATTACTCATATTACACATTAAACTGTTAAAAAATTAATTTAATTGTAAAAAAAAAATAATTCATATCAATAGAGTAAAATAACCTTCTTTCACCATAAAAAAATATTAAAACTTTTAATGATACTAATTTTGAGCCATCTCCACTAGTCAATCCTATGAAACTATATCTATGTCAAAATAATGGGGAAGACTTAATTATATATGTTCCTTAATTTATTCCAAGATCTAAAATACATGAATATTCATCTGATATGTACTAATATATAGAAATCGGACATTCGACACAATTATATGAATGTGTAGACTACTATGATCTTATCCCTTTTATTTTCTGTTTTCATTCTTGGTGTGCATGTGTAACAAAATTGATCTTATTTCCTTTAATCCTCTGTAACTAAATTTTCTTAATAAAAATTGGTCTTAGTTTCCTTTGCCGTTTTTAAAGTGGATGGCTTTTTTTGGTTTTATAGTCGTTTCTTTGGTTATCGTCGTTTTTACTGTGGTTATTGTTAGTTGCAGGTGATGTTATTTTTCTGATTATCGTCCTTTTCTGTGTCATTTAAGTTTTCCCGTTAAATGTCGTTTATTGAAGCCATTGTCGTTCGCTGTTTGATGTCAATTATCTTTATTGTTTTTCAATCTGATGTCGTCTATTCAAGTCATTGTCGTTTTTTGAAGATATTTCCATACGATTTTGAATTTGTCCATCGTAGTGTACTGTAGTTCTACTTCTTCCTTGGATTATGATGTTCGGGCAATAAGAAGTGAACGAATTAGGCTTTTAGCAGAGTAAATGCAATTATGCGTGTATATATATGAATGAGTTTTTAATGGTTACATATCTATTGATAGTCGCCCATTAAGTATAATAATTTAATAACGTGGTGTGATAAGAATTTAATTTTATTAATCGTAAATTTTTTTTGATCAACTACTTAATTTATTATAACTATAAAATTAATATCTTATAGTTAAAACAACAATACTCATCGATGGATAAATTTTAGAATAACCATGTATATCTTTCTTCTTCTTCTGAAATTGAAAACTTATATATCATGACGAGTGCAGACTAAAATGAGTGTATAATTAAATTGTGGCTTAATTAGACGTAGTTTCTATTTTCTAATAATATCTTACGGATAATCAGGCTGGTCCAAATTATTTACGCCATCACGGTATTATAGAATACGAATTCGCTCTCCAAGTGAGCTGTCAAAAAACTTGTTTATTTATTTATAAAGAGCAGGCAGAGCTGTATCGCAACTAAGTACATAAATTTTATATTATTTATAGTCTATAATATGTAGCTCTGAATAGAAGCCGGCTTGTCGGTTTTATTTATTTATCTTCTCAAGGCAGCTGATTCCATATTTCTGAATATAATGTTCACTGCATACTAGCTAAACATATAGTTCAACTATATTTGTAACATCAAATGGCTAACATTAATTACTTTATACTACACTTGGCTCGAAATCTACAGTGTTGCATGCTTTCTCCTTTTTGAAGTTTTCTATTCTGTTTCTCCTAGGTACTCACGAGAACCATGCTCGAAGACAAATGTTTAAGAACACCGACCGTGTTAATTAAGAACCATTATTAATAAAATGTAGGCTCCATTTATGAGCCTCATGACGTGATTTTTTTTTATTAACGGATTAAATAACATTGCTTATACTAGGAAGCATGATAATCACTGAATACCACACAACTAATATAAAATTGGGTCAATATTGTGTTGGGATTTATTTTCAAAGATTATTGGGATTTATTTCTTAATTTGTGTATTGATTGTAATCAGATTTGATTGGCATTATTTTGAAAATGTTTGGTTGGTTGATTGTGATTGAGAATAGATGTGCAGCTGGAAAGGTCTTTATGGAAGGTTTCTGCAAGATCTGGAAACTTAATTTAGTTTCTATTTTTGTAAGTCAACTATTGAGCTAAAAATAGTAAATTGATTTGATTGAGATTTTCGTGACTGGATGATCTTCCTCTGTCTCCTAAGAATAAGTCCAGATTCTTATATCAGTTTGGGAAGGTTTCAGAATTAAAGGAGTTTGATTCGGACTGGTTTTGAGAAAGTTGATCGTGACAGCTATGTTGCAGTTATTGTTGCAACAAGGATCTGCAACAGATTTGGTTCAGCGAATTTTTCAAGAAGTGGTCAAGCCTTTAACTTTCTGCCTTTTTATTGAAAGAGTCTCTGGAGTAATGATACACCTTTTGATGAGTTTTTACTGGGTTGTGAGACAGGGGTGAGCACATGTATTCAAGAGAGATGATTTGAGTGTTTTCGGGAGAAAAACTTAGTTGGAGGGATTCCAATGTTAAAAAGTCGAGGGGATCTCGCTGTTCAAGTCCATTGAGAAATTGCATGTTCATAGGTGTCTTCTTAGAGAGGGAGTCTCGGGTAGATTAAGTCTAATTGAATTGTAAAAGAGTTCTTAGTGGATTGTTCATCATCTGGGCGTGGTCTTGTAGAGTAAGGTGTTACCGAACCGCGATACCATTTCTCTCGTGTTATTTTATTTTATGTTTCTGTATTATTCATATATTGTCTTATAAAGTGTTAAAAGACTCGAATCGGTACCAACATATTGAAAGTTATTTTATTTTTCTTATTAGTATTCTAACACATGATCAGAGCCACGACCAATCTACAATTTTTCTGATAAATTGCTCAAACAACACCATTTCTTTTATATTATACTCTCAAGACATATACCTAGCTTTGTATATACTTATTCATCAAAACTATTTCATCATCATAAGATAATTTTTAGATGGAAGTTGTTGATGGGAAGAGCAGTTCCTTAGATTATGAAGGTCGGGCAAAAGAAGTGGAGGAGTTCAGTAAAACAAAAGCCGGAGTAAAAGGACTCGTTGACTCCGGCGTAGCAAAGATTCCAAGATTCTTCGTCCTTCCGCCGGAGATCTTACACAAAGCATCGACCAAATCTACTACAGACGGTGTTGGTTATCAACTTCAGGTTCCGGTGATCGACCTCGAAGGCTGCACGGACCACCGCCGAGCGGAGATCGTCGGTGACATACGTTGCGCTGCAGAGAAATGGGGTTTCTTTCAGATGGTGAACCATGGGGTTCCCAAGACCGTTATGGAGGATTTGAGGGAGAGTATTAGACGATTCCATGAGCAACCCAATGAGGAGAAGACCAAGTGGTATTCCCAAGATGTGTGGAAACGAATTAGGTATTACAGTTATGGATACCTTCACACATCTGCGCCCGCAAATTGGAGGGATTCACTGGCTTGCAATTTTCAAGACCATCCAATAGACTTGGAAGCACTACCTCAAGCGTGCAGGTTATAACTGAATGCCTGTCTTTGCTTTTTCTAATTATATGTACATTATGCCTTGTTTTGAGTTAAAAATAAATTCATGTGAGAGAAAATACTACAGTAAAAAAGGTTTAATTTAAATTTTTGTGAGAAAAAAATACAATAATAAAAACTTAAGTTGTGATTCTAAATAGCAAAATAATTAAAGTGGTCAATTTTAGTTGATAAGGTGATACAAATGCATGCCATTCTTTCTTCTCTTTTTTAAGATGAGTTCAAGTTGATTTGATACTCTATCATCTATTTTCAAGTCCAATTACCCAATGAATGGATTGAGAGGTGTTGGACTTGCGATCTTAATAAAGAAAAACTGAGTTTATCGTTTGAGTAGAATTGGATTAGATCTTTATGTTTTATTGGTATGGAATTAATTTATGCTATAGACAAAGGTGTTGGGGAAATCGGATATTTCCCACTCAAAACAATTTCACTGTGAAAAGTACTTTTAAATAGTACTGTACACGTGAATTGTACAATATATGTGAATAATACTATATAGATGCACAATACTAAATACAGTGGACAAACCCGATAGAATAACTATTGAATTCTAAAAACAAATAAAAGAACACTAGAATTGATAACGGAGTTTGGCCAAATATTGCCTACGTCTCCGGACACTGTGGGCCACTCTATTTACTAAAGAAAAGAAAGATAACAAATTAGGCAGAAATTGTAAAAGCCCACAAATTGAAAATCTAAAGAATTTCTTGCAAATTTACAAAGGGGAGCTCTCAGTTTTTTTGGGATGCAAAACAAATGAGGAGAGACCTGTACTTATAGCATTTGTCTCCCCATCTTCTATGAGTGAACCAGCTGTTACAGCTGGGTTCATTTTCTAAAATCAACACTGTTTTCGGTGCTCCCTCTCTTTTCTTATTCTCCCTCTTTGACTTTCTTTTTTAGTTTTCAACATAAGTATCCAGTCCACAATTTTGACAATGAGCCATTCATATCGACTAACAAAAGGGTACAAGAAGTGATTGCACTACCAATGATCCATTTTTTTTTTTTTTATTTAGAGGGAAAAAAAAAAAAGAAAAAGGCATTGAGGACCTAGGTGAAGTGACCACACTTGTAACTTTGTTCACAAGAAAAGTGTAAGAGTTCTTCTAAAAGAAGTAGGCTAGCTATGCAACAACGTTCAACTTTTAGAATAAAGTCTTGGAGTTTTTGATGCACAACACACACACACACACACATATATGTATATATATAAATTTGCCATGGCATGCTTTTAAATAATATAAGTTGTGATTTTGTTGTGTTTTATTTTGCAGAGGGGAAATAATTGAGTACATGAAATGCGTGGTAAGACTCAAGGAGACACTATGTGAATTACTATCTGAGGCTCTGGGGCTAAGAAGTGTCTACCTAGCCAGCTTAAATTGCATGAAATCTCGGTATTTAATATCCCACTATTACCCAGTTTGCCCTGAGCCTGAACTGACTTTGGGTGTAACCAATCACTCGGATCCATATTTCTTGACCGTATTGTTGCAAGACAATGTGGGCGGTCTACAAGTCCTTCACCAAAATCAGTGGGTTGATGTCCCTTATTTGGATGGTGCGCTGGTAGCTAACATTGGCGACTTGTTGCAGGTAATAATTAATTTGCATACACACATGTATATATATATATAATTGTTGTATAAATGTCATTGGTTTTTCTACTGTTGATAAGCGTCGAGAATTAGTAATTAGTATATTGGGTACCAATTAAACAGAGTGCAAAAAAATAATTACGTATGCGTTATTTTTTTTTAAATAGTCTACGGTTTTAACTGTTAAAAATCATATTAGAATCACATTAAAAGAAAACTTATGATGTTTATGAAAATATGACGGTTTAAATTTACAGAGTGCGTATAAATAAGGTTCGTCATCTAATAAAAATCTTTATGAGCTGCTTTCATACAAATTAGGTATACGGTCAGGTGTCTATATGGATAAAGGGTAAGTAGTCTTTAGTAAAGGCGGATTAAGCCAATTTTTTTTTTTTTCAAATAGTCTCTACGTCCTCGTTGAGAGTCGCTCTGCGAGATGTCAACTAGTCTCTGATTTGGTCTTCAAATCGTAAGTTTCAACCCGTTCCCAACTTTTACCTCGGTGACTGGCGTTGTTGGCCATGATCTCTGGGTTTGATTCACCAAGGTGTTCTAGGTCCTCTATTCTGATGAACATGGGATACGGGGTGGGTTTTCACCGAGTTGATTGCTTGAGTCTATAGGCTACCCCTCCTATCCGCTTCTCTATAGGGTCTACTTTCTTCTTCCTTCAGACTGGGCTAAGCCCTTAGTTTAAGTAGGTTTGAGTTAGATCGTTGCGCTCCTGCCACCTCTTAAAAAACATGTAACCCTACAGGGTCTACTTTCTTCTTCCTTCAGACCAGGCTAAGCCCTTAGTTTAAGTAGGTTTGGGCTAGATCGTTGCGCTCCTGTCACATCTTAAACGACATGTAACGTGTGTAGCTTACTCCACAATTACACGGTTATGTCGTCTAAATGTTTTAACATCAAATTTATATCGAAGTAAATAGAATGCAAATTTGACAAGAACAGTAGGATTTGTTTTTCTTCACCGAATCAAAGAATTTGCATAAATTCTTTTGAAGGTAATTGAAACGCGGGTAGAGTAGAGTAGCAATATTTCTACGACCGAATTGACTGGATACCACTAATGTCTCTTTTTATCTTTTTTCAAAGCTCATTCGGATGTTCTTAAGCAAATATCCTTGTTAATGGTTCTTTTCACGTTTTACGTTGTAGATAATAACCAACGACAGATTCAGGAGCGTGGAGCATCGTGTGTTGGCAGGGCGTGTTGGGCCTCGAGTATCAGCTGCATGCTTCTTCTATCCCAGCACGGCCAATAGTTTAGAGCCCTATGGACCAATAAAGGAACTCCTCACTGAGGATAACCCCCCATTGTATAGGGAAGTTCACTATAAAGAATACGTCACTCTTTATGTGTCAAAGGGTCTAGATGGTCAATCAGCCATCCCTAGTTTTAAGCTGCAATAATATTTTCTTACATATAGCGAAGTGTAAGATACACTAAAATATTGTTATTTTGTGATTGCAACGCAAGATATGTATATAGACAATAGTCTTAAGTGTGACATCTATATTACTTTTTTTTTTTATTTCCATGTAACATCATTCGTTTGTGCATGTATAATACTCAATTTATTTAAGTATAACATTTGAAAAATTTAATTAAGTGTAACATTAAGAAAATATAGTCCAAGAACTCGAGGCAAAACTAACTAGTTTCAAAATACCAAAAACCTTCGTCCACGGATCCACCCACCAGAGGATTCACAAAATTCATTGCCCAAAAACCAGAATTCATGGTCTCCAGGTTCCGCTTATTGATCTCAAAGGCTTCGAGTACGAACGATGATAGGAGAAAAAAGATAGTCAATGGTGTTAAGAATACGGTGGAAACTTGCTTTCAGAAATCAGATGATCGACTATGGGATTCCAGTCATTGTCGTTAGGTTCACTTTTTGAATGTTGGCATTATTGGCAGATTATGACCTCATTCATTTCACTTATTTAAATTAAAAAATTCTTAGACACAATTATATTTAATTTTTTTATTATAATAAAAAATTTTCACATAAAATTATATCTTAACTCGAATTAAAAACTTAAAACTAAACGGGCCTGTGTGTCCAAAAAAATTCAAAAATACAGGTTCAAGACCAAGAAGGCGTAGCTTACAAGCAAACTGGTGTTCAAAACTGAATTGAAATTCAAAAAGGAGACAAAACGAATCGCTTGTTTAATTGATGAATCGCTCGTTTTAATAATCATAACAATCTCTCACAGAATCTTATGGTTAGTTCTCAATCATTCAGATTGTGCAAAACAGCAGGGAACTCTGTTTTGCTGAGACGCCCGCTTTTGGCTGTTTTATTTACCAATATCGCCAATGCAAAGATAAAAGATATCACCATTCTGTTGTCCGTGTCTCTCACTTAATTAAAAAACAGTCATATTAGTGAGCTTTTGTTCGTGTAAGGTTCCAACTTGATCTGTGGTTCTTAACATCTTTCTTCTGCAAAAGAGAGTAAAATTTTTTTTTTAAAAGAAGAGCACCAAGTTATTGTTATGGTGTGAGTTCTAGACTATAAGTACAACTGCTAGAAGACTGAACATGATCATATCACTCTAACAGTGTGTTTAATAGGTTAGAAATGAGAAAATAAAAAAATAAAGGAAGAATTTTGAACAAGAAAATGTAAGTTTAAGTTATTTGGCAGAGATAAATAAAAAACAATTTATAAAGCTCATTAATTTTTAATCCTTTAAATTTTAACCAAAAAAAAAAATTTAACAAACAAATAAAATATAAAATAAAAAGTTTAATATTCACTATTTACCATATTTTTATTTATATTATAACATAATTATAAAATACTTTAAATTTAATATTTTCTTTTTATTTTTCTTTATCTTCTATGAAATAAAAAAAAATCATTTTACTTTTTTTACTTAAATATTTACTTTTTTTTTTTTTTTTTTTCCATCCATCCTACCGAACATAATCCTGGCAGATAAAATAATTTCTACGAGAGACAATAATAAAAAATGAATAATAAATTGACAAGAGTGCTTATCAGAAAACCAAATGAATTCATAAATAATGTGTTTTTTTTTTTTTTTCCGAATTGTTGTCTTGACAAGAAACTCTTTTATACGAATAAAATAGAAAACCATGAAAAGAAAAGAGAATGATCAGCTAGAGCTAATACATTAGTTGCCATCATCTAGGCAATCAAACCAATAGGGAATTCAAAGTCATCATATCATTCTCCAGCAATAAGGAAAAAAAAAAGATAAAAGCTTGTTCCGACATAATCTAACGAAACTTCTACAGAAGTACACAAATTTGAGTTTTTGTAAGAAAAAAAAAAATGAAAAACATAAACAAAAAGGAGAACGATCAGCTAGAGCTAATACTGATTGTGCCATCATCGCGGCAATCAAACCAATAGGGAAAACAATAGTCATCATCTCATTCTCCGACACTACAAAATATTGAATCGAATTAAAAATTATGCTAAGAAAAAAAATGTAGATCTTTTGCATATACGAAAGGAGATAAAAAGAATGTCTTTGGCGAGAAGAACAAGAGGTGATTTTAGACCAATTGAAAGCTCAGATCTGGTTTGGCTAAATCCCATGGCGGAATGAAGAGAGCTTATTGGGAGAGGGAACAGAGACAGTTGAAAGGGTGAGAGAGGAAGGGCGGCGGCACTACTTTGATGGCGTAATCGAAACTGTGCTTCAGAGTGAAACCCTAGAGTTAGACTTGGACGATTAGGGGACAGAGTGGGGGATATTTATATTATACATGAGTATTTCAGACATTTACCCTCTTACCCTTTAAATTTTTAATTTTAACCAGTCACCCTAAGTAAAATTGTTATAATACGTCATATTTTAATAATAATTGTGTTAAAATAGTGTTAAAAATGGACGTTTGACTATAAATTTTGAATTCAAATGTAATATAATCTTTCAATTTCAAAATTTTTAATCCTTAAAATCTAACAAAAATACGAGCAAATTTAAAAAATGAGACATAATAAAATAGTTTTATAAATTTAAAAAATTAATTATTAAAATTAAAAATTGAGGGAGCAATTTGCTAGGAAAAGTTTGAGGGTAATTGTGTAAAGAAGGGCCGAATACAATAAGGCTCTCATCGTGCTTCTCGAGTACCTAATGGGCCAGTGGCCCAAATATCCAGGATTCGGCCCAACCCACCCGGAGACCAAATCCATTGGCCCGATCCATTTCACCATCCCCGTTGCCATCGCCGCCAGCCGCCACGACCTGCGAAAACAACCGCCTTAACATCACTGCTCCTCTCTCTCTCTCTCTCTCTCTCTCTCTCTGTCAACAGGAAATGGCAAATCCATCGGCGAAGCGGCTCTTCCGCAATTTTTGTAAGCTAACTCCTTGATCTCTATTCATTTCTTTTTCTTTTCTCTCATTTCTTGTTACTAAAATGAAAATCTCTGTTTAGGAAGCTTTTGCGTGTCTATGCAATTTGATCAGATGTTAAATGATCTAACTTTCTAATTTTCTAGATGGCATTGAAAATTTTGTAAAGAAACGAGAATCTTGTGAAAGATTAATGTATGGAATTCTTTGTCGGTTTAACTCTCAACAAAAGAAATCAAACAAGGTTGAAGATGATGTAGTGAAGCGAGAAAACAATGTTTCGCAAGTTTCTTCGAGGTCTAGAGTTGAGAAGAAGAAAGTCGCTGAAGATTCTGGACTTGGTAAATACAATTCCGACGATGAAGATTTACTTGGTGATAGTAAGTGGAAATTGGAGCTTGCTTGGCTCTCTAAGGCTCTAGAACCAGCTCTTCAGTTGTATAGGTGGGCTCTACCAACAGGTTTGTTTGTTCATTTCACCATGATTTGGCTTTTAGCAGAGTTGCCAATAAGAAATTTAGGATCTTTATGTGAATTGAGTGATTGAATTGTTCGAATTTAAGTGCAAATAAATCTTTCAAACATTCAGGGGTCGTTTGGAACATATATTCAAGTAATTATTCGGGTTCATTGGCAGGAGCTCTTTCACAAGAGGAAATTTTAGAATTCACACTCTTTGTGAGATAAAAAACACGGTAGTAGAACCCAAATTTTGGGTTTGAACATATGTCCCAAATAAGTCCTAAGGCCCGTTTGGTTCACTTAATCACTCGTTCAAATCAGTGATTTTGATTCATTAGTGGAACTTTGTGAGAAAACCATTGGTGGGAAATTTTTGAATTCAAATTCTTTGTAAGAAGGAAATACTGTAGCATAATCAGAATCAGAATCAGGGATTAAATACATTTGTCAAATAGACCCTGACTTGGCAAGTGATTTAACTGTTGATCCGCAGGAAGTGAGGAAGGAAACGGATCCCCGCCCACCACCCGATCCGTTTCGGAGATCATTTCAAGCATACAGCGGAGTAAGATTGGAATTCAGGATTGGACTCTGAGTGATCTCACCATTGGATTATATCTTTTATATCTTCGTCAAACATCTGTAAATCGTGTTGAAGATGTGAAAGGCACTCAAATCTTTTCAGAATCGATTGTAACTTCTATACCTTATTCTTATTTTAGTTGTATTGTGGAATATTTGCGTGCTGAATGTGGGGTGTGTGTGTTTGTTCACTTATGAAGTTAACACTTTTGAAATCTTATAGTGTTCTTATATGGCATTGGTTTTGCGTTTTTAGGTTCATGACCTTATTTACCACACTGAGTTAGCAAAAGGTTCTTATAAGGATAATCCTACAAGTCTTGCAAAACACAGCATGCTTCGAGAAAGCAATGTATTGAAATTTGTTAGGAATTCCAGTGTGATGAGACCTGGATATTACATAGGGATTGATCCTCGTAAGAAATTTGTGATCCTTGGAATTCGTGGTACCCATACAGTATATGACCTTATCACTGATATTGTTTCTTCAAGTGATGGTGAAGTCACATTTGAAGGCTATTCAACTCACTTTGGCACAGCTGAAGCAGCTCGGTGGTTTCTTAATCATGAGATGGAAACCATAAGAAAATGCTTGGGGAAATTTGAGGTGGTGAACATTCTAATTTGCTTATTTCTTTGAATGGCTCTTCTGTTTTCTATTGCACCTGAGTGTTTTTTATCATTTTTTTTATTAGCTCTTTATTTCACCTGAATTTTAGCTATTGTCGGAGTCAGCCTAACTCACTAACAGGGATTTAGGTTAAGGCTAGTGGGTCATTCCCTTGGAGGTGCTACAGCTTCTTTACTAGCAATAATGTTGCGTAAGAAGTCAGTTAAGGAGCTGGGTTTTAGCCCTGATATTGTTTCTGCTATTGGGTATGCGACACCACCTTGTGTCTCCAAAGAACTTGCCGAAAGCTGCTCCGATTATGTTACCACTGTTGTGATGCAGGTGAGATTTTTCTTTTTAATATTGTTGTCTAATTCATTTCTTATGCTTTCATTTTGTTCTTTCTCACTTTTTTTTTTCCTTCTTTTTTGCAGGATGATATTATTCCTAGGTTAAGTGTAGCCTCTCTGACAAGGATGAGAAATGAAATTATAGATACTGATTGGTAAGTAAATGTATGCTTATCTGAAAGTTATTCACTCTATTTATTTGAACATTTGGAAAGAAGAGGCATGTTGGAGAGAAATGCAAATTGCTTTTAACAAAAGTTTGTCCTTTTGATTTGTTCATTTTTAATAGGATGAGTGTAGTTGAGAAGGAAGATTGGAGAGGCGTCATAGATTTGGTTACAAATGCAAAGCAGGTGGTTTATTCAGTGCAAGACGTAGCTAGGAGACTTGCCGATTATGCAAAGTTTAGGAGGAACGAAGATTCGTCTGGTGAGCCACCCTGCATTATACTCAATGTTGTCAATATTTTTGTTAGAACTAGTGACTTCTCCTGTGACCAAACTCTGATGACTTAAGGAAGAGCTTGGGAATGATCTTATGATTCAAAAGTAAAGTTTACACGTGGGTTGCTACATTTGCTCTCTTCCCTTTCTGAAATGCTGTATCGATGTCTGCGCAGATAATCTTGTCAAAAAAGAATCACCTGCTTCTCCAAGGGCCGCTTTAACCTCAAAAACAGGATCTGAAAATCCTGTTGCTGTTGAAGATGGAGGATCTTCCTGCGCAGTGCCTGAGGAGTTATTTGTGCCAGGTGCTGCTTACTACCTAAAGAGGAATCGGGATTCACATACAGTAAACGGCGGGGAGTTTTTCACACTCTGGAAGAGGGATCCAGGTGAACATTTTCAGAGAATTGTGCTTTCCAACAACTTAATATCAGACCACAAATGCGATAGTCATTACTATGCTTTGAGAGATGTACTCAAAGGCTTACCCGGCACGGATGATGAAGGTATTTTCAGATGAAGACAAAAGCTAAATGCTCTAATTGTTATCTATTTTATATCCATGATTTTTTTCCCTGACCAACTTAGAATTTTTTTTTTTGTTAGAGAATTTGTACAGTTCGGAAATTGTTGCATCTTTCTGCACCTATATGCATCCAATGGTTGTCATTGAACCGTAGTTGTTATTGTTGTATCTTCTGTTATATCTGATTTTACGTATGGCGTTTCAGATGATATTGGAACACTGTCTGAAACACAGCTTAATTAATTAAGATCCGGGTTAATTACGTCCAGTTGCTCGAACAGAAAAAAGTGCAGAAATCAAAAGAACACACAAATGATATCGCAGTTCGGTGCGCACACCTACATTTGCGGAGTCATGCCTAGACAGTAAACAATTTCACTATGTTCTAGAAATTACAGATACCGGACGGACTTATTCACTCAAGGACTCCCTTCTAGACAATAACGCCGCTGTGACGGATCTCCACAGTGATTGTTTAGCGTGCACCACACGTCTTCTATTCACCTGACGAACTCCCTTCAACCGGCAGAGCTTTCTCCTGAAAGCAACAAATTCCTCTCCCGAAGGACGATCTCAATAACTCATAAAAACTCACAGACGTCTCTCTGAATATTTTCTCAGTAATAAGCTCTCAAATTCACAGACTTTTCCTCTGGAGATATTCTATTAAATTTGTCTCTTCACATATGCTCTAAAACAAAGCCTTTAAATAAAGTGAAGAGAATCTCATTCAAATCTATTCTCGATAAGATCTCTATTATCTTCATGATTCTCTCTTCTAGATAGACTCTAAAATATCTTCACGTTATCTTTTCAATCTCCAATTCGAATTATGCAGCAAGCTATCAAATTCGAATTAATTATCCTTGTAAACTTTGAATTCGGATTTAACCTTCTCATCCACCATCACCTTTATAGCACATAGTCTAATCTATCTTACCTCACCAGTGGCCTTCTTCTCCAAGCTCCTCTCACTTCTAACGTTAACAATATATGTTTATCACATGTAAACCTCTCATGCTTCACGTAATACATCAAGCTTAATTTGATTTTAAATATTCTTTTGTAAACGTTATCCGCAAGCTCTAATTTTGAACAACTCCAAACAATAATCGGATTAAGTCAAGAATTCAAATCTGAAAACAGCTTGATCTCTATGTAAGCTTTATCTCCTATTTAAATTCAAATAACTAATGCCTTATCTTCCTTTAACCAGAGTCTTATCCTTATTTCTCCAAATCTCAACAATTGTCTTATCTTCCTTTGACCAAGTTTTTATCCTTATCTCTTCAAATCTCAACTCAACAAAATCTGCAACTTTAACTTCAAATCTGATTTTAAATCTTCTTCTGCAATACGAAATCTTCTTGAACCTGTTTTTTTGAATTTTTACAAGATTGAAAATAAATTACCAACTAATAAAAATACTTAACAATCTCTCCCTTTAATATTTTTTGACAAAACTAACAAGAGATCGTAAAAAAATTTAAAAACAACAAAAAATATAAAATTACATTGTTCTCCACATTTTTGTCAAAAATAGGCCAAAGACACAAAAAAATAAAAAAACTCACACCCTAGAAGCGTTTTCAGCAACTGATGTGCATATCATGTTGTAATACTTGTTGAAACACTCGGTGTAACATTTCGCACTAGATATCTATGAACGCATATCCTTTTTAAGCGTCTTTAGATATCAACACTTCACCCCAGAAACGTCTTTAGATATTAGAAATTATTTAGATCCTTTTTAAGCCTTTATATTCCTTAATGCAGTTTCTTAATCTATGCTTAATTTAGTGGGATGCTCTTTTGTATTTGCGAATAATTGAAACATTTCATTAGTTCCGGTGTTCTTTTAAATTTGGGTTATTTTTTAGTTTATTTAATCATAATCATGTTATTGGCTTGATTTTAATCACTTTCAACTCCATGGAACAATCAAGCTTGTTGTGTTGGTTGTCTTGGTGACATGTTGGTACAAAATCATAATTCAGAATCATTTTCAGTTTACGTGTGTTTTTTATTAGAAAAAATATTATAATGAATCACGAATCATGATTCGAACCATGATATAAATCTTTATACTAAACACAAATATGTTCCAAGAAGTCATTTTGTCTAATTTGATTGTGATGCCTCAACAACACGAGCGTTCCGCCAACGCTTTCATGAGTTTGATATCAACCACAGGGTCTTTGAAAATTGTTGATAATTTTGTTCACATACTCGTAAATTTTTAAAACAGAGGACACAAATTAAAGACTCTAAAGGATGGGAGGGACATAAATCTACGGTGTAAATTAGGCATATATAGTACCATTTATCATTTATGAAGTTTAATTATCCACCCGTAACACTTTTATGTGTAAATTAAACTCAAATTTTTTAACCAAAGTTGTACATTTGAATACCAATTCTTTAAAGTAGTATTCGTCTAACTCAGGTGTAAATTAGCAGCTAAAGAGGGAAGGTTCCCTAATTCGTTAAATAATATATTAAGGCATCGTTCGTTTCGCTGATTCGAGTTTAAAATTCGAGTTTTATTACAGTAAAAAGCTTTCACAAACAGTCACATCTAATTTTTTTGCTACAGTAAAAAGCTCTCACAATGTCATATTACTATTATGATGATGATGATAAATGGTGAGTTTCTTTGGTATGACTCGAAAAAATAATTAACGGTAGTTTTTTACTTTTCAACCTTCAAATTTGTATTAAAAACTATCTGTTTTGCATACTTTTTTAATGTGATGTGATTTTAACTAAATCCAACGCCGTTTACTAGAGAACGTTGCTGATAAATGTGCCTATTGGTCTGAAATACACTTGTTCATCTCACTCTATCTAATTCTACTAGTTAACCTACTTTGAAATGACAATCTGCTGTCCTTATCGTTCTTCTTTCATGATTTATATCCAATATTGTTGTTACTGAACGATCAAACAAGTCCTATATTTAGGCCAAGACTTTGAACATCTGCCTCCCATTCAAACTACATTAAAAATTTAAAAATGCTGCAAGCAAATTATGCCAGCATGCAAAACAAATTTATCAGCAAGATTTGTACGTGATCGTTTGAAAATGAAACTCTTTTTCTTATGATTACTCAATCATCACGCAAATTAGGCATTTTATGTGTTCTATTTATGTCGTCAGTGCAGTAACTTGTTTGTCTAGCTTCTAGAGTAAATTGCCCTATAAGAGAGATTCATTGTATTAGTATTTTTCATATATATATATATATATGGATTTGTTCTTGTGTATATTCCACGAGGATTCTTTTGGCGGTGTGTTTGTCACACGTTTCGTGGATTTAATATATTCACAATTTCGTTATCTTCTTACATATACAAAATTGGCCATATTATTCTTCACATTTATTTTAAAATTAAACTAATCGAGCTTAGGGACATAAACAGTAGAAAATAAATAGTGGGTTTTACACTAGTTTGAATATAAAATTGGTACAATATACTAGACTTTAGCTACGTAATATATAAGACATGCAATATATAAACATTAATTATGAATTAACGGTCTAATATAGCTGGGTGTCTTCTTGACTGGTCATATGGACATATATATCTGCGCGTGATTTATTTAATTTTCCTATTTCAACATTAATTAATTGATAGTTAAATACATGATTAAACGCAAATTATAAAGTTTAACTTTTCCGTTTTGCTTTAGAACAGAAGATACATATAGCGATACATAAAAGCACGAACTAACGATCAAGGTCATATAAGATAAACAAGTGATTTCAACTTTTAGATCCTTATTTTGAGTTTTTATTAGGTACGGATGTCTCAATATATAAGTGTGTGAGAAATAAAATGTAGAAATCCTAAAATGAAACTATATTTAAGAAAATATATAGACTAAATATCTTCTTGTTCTTGGTTTCTTTTTCTTTTTTTTTTAAGGGAAAAACCTATCTTTATTCTTGATATCACATCATGGCATTTGCACGATTATGAACAATATTTAATAATACTATCATTGTTAAGCATCATAAATAATAGAAGATCGACCCACTAATTATCTTCTTGTTCTTGTTTTCTTTTTCTTTTTTTTTTCAAGGTAAAAAAGAAAAAAAAAAGTGAGAAAGAACAAAATTGTAAACAATGTTACATGTTATTAACACCACACACTAATTAAAATTGAATCTCACTTATATAATTTATAAATGAATTGATCTTCTATTAATTATGATACTTAACATCAGTAGTATCTTCAAATATTATTCATAATTGTGTTAATGCCATATGATATCAAGGATAAAAATAGTTTTTTTTTTTTTTCCTTGAAAAAAAAAAGAAAAAGAAAACAAGAACAAGAAGATAATTAGTGGGTCGATCTTCTTGTTCTTGTTTTCTTTTTCTTTTTTTTTTTAAGGGAAAAAAGAAAAAAAAAAAACCTATTTTTATCCTTGATATCATATGGCATTAACACAATTATGAATAATATTTGAAGATACTACTGATGTTAAGTATCATAATTAATAGAAGATCAATTCATTTATAAATTTTATAAGTGAGATTCAATTTTAATTAGTGTGTGGTGTTAATAACATGTAACATTGTTTACAATTATATATTGGCCACAATCTTGTAAGGCTTTTTTTTTTCTTTTTTTTTTGGGGGGGTCGGTGACATACGTGGCTTTGTCAGCCAGTATAACCCAACTTGGAACACAATTATGACCCTTATTTCATCGTTTTGCAATTACTTCTACTTCAACACACACTACATAGTGTGAAGCATCTGGTAGTGACGTGGGAGTTGGCTCCTCCTGGACCCACACGTAAGAGAATTAGTGCCACACGTGCGACAAGTGTGATGATCAAAGTTAATATAAAAAATCACTATATAGTATTCTTTTAGTGATTAATTAATAATATAATCTTCTAGTTAAACAAAGAAACAAATTTAATTCGCCCCAAGGGTACCATATTTCCACTTGACCCTTCGAAGTTCGAATGCCATATTTATTTATATATAAAGAAACATTAATTTAATTAAAGACACCTTTTTTAATACGTCAATATATCAGTAGAACAAGTTTTTTATCCGTTAAATTTACATAAAATCACGTAAAAATTAAAAAATATACAAATTTAACGATTAAAAAATTTGACCTACCTGTACGTTAGACATACCATAAAATATCTTTAATTTAAAAGCAAACTCCATAGTTTTCTTCGAGCTTTGATAAGACTACACCAGTACTGTCCAATTATTGGATGAGATGTTTAGTCTTGACACCGTGTTTTTTGCATAGAAAGCAATTAATTATTGTTTAACACTGCTATCCACTTCATAATATGTAGACTGTGTTTTCAAGATCTGAACAGGTCTTCTCTTTTTCCATGTTGCTCATTTCTTTTTAATTTATTGGTCGATAATTAGTTTTAGAATATCTACATCTGTTGGGTTGAAAAATATGTACAGTACTTGTGTATATATTAATCCTTTTCTTGAAGGGATAAACGAGATTTATTTCCTGAGTTTAAAATGAAAAATAGGAAGTTATAAATTAAATGATTGTCCAGGGTTCAAACATAAGTACCATTAGATTAGATTAATTGTAGTTAAATGGAAAAAAAAAAAAAAAACCTTTATCTTGGCAGTTTGCATAGAAGTTTAACTAGAGTATATGCAAATCTATTACTGCTGAACTTGTATCTAGAACATGCATCGCACTAGTACCAATTATTGTTTTTTGTCATTGTGATGCCCCAGTTGTGGTGTGGCCACGTACGCCTTTATGATCAGCTAAAGACATATATACTCATTCACAAGGACAATATTGGATAACCATGAAAGAGTAAGATTAGTTCATTAATTACAATTAATCCAACCACTTAATCCCAATTTTCCATTATTTTAATCCATTCATCATTAACTTGTTGATCATTGGACATCATGTGGGAGCACCTGCATACGAGTATATATCTAACGCATTACACACTAAAAATATGATGATCAGTGAATTGATCACATCAAGAAAAGACATATATAGGTTACATATATAAATATATATATATATATATATATATATGAATGTATATATCCTTTTCTCCCCTTTTATATACGTGAAATTATATATGTGAAAAGAAAAATATTAGTGTCACTCATTTTGTCAATCTCTCTTTGTTTTACACGTGAACTTTATTATCTTATTTTCTATTAAAATAATAAAAATATTATATTAGTGAAGTGACAGAGAGAATGACGCTATTGATGTGAAAAATGTTTGAGCTAATTAGGAGGGTTTAAATAAAGTTTTTTCCCCTCTTCACTCTTATGTGAAAAGTTCTGAGCTATATATTAAGTATAAGAGTTCAAGAAAGTTTAGAAACCAGGGATAATGGAGTGCGATCTTTTAAGATTAGTTGAACCTCAACTAAATTATTGCCTAAAGTACGAATTTATTATTTTAGTATAGCACCCTTTAATTAACAAATGAACATACCATGCTGTCTCATAGATCATTCACTTCTCTTTCATTTCTCAACTGTTTGCAAAAAAGTACACATGTCAGAGGACTTGAAGATTGTCGTTGCACTATGCTAAGCTTTAAATATTTGCTGTTTTAATTTAGAGCTTTTTTACTCTCCATTTTAGTGTTATTAAAAAAGTATATTCTTAATTTTCGACCGTTGCAAATATTATCGTCAGATTGGTTTTTTTTTTTTTTATTACTTATCATTCCTATTAAATGAATTCTCTTCAATTCTTACTTATTCCACTTTTCACTTGAATGAATTCTCTATTGTTTGTTTACAACGATCCTAATTATGTAGTTCACATAATTTTATATAGAAGAGGCTATTCTCTTACTCCTGCTTCTATTTCAATGGTTTGTCTCATTTATTAATTAAGGAATATATTCTTTATATATATATATATATGTCTAGTCTATAGTGTATATTGTCTCCCTAAGCTCCATAAATTAAGTTCTGAATCTTAGAGTACAGTTCTAAATTTTAACTGGTCAGTAATTAATAAACTGCAATCAAAATGGAGGCCTGACTGTTTTGGAGTTGGACTTTAGGATTTTTGACTAGACTACAATCTAGCTTCTTATTGGGGTTAAGCCTACCCCACTCAATCTAAGGATTAATTGGGACAGACAAGGTCCTAATTTTATGAAAATACTTATCCCGCTGTCTTTTGAGGCCAAAAATGTCCTCCAAAAATTACTTGGGATGATCACGAACTGCTTCTTTGATTGGTCTATGAGTGTGACATGTTAACTTATAATCCATTTGACTAATTAACTCTTTGTTTGATTTATTAGGGGCCCAACTATAGAAATTTTCAAGCTCTTCTGCAATTAATTAGGATATTAAATTAACAAGTGGAGGCAAGTGTTAAGTAATGTGACATCTAAGGCAAAAGAGAGAGAGAAAATCGTACTGCATATTTACAGGAAATAACAACCTCCTTTCGGCCGGTTTAGTCAAATTTTCTGTCTGGTTTATTAGTGTATTTTGTATATGTATATATATTAAGTGTTTAAAAAGTAACAAGCTAAGATTGATCGTCATTAGGGGGAAAAAAATGCTAAAAAGCTAAGACAGGGTCAGATCAGAGTCATCCACGCGCAAAAGATACTCTTGCATGCATAATAAGTTTTTTTTTTTTTTTTTTTTTTTTTTTTTTTTTTTTGAGGGGAAATAATAGGATGATTTCGGCATCACTCCATTTGCCAGCTGTCACATGACTTGTAGATTAGTTTCTCAATTTTATAAGCTGCAGTGCCGGTAATTAATAGTCGTTTTCACTTTTGAATTAACTAGAGGTTAAAAATAACTAACAGAACCAACAATGAAAGCTTTAGTTTTGGTTCCCTAGAAGATTGGGGTTAGTTTTATTAGAATTTCAATGCTTTACTTTTATTGTAAGATCAACAGGGCATCTGAAGACTCAGCTAATTTCGGGACCCACAGTTTAGTCTCATTCTCTCAGATAAGATTCCATTATATATAATCAACCACTAACTGTATCTGTTCTATATATATATATATATACAAAAACGTATATATAAAACATATAAGAAGAAATAAAAATTCAAAATAAATATGATCCCTATGATAGATCAAAAATATACCAAGCAAAACAAAATGGGTTTGGTTTATGTCTTTGTGATAGCTCTTTTTGTTGTTCGAGGAATCTTATTTGAGAGTCCGAAATTAATTAGGTCAGGAAGGGGTAGAAAAGATGATTTAAATATTCTAAAAAAATGAAATCTGTACCCCATTAAGGGAACCAATTGTAATTAAGTATTGATTATTTGTACTCTCACCACTAGCCTCCCTCTTTAGTCTTTATAAACCGGGGGATCATATTGATGCTAATCAACACATCATTAAAGCTAAGATAATATCAAAGCCAAAACCGCCCCCAAAAATTATCAAACCAAGATAGCGCTGATCAAAAGATTCATCAATTAAGATGACGAGTTCTGGTTCTCCTTGTGGAGCCTGCAAGTTCTTGAGAAGAAAATGCGTTAGAGGTTGCGTTTTCGCGCCTTACTTCTGCCATGAACAAGGTGCTTCTCACTTTGCAGCCATTCATAAGGTCTTCGGTGCAAGCAATGTATCTAAGTTGCTTGCTCATCTTCCTGTGAGCGATCGTCCCGGCGCTGCAATCACCATCTCCTATGAAGCTCAAGCCCGGCTCAAAGATCCTATTTATGGCTGCGTTTCGCATATATTTTCTCTCCAACAGCAGGTAATTAAACCATAAGTAGTGCACTTCAAGTTCCTTATAAATCTGTATACATTCTGTATAATGGTGCACGTTTCTGATCATTCAGATCTTGTGAGAAAAAAAAAAATCAAACGTTATGCAAGTGTGCAATGAAATATAATGTTTTCTCAAAAGAAACAAAAATGATAATATTCAATGTAGATATGATGCGCTTTACAAACATTTATTAGCTCTTGGTGTCTATTGATCATACTTTCAAACAATTTTTTTTTTCTTTCTGTACAAATGTTGGTTTTGTTTACAAAAACCACAAAAATATTTTCTGATTTCGCATTACTTAATATTTACCATAGTCTTGTTTCCTTTACTTGTGATCATTGGCAGGTGATTAATTTACAAGCACAACTAGCTTTGATCAAGGAACAAGCAGGAGCTCAAGGTTTTCAGAACGGCTCTTCCAGTACTGCAAACCCTAACGAGAGGTATAACAATGGAAGACAATATCAGCAAGTAGAAGATCTCCAGAATTGGTTTCAATCAGAAAACTCAAACATGGTGCCACAATATAGTCCGAACCTGACGAACGAAGCCTCGATGATGCCACCATACTTTGAGAGTAAGCCAATGTGTTCTAACTCTTCTGGAAGTTGCGAGAATATTTCGATCTTTGCAGAAGATCAAAATGGCTTGTACGGAAAGTACGACGAGGCTTATCACTTCATGTCTTCATTGGACAACTTGCAAACAGTCAACAGGCAAATGGGTTTTCAGGAGTACCCCGACGAACTTCAGTCAATGCCTTTTAGCTATACCCGGCATTCATGATCAGAATTAGAACAAATTAGGCTGGCTCTGCCCAAGAATTAATAATATATTATATAGCAATATGAAAAGGATATAAGTCTCCAATTTGGATATACATTGAAACAATGAATTAGTAAGAACTAGGTAATTGTTGCCTTTGTGTAAGTTGGAAACCCTAAAAATGGGTATCATACCATTTGGAACAAGTTACATCATTGGTAATTGATATTGATGAAGTTCTAGCACTGGTTATATATGCTACGGATGAAAAGAAAATTTATAATATATAAATTGGATATATATATATATATATAAATATATATAAATATCTTGGATCCAGGAATGAAGTTCATTTTTTTCCCCTCGAAAATGCAATGTAGTTCTATTTTGCCTTTAAGATTGTTCAAATCCCATGTGTATATACAGATTCCCTTACAAATTAATGGTGTTCTTGGCCAGCTGTTTAGCCAGGGAATATTAGCCATAATGAAATGAAAAGTTATATTCCCGATCATCACAAAAACAAATAAATAAATATAACGTTTTCTGATCTTTTTGAGGTTTATGGCATGTGCTCTGTGGATTATGTCGAATCTGACATTCTAGTCACGTTGTTACCTGATCTCAGCATTACTACTCATAAAACTTAAAAGAGACCGAGTGATTAGTGAGTTCCTTTTTTTCCCTTTTTTTTTTTTTTACCATGTGATTATACTGTCTAAGATGATCATAAACGGATATTGAATGTAACCCTTAATTTGTTGACTTTCGATCTCTTGGTCTATATAACAAAAGCCGACTGAATTATTATACACGTTGTGCTGCTGATCAGTTATATAAGTTATGTATTGTTCCCAAATTTTTCAGCCAGGCCCAGTTGATATTGTTCCTATATACGCGCTATAAATATATATATTATGTTTATATATGAAGTTTTAGTTTTAGGTGATAATCAGTTTTTTGTGTTGCTTTTTCTTTCTGTTTCATCTCATGGAGCCATATTCTTTTAGCCCCTTGCTTCTGTGTGTGTGTGTATATTATACGTGCTGCATGTATATACGTGTTTTATATAGTACTGTAATTAAAATTGTTGATATTGGAACTTAGGACTCGTTCATTTTGCCGATTCGAGTTTTCAATTCAAGTTTAGAAGTGACTTTATGTGAGAGCTTCCAACTGTAGCAAAAAAAAAGTTAGATGTGACTTTTGTAAGAGCTTTTAACTGTAGCAAAATTGAAATTGAAAACTCGAATCGATAAAATGAATGAGGCCTTAATTACCATAGTCAACGAATCAACTTTACATAATTGTACGCTATAAATCTACTAGAAATGTAGATTCTGATCTAGAGAAAGTTACATCCTTATTTACACATTTATGTTTGCATACAATACACATAGTCCCAATTCTTATAACAAAAATAAAAAATAAAAACCAAGATAAATATTACGAGCCTGAAGAGATTACCTGATTTTACGTTAACACTTTTGAATCTTTTAAATAAAAAGCGAGTGAGGATAACTAGAATTGGGGGTGGGAAAAACATCTCAACCATGTTGGCATCTAAATCGCACTAAACCCCGCTCAAACATTGTATTTAAAATAAGAAAGAAAAAAAAAATTAAGGATAACATATACGTTAAAAGGCTAATAACACAATGCCAAAAGAATAGAAAACCAAAGAAGGGAAAAGGGCAAAAATGATCCTAAAAAGCCAAATAAAAAAACATTCGGGTGGTATATTTTCTCAATTAAAGATCAATAAAGGCCTCATTAAAACCTTGTTTCGGTTAAATTTTTAGAAATATTTTATTTTATTATTTTGGAAATTTTCTGAGATTTCAAGGACTTTCAATTATAAGATCACCCAAAGACCAAAAAAGTTCATGAAAAAAAAAGGGCTAGTTTACTGTTCGGTCAATATACAAGTGCCCGTCCCTTCCTACACTCAAAGAAACAAACAAGACTGCATTTCCATTATAAATCAACACAAGAGGTTAAACATCGTCAACTAATCTTCCAAATTAGGTTAATTGCTTCTCCCAGATTGTCTCCACCTGTGACTAACTTTCTTACTAATTATAAAGTCATGATTGAAAACTTCCTCTCTAGTCACATTAATCTTCTTCTCACACAAATTAAATTAATCACAAAAACAAATTAAAAGCGTATATATATGTCTCTTTCTTAATCCTTCTTTTAACCTCCTTCGAAAAATGACAAGTACCCCCTCGTTGTCGTTACTGTTTTCCCCTACAATATTACCTACATCATCACCAGCTCCTTGTAATAAGGGTTGGACTTTGAAATTTTGCCCCCTATTCAAACTACATTTTAAATTTATAAACAAGCTAATTATACACGTATTCATTCATTCTAGAACTGAGAAAATAATTTTTTTACGAAAAAAAAAATGCTCTTGAAAATGAAGTTTTCTTTATATGTTTCTGAATCATCAAGCAATAGAGTTTTCACTCCCTTTTTTGTTTGTCAGAGACGAAAGACAATGTTTATGACCAGAGACCAAGTCATTGTCAAGTATAAGCATCTAGGATATATATATATATATATATGTATGTATATAATATAATCTATATTACAAATTTAGCATCATCAACAACAACTAATTAATTAACTGACATGATCTTATTGGATATTTTCTAGATTCAAATCTTGTAGAGTTCATCATCTCACTATTTTCCAAGTATATGACATGATCTACTAGTAAAGACACCATTGTTTGGTTAATAGCTTATGGACTTATATTTCAATGACACCCCCAAAAAATTATATATATTTGTATATATATATATAATATATGTGCAAGATGAATTTAGTATTTTTGTAGATTGAGAAGGGAACAAAAGAAAGCTTATAATTAGTTATCTGGTAATCATCTACACACGTGCAATGGCCCCCATATGCAACCTGGGTGTCGGCTTGACTGGTCTATAGAAGAACACATTTTAGCCATTTTCCAGCAATTTTGTTTCTTCTTTCTTTTAATATTACCAACCAAAATATTGTCCTCATGACGAACTCTCTTTAAAAATATTGCAAGAGATTATATAATATAGTATATATAGTTCTTTTCTATCTGGGAAAAGCAAACGTACGTTTTTTGTCTTAAATAATAATAACTCAAGTTTTTGGCTGATTCTTGCTTAATTAACCTAACGTATGTGTCCCAAGAAAATGAGAAAACCGAAAAAGAAAGGACAAAAAATAAAAAATGTAAAGTATCACCTAATATAACTGCGGTAGTAGATCATTCTCAAACACTAACTGATCAGAAATAAAAAAAAATTACATTAGATCTGTCTCGTTCACTTCGCAGATTTAAATTTTCAATTTAAGTTGAGATGTGACATTTTCTGAGAGCTTTTCACTGTAACAGAAAAAGTTAAATGTGACATTTTCTGAGAACTTTTTACTGTAAAAATCTAAAACTGAACATTCGAATCCATAAAATAAACAAGACTATAATATACGTCAACAAGTTATTTTTCTTGTGTCTTTATATGAAACCTAAAAAAATAAAAAAATAAAAAGACATTGGGTGCTAATTAAGTAATAATTTGTAAGGTTATTATTGACCATAGTCTTGTAAGTTTCCTAGTTCACTCACTGACATATTTGGCTGGCACGCCATTCCACAAGAAAAATTATGAATTAAAAAAAATTATAAATATAGAAGAGAGCATGACTCTAGTTTTATCGTTTTGCTAAAGTTCTTGGTGGTGATGACGTGGAGGTGGCTCCAGTGGGACCCGCAGGGTCTAAATGCATGTTAAAAATGAAAGCGGCATTCGTGCGGCGTGTCAACATCATAATTGAGATGCTTGCTTGCATTATCATTTGGGGTCCCCTTTTCCTATTGGGCACGTGCACTGCACCGCCAATCCCTAGGAATATTTAAAATATATTTTGTCGGCTGTTCCTCCACTTTTGTCTTCTTTTGTTCATCCATCTTCTTTCATTTTTCTTCTTGACCGTCAAAATTCAACAGGGAGTATATAAGATTAAAAAAGATAAATTACTCATAGTTTTTTATTTTTAATTGTTAAATTTATATTAAAAATTATTTATTATACATATTTTTTAAATCTAATCTTATTTTAATTAGATTTAACGTTTAAACCCTATTTACTATTGTTTCAAAGTTTTAATATATCTTTTTATCTTTTGTCCTTTTTTTGGTTTTTTTTACGTGAGATCCTCTCTTAACTTTACAAGTTTGATAAAAAGGTAAAGCCAATTATTCTCTAGTTCTTGTTGAGAAATAGATTTAGTTGAACATACTATCTCCAAATAGAACCAAATTAGACATGTCATGTTGGATTTTAAAGGAAGAAATGTATGAATTAGGGGTTTATGAATCGAAAAACTTTGAAATTTGGAATTGTATTTAGAAGGTTATGAATGTCAATTTTAGATGGATGAATTGGCTGTGCCCAATGCCCAGAAGAGGGAGGATCTTTGGGGGTTTTTTTTTTTTTTTTTTTTTTTTTCTCTTTTCAATTTTGCCTTCCAATAAGGAGGAATTGTATTGAGGACCTTGCTGAGGTTTTTCTTTGAGTTATGGTGGGTTCTTAATTTAAAACTGTGTAACAATTAATTATTTTTATTTCATATTCTACGATATAATTCTTTTTTATTACTCCACCAATTAATAAGCAATGTTCTTGTAAAGCATTCTATAGCTCGAGGTAAGTTAGAATCTTATTCTATACAAATATAAACATTAAATTCATTAAAAGAAAATAAACCACTAAAATGCTATTAAAATAGTGGGCTGGAATTTCGATTAAAATTCTATCTAATAATTCGAAGGAAATTGGATAATTCGTGGTTCAAGTTTTTTTTTTTTTTTTTTTTTTTTTTTCCTTCTTTGTAAATGAAAGATAACAAGATATCCCAAAAGTTTTTTTTTTCTTTTTTTTTAATTAATTAGCGCTTCAACTCTGAACCTAGCTTTAGAACTTAAGGAACTAAAAGTTATAAATTAATAAGAGCTTGAGTTGTTATTAAAAATGATCTCAGAATCTAAACCTCTTTTCTTCCAATTAAGAGTCAAATACTTCGTGTTATAGGCTTGCATGTTATATATAGATTCCACTAATTATAGGAGGTGGCACCAAATGATTGGTTTAATTCTGCAAAACAATCCCAAGTAATAAAAAGTTGAGCCTGTTCAATGAATACTGAAAGGTCCAAAAGTAAAAAATAAATAATAAATAATAAATAAAAGTGAAAGTAAAAAAGTGGTTCATCAGCAGATTTAAAACCTCTTTAGACTTATGATATATTGAAGAAAAATATTGCTCAGGGGGTTGGAGTACGATTATAAGATATAAATAGGATAACACTTTCATAGTCGATTTTTGTTTGTGTCAGAAAATTAGTAATAAACAAGAATCTAATTGCTTAGAAAATTATGTACACATATCTAATCCTGACCTTATTTTTAATTGATTATTTTGCAGTATTATAATTGTTTACCGTACATTTTTAGCACATGCGTTGCACTTCTCACCACTGTATAAATATTTAAGACAGTGATAAAAAATGGTGGCATTGAGCATTATTCATGTATATGAACAATAAGACGAACGCATATATATATATACACGCAGTACCATATCTTGCATTTAACTAATTGATATTTTCTTTTAATAAAATAAGTAAGAATTTAAAAAAAAAAAAAAAAAAAAAAAAAAAAAAAAAAAAAAAACCTAATTGAGTACTTGACTAATTAGTTATAGAAAGAATAATTAAGGTTAAGAATGAGATAAAGGGAATTATTTGTGCGGGTTCAACTTGGATTAATTAGCTTTTTGCATTCATTTAAGCGTAATACACGTCCCGGAAATCTCTTTGTATAGAAACAACCATTGGTGTTAATATTTTAGAATAGTACTTTATCATACTTAATCTTAGTCTTTTTTTTTTTTTTTTTTTGAAAAGAGTAATCTAAGTCTATTTTAGTCAGGCTACATGTGTTTATGTTTTTTGAAAAGATTAACCAAGTACTGTTCACAGTAAGATGAATTAATCGCTAGAAAGGACGAGTCCAAGCAATCGGCAACTCTATTGCCTTCTTTATTTTACATCTACTATATATATATATATATATATATATATACACACACACACACACACATAACAAATTGGCAGTACTAAACTTAATCTCTAAAACTTCACTATAAGTTTTTTCTGGTTTTCGACATAATGCACATCTTGTTGAATATGACGCATGCAAATGGACTGGCTTTAGATTTTTTATTTAATTTTTTTTTTTTCTGAGGACCGGGACTGCCTTAAAAAGTGCACTTAAATTTTCCTTTTAAAAGTATATACAGAAAGGATATATACAGATTGGGGGGTTTTTTGTTGTGTCCTCTTTAAAAGCAAAATTACTCGGACCATTCTCTATACTATTATTGTCCAAAGGTAGAATATATTTCAAGAATCTCTTTTATAAGCATGCCTTCTTGTCTCCAAAATCTTTCTACTTCCTTTTGTAATTCCCTTGCTCAAAGTGGCCAACAAGTACAACCTAGTGGAAGTCATTATCCATTTCTGCGATAATGGCTGCCAATGAGGTCCATGCCATGCACAAACTCCTCTTCATCAGACGTCCAATACCATTCATGATCATCATATATATATATATATATATATATATATAGGCTCCTTTATTTCCCATGCTAATTGTAACGATACGTGTAACACTGCAATTGGGAAATGATTTCAGGTTTTGTTGTTTTTTTTTTTTTTTGATAATTACTTTAGGTTATAAACAGTGCATTTCTACACACAGATTATCAGTATTTCAAAAATAATATGTATTATATAGTATAGGGATTATGCTATTGCAATTTGTATACATACATATATACAAATATTGTTGGCATTGCATGTTTGAGAATTTTGGACAAAGTGGCCTACATAATCACTAGAAAGGATGAGAAGCAACTCACATATATATTGTCAAATCAAGTTGTATTTACGAATACTAAATATATCTTAGCATTCATCACACCCTGTCTACACAAAACAATACATATAGTTTGCCATTAATAACAAAAGTGTGTGTATATATATATGTATGTATATATGTTTCTTGGTTGTACGATGAACTTATATATGTAGTGAAAAGATGAACTTAATTGAAAAGAGGCAAAAGAACAAAAAAAAAAAAAGGGAAAGAAATAGTTGGAGTGTCATTATTGAGTTTGGGATGTGGGACCAAAATGCACAACTTTGAGAGGTCTACATGTTGGCAGCTATGGGTGACAGACGAAAGTGATTAGTGATAAGATAAATATAATATTAATTAATGCCTATTTATACAGTACTATTGCTCGACAAACCGTGACCTGCAAAGCTTAAACAAATTAAAAGATTAGAAAAGAGAAGTACTAGTATAGTACTGTTACTCTTTTTTGTCCCTCTCTAATTATACTATATATCATCTTAGCGGTTCACTTGGTTTAGTGCTGTGTGTTGTACTGTTGTATTCCAGTGTCACTATCTTTTGTTTCATTCAATTAATTTTTGGAATATATGCCTTTCTTTTCTTTCCCTGAGTTCTATTAATGGTTTCTTTACGTTTTTTATTACCTGTCCTTAATCACTATTATGATTCCAACAATCACTATGTCAAGTAATACACATTGTCAGCAATAAGTAAGTACAATTAACCAAATGAGCTGATTAATTAATTAATATAATCTGACTAGCTGAACCTTTTTATTGCGTACTGTTTAATAAATACTAATTGCATCCCTCAATTTCATAATTTAGAGGGAACAAATTAAGATGTTCCCCTAAAGCTTCTTAGACTTAATTTAGTCAAGCCAGCTGGATAGATAAAGAATATAAGTTTTTGACCTGACCTTCTTATGAATCAGTATTTCATTGTGACATAGGTAATGCACCTTATAAAACTAAAACGAGTAGGAGATTAATTAGTAGCGTACCTCGCATAATTACAAGATTAAATTGTCTAAATTAGATGGTTAAAACTTAAATTCATATCTAATATTACTATTTTGATAGGGTGTGGGGTCAATGACTCCTAGCTACTTTACTAACAAAAAATAAAACTAACAGCATTCAAATCTTAATAAATTTATACACACTTACGCACCCAACCATAGCCTCAACTAGAATCTGATCCTATATTTTGAAGATGATCAAAATGGATTCTATATAATCTTCATTTTTTTCCCTCGAGATTTACTTTATTGGAGCTGTCATCTTGTCTTTCTTTCTTTTATTTTTATTTATTTATTTTTAATTCTAAGTTAACTATTTCTTATGTTTATTCTTTGAAAGTCAAGCAAATATATATGGTTTCATTCCCAATTGGCCTATTTTAGTTCAACAACAACAAAAAAATGTAAGATTATCATTACCGATGAGCAAATTATTAATAAATTGTCTTCTTTTCAAAATTCAATATAAAATATAATTCCTTCAATGTTCCAAATAGAAATCTTCAAAATGCTTCCAAGATTCCCAAGAAACCTCACTAGCTTTAGAAATATTAATCATGCGCGCATATGGATAATCTTGGACTGACAAGGTGAAACATTACTTCTCAAAGGTTCACAGTACTTCACATTAAATTTCTGTGCCTAATTTTACATTTTTGGCAGGTCTATGAAATGGAAGGTTTTTCTTCTTGTTATATGAAAGGAGATTAAAAGTTATCCTTTAAGAATCTAGACAAATAAACAATAACTAAATGGTTAGTAAGTCAAGTAATTAAGAATATTAGAAGAATCGTGATTTCGAAAAGAAAAAAGAACCACCTAGTTAAGATTGGAAGGGGGAAAAAAAAGTTATATATATACTGCACGATTTACATCTTTTCCATATGACTATATTCATATGGTAATAATTTAGCCCCACATTCTTCTGGATTCAGGTAGCTAGATTAAATGTAGCTGCAGTTATCACGTATATATATATATATATATATATATATAGGGGCTAAATATATTTATTTAATGTTTAAGAATGAGCACATAAAACCAATCATCAAGCAAACACAAAATTGGGTTTGGTTTGTGTTATAGTTCTTTTGTCGTATAACAATATCGAATGGGAATCTAATTTCAAATCATCAAAAACATTTAAGATGGATGGTGAGAGGGTTTTGTCCGCTTATAAAAGGGGAAAAAAATAATGAAATCTGTACCCCATTAAGGGAACCTAACGTAATTAAGTATTCAATTATATGATCTATCATCCTCCTTCTTGTAATTATAAACATGGTGATAAACTCATAATTGCACAAAGCATAGAGAACAAAAAACTCACACACAAAAGAAAAGAAAAGAAAAGAAAAGGAAAAAAAAAAAAAAAAACTCCCAGAACAATTAATTTCATCAATTCATCAAGATGACAGGTTCTGGTTCTCCTTGTGGAGCCTGCAAATTCTTGAGAAGAAAATGTGTTAGTGGTTGTATATTTGCACCTTATTTCTGCCATGAACAGGGAGCGACCCATTTTGCAGCTATTCATAAGGTTTTCGGTGCAAGCAATGTGTCAAAGCTACTGTCTCACCTGCCGGTGACTGACCGTTGCGAAGCGGCGGTCACGATCTCTTATGAAGCTCAGGCGAGACTTCAAGATCCGATCTATGGCTGTGTTTCTCATATTTTTGCTCTTCAGCAACAGGTTTAGTGTATACTTTTTTTAACCCTCAAAGTACTTACAGTTAAAGAATGGAAAAAACCTAGTAAATTTTTCACTTTACCATTTAGTTTCAATTGCCTTAATCAATCCTTTTGGTTTAATGTTTAATTGAACTCTTGGCAGGTTGTTAACCTACAAGCACAATTAGCTTCTCTCAAGGAGTTACAAGGAGCTCAAAGCTTTACCAATGCCTCTGGAACAGTAAACCCTAATGGAAAATTCTGCGGAAAAGTTCTTTCTCAGCATCCTCGGCAAGATTTCCACGGTTGGCTTGATTTACAAAGTTCAAACACAACGCCCCAGTTCACATCAAACTTGAGCCATGAAAATAGGGTTGTGAATCCAAGCCCTGTGGGGAATAATTACGCCGAATATTCACTAATCCCGGACGAGAATGTCTCGTATGGCAGCTTTGAAGAGGCCAATTCCTTTTCCATGTCTTCTCTTGAGATTCAACCAAACAACAGGCAATTATGGGCTTTCCATGATTCCGATGAGCTTCAATCAATGGCTTTTGGCTATCTTTAGAATTCGTGGAAAGGGACTTATGATCATATTCATGCGTGAGTGCAAGATATCATGATCGATCGGTCGAAGACGACCTTTTCCAATTTTTAATTGCTGTTGATCATGAATGCCCTGAAACATGCACTTTTCTTGCTGCTATAAATAAAAGCTAGGAACCCTAGAAATGTTTATACAAGTCATGGAAACCCTATATAAATTAGTCCACCCTACAGGTTTTCTCTAGTGTAATCTCTCAAAAGGAGGGTAGATTAATTTTAATACTGTAATTCTCTGACTGCAGAGTAATCTGTTTTTTTGATTGAGCAGCTATATATATATAGTTCTTTTTGTCAATGAACCCTACCTACTGACTCTAAAAAATCTTTCATAGCCGAAAAAAAGGGAAAAAAAACAGGTGTTTTCCAATTCCTTTCATCGTCGACCTATTGATGTGTTGCATTGACAAATATTTGATCATCTTCTCTTTAATGAAATCTAGGTATAATGATATATGCATGAGCCTTATAATTAAGCAAATGATCATATACTAATTAATTATAAGATCAATTCCTTTAAATGAGATTTCAGAGCATGGTTCGGTGCATGCAGGTTTGCTTGTGGACTGTGTTTTTAGCCCTGCTAACTTAATTAGCTTTTCTCAACAAATAAAAATATAATTAGATTAATAAAACGCTTCAATACTAGATGATGAAATTGTACGGTGTATGATCATCAGCAAACATGTAAGGAACGATATTGGGGAGGTATATTTAAACTTGAATGTATAAATAGATATATATATATATATATATGTATGTATATACATATTTGCCTTTCTATACGTGTATACATTTATACATAGCTTACATTCATTTATACTGTAGTTATTGATTAAAAGTAAACCCTTTTTTTATGTGATTGATTCAAGGAAAACCTCTTTCAAGCACCATTTTTGTTGTTTATTTTTCTAATTAGTTAATTTAGTCTATCTTCTCTTACGATAAAATTCTATATTGATTGAGTGCTTTCATATACTTTGACGTTGTTCTTGCCTGAAGATCAATGAATTTGCGCTCTTTTACATATATGAGGTAATTGACTCTTGATATTATACATATTCTATATATACAGGTGTGCGTGTAATTAAACTAAAAACTTCTTGTTGCGAAAATTACTTTCACAAGAACATTGATCTTTAGTGGAAATATTTATCACTAATGATATTGTAAAGTCTTTTGATTACACTAATTTATTGCAAAATTCATTATGAAGAAATATTCATTACACACACACACACACAAACACATATATACATGCGCTGATTGTGGTTTTTGGCCAGATTATATCTCATAACATTGTTGAGACTTTTTTATTCAAGTTCATGATCTACTGCAACGCAGAAATGTAGCTGTCGTATCTGATGATGTTATAATCCAGCGAACTAGGTTATGACTTTAGTATATATAAACATCTCTACTCAAATAGATTATATTCAGTAGTGCTACTTTTAATTGCTTGAATGTCACAGTACAAATTAACATATAAGTATATATCACCCTGTCTTCATGTCTATTATATTTCATATATTGCTCACTAATACGACACTAGTGTTTCATTAGTTGAAATTAATTTGTCTTAGATTCATGATAGAAATAATTTCAGGTGGGCTCTTATTAGATTGTTTTCAACGTAGAAGTGGAACAAAGCCATCTAATTAAGATCACAATCATGTAGTTAAAGGTTGAAGTTTCTAATTCACTTAATTTGCATTGTATCATATATGTATCCAGATCTTAGTCGTACAGATTGGTGAAGAAATGTATAAATATAGTGGTAATCAGATTACAAAGAATAGGATGCTCAACATTTTGAGAGACATATTAATTGGAAAAGCATAAGTAGTAAAGGAATTATATATATTGATAAGCGGGTGATCGATTACAAAATGTTCTTGTGTTGACATTAATTATCGGGATGAGTACAGCACAAAGGTTTTGAGTTGAATTTGGCCATGAAATTGGGTAGCTTTACTATAAAGAAATAGTTGTTTTTGCCAATAATAAAGTTCTTACTTTCTGTCTGGGGTGTCGACAATTGAGCAATATTATATTCAATTCTTTCGAAAGAGAATATGCTTTTCTGTGAGTAATATGGAAGTTCAATCTTTATTGGTCATGACTCATGAATAATATTGTCTTTGCCCGGTGGAGCATTGTATGTTCTTGGAAATCAGTTGTACTCTTCCGTCTCTATATATATAATTTGTTGCCACTTTTCATTGCCTTGAAATAATGATACTAAATTCAAGGTTGAATATGCACACATGAAGCAAAGTAAAACAACCCTACTAACAATTACAATAAAGGTCCTTCTAAAGTAAGGCCTATTATAGATGGTGTACGGTTTTGATCTTAAGTCTAGTTAAAATCACATTAAAATTAAAAAATATGTAAAATGTATAATTTTTGACACTTATATGACAGTCGAAAAATAAATAACTATTGATGGTTTATTTTTTATGTCGTAAAAATCTCCTTACAATAATAAACCTACAGTTATTTTCAAGGTAGAGAAAGAGAGAATTACATCAATAACCGGTAACTATCTATAATTTATATATTCGTCTACTTTTCTCTTCTCCTAGCTAAGTTGTAAACGGTAGCTATCTCTAGCTAGTTTATATTCATCTACTTTTTTTTTTTCCCTAACTAAAGTTAGAATTCCTTTTTTTTAAGGAAATTTATTTAAAGATGTCGGCCATGTTTGGAATTGATTCCCTTTTTTACGTTTTTCGAGAAAGAAAAAATAAAAACGTTTTCAAAATGGCATTTGGCGCAATACAGACAAAAAAGGGAAATAAAAATGATTTTTTGGTTTAGTGTAAAATGAGAGAAAAATGAAAAATAACGTTTAATCATTTTTCATTTTTTGTTTTTGTTTTCTCTTTTCTCGAGCAGAAAGAAAGACATTAATGGGTTTTTTTACACTGAAAATAATGTCTTGATAAAACTACTAAACGCATTTTTAAAAATAATTTCTGTCTGAAATTGAAAACGTTTTCATTTTCATTTTTATACAAAAAATAAAATCATTTTGAAATGAGTTCCAAACGCGCCGTCGTTTTTTTCTTTTGAAATACGAGCATGCAACTCCAAAAAAGGCTAAGAAAAAATACTTTTTAAATTTGGAATAGATTCGTTTGTAATGCAAAGGGAAAAAAATAAACTTATTCATTTCAGGGTAGAACTATTAATACAAATGAAACGTTTTTTTTTTTTTTTTTTCCTCTTTTAACTTCTACTCACTATTATATTCTACTCAGTCGTATGTCGCTATTCATTTCTTTTCCTTCTTGCTAAGCAGCTGAAAGAGAGTAGCAGCCTAACAGGTGATGGGAGCGGAAAGTAACCAAAACAGGCCCGTGTGGGTTGGGTTCTTAATTATTCTCCTATGGATATAGACGAGACAAAAGCCCATTAATAGCCCAATATAGCAAATAGGGTGTTTGAGTGTACACAAATTCCTAGTTTTTAAGCATAGTTACTCATGTGGGCTTAAAATTTTTAACAATATTTGAGTGAAAATATTTCTCTAAATTTCCCCAGGTAATGTTTCGGGCACCAAATTACTTATCATGGTAATGTGCGTTTCCTTATTATAATATAATAGTAAATCATATACAAGTTTAGTATGCATATTTCATTTAATTAATTAAATATTAATGTTTATTGTCACATGATCATTTAATATCTAAAGTTGATCAACAAGTTGATGCGCTTGCATTATTCTGTATGCATTCATGATGTTAAATTTCAATGATAAAGTGAAGTAAATTTTTACATTTTAGTAAAATATACTCGTCAATTTGTTGATTCAGCGAATCAAAAACGAAAATTAGGAGACAAATCTTACACAAAAAACACCATTCGATAATTTTTATAAATCAATATCATCGGTAAGTAGTGTCATCAAAAAAAAAAAAAAAACTATCTTTGATTTATTACTATTTTTTTTCCTTTAAAGGAGTTTTGTTACTGGGAATTGTTAAATTAAAACCCAAAGACATCGATGGTGGTTGAATGTAACCTTTATTAACATTGAGTGGACGGAATCATAATACAACTTTAGTGAACCATACAAAAGACATAAAAGCTTCCTAAAGCATACAAAAACACTCTATTTGGTCATTTTCAGACAAGACACGGCACAAAGCTCAATGATTTGAAATCATATTAGACCAAGATATTAAAAGTGCTGCAATGACCAAACTTCTTTTTTTTTTTTTTTTTTTTTTTTTTCCTTTTTTTTTTTTTTTTTTTTTTTTTTTTGCCATTTTATCTTTATCTTTTCATTTCATATATATTACTCTTGCACTATGTTTTAGTAAGAGTGACAGTTAGTTTGTAGATATAAAAGTCCCATCTGGCACGTCACTAATCCCAATGATCTGATTGGCTCGCATTGCACGTGTGCGTGTGTACACATATTCATCAGTCAAGTTTTGTTTTATCTTTTGCAAACCCCATGAAAAAAATAATAATAATTGGGTCCCTAATCCTGCTTAATTTTCCTTTACAGTCTGCTTTCCTTTAAATTTCCAACTCTTTAATTTCCTTTACTCTTTATTATTATTTTTTTATCTAAATTATTGCCTAATTTTCATTAAAGAAAAGGCGAATAATTTTTTGTTTAGAGGAAAAATGCCAATAAAAAAAAATTAGCTTGTACAAAAGTTTATTGGGGTTGTTATTTTGCAATAAAACTCAGAAAAAGTTTAAACTCAAGTTACAACTTTATTTAAGTTCACGTTCTTTTAAGTTTCAACTTTATTCAACTTTACTCAACTTTATTCAAGTTACAACTTCAACTCAAGTTATAACTCAAATTCAACTCAAAAATTACACTCAAGTTACATTCCAAAAGAATAACCTCCTAAATTTCGTACCCTTTAAGAGAAAAAGAAGCATCTGTGACAGTTTTCAAACCCATGCAATTTCATGTCTTTAAGAGGAAAACTTTGGCAAATACCCTTTCTTTGAATACTTGCAAATTGATCGCCCTAACTTTTATAACTATTTTAGAGGTATACCACTATACCAGAGTTGATCAACACTTTCTTGTCTTCTTTTTTTGGTTCTTATTTCCACTTTTTGGCGACATCTTTTTCTCTCCTTGAACTCACATTCAACTAATGATCACTCATTACTCATTTAACAAATGGTTCTTTGGAATAATTATTTCTTTTTAAACTAGGTGCAACTGATGGAGTACTCCAATGGGGAATGTACATATAATATATAAAAATTAATTCTTAAATTTTATACCATTTCTTTTTTTTTTTTTTTTAATCTCTCTTCTCTCCAAATTGTGATTGTTTAATGCCAAAGAGCTGGAATAGACGAAGTGTGAAAGTGGTTACAAGCCGCTTGACCAAACTAGTTATATAGAATAAGTTTTCGTGCCACTGTCATGGGCTCCAAGAACATGGAATTAAATATTTCAATGTGGCTTGACTGAGGATATTTATTCTCCCATTCTTTTTTTTTTCTCATTTTTTTATCCAAGGTATAAAAATATATATAAGATTGTTCAAGACTCCAAATGGGCAAAAGTCTTCATGTGGAGATATCGATGTCACCCAGGTAGCAGATCATATAGTCCAATAGAAGTAAATTAACCAAAATTAGTCATCTAGCTAGCAAATGAGCTGTATTCATCTTATACGGATTCAAATCACCTGTTTAATTACAGCTCATTTGGTATATGAGTTCAAACTAAAATTTAAATTAAGATTCTTGATTATGATTTTTGATATTTTTTTGTAAGAAAAAACACTGTAGTAGAACTAAAAATCATGAGTTTGCACTACATTACCTTAGTGTTTCTCATGTTGTCTAACCAATCAAATCATGAGACGCCATTCAAAAAGTTTAAAATACTTTTAACTGATATTCTCATGCAAAAAATGCTTGAATCAATTAAATGTCATTAAAAATAAGGTAAATTAGTCACCATTTGGGATACTAAAAATTGAACAGATAATTTGAATCCATCTTATAAGGATCAATATGCAGTTGAAAACTTATTCTTTGGGTAATTAATTATTTGCGTAATTTAATTATTAGTATCAATCTATATATTGATAAGTTTGAACGGCATGCAACAAAACGAATAGTATACAGTACTGTTGTTCGTAAGATTACTATATGAGGTTTAAGTACAAGTGTTGTCAAGAAGATAAATTATTATGATCGGCATTTTTACTTCAAAACCATGCCAATAATGCTGTAATTTCATGTCCTGTTATTTTTGGTTTGCCAATGATGTTGTAATATCTTGTCCCATACTTCTTTCATTTTTGGTCGTTTTCTACTATTGTAAATAAATTATTGATTGCATGCAGTACCATAACACATTAATTGGAGCTACAAAATGACTCAAACTAGCATATATATAGCATATTACACATAACATATATATATATATAGTTCTCGGTGTGTTTATTAACATTAATGAATTAATCTGAAAGATGATCTTATGATGAATGGATTCACTTGCGTACGTGCAATGAATTGATGAATTTAAGTTGTCTGGATCGTGGAGAAAAGAGAATGTTTTGAAAGATTCTGAGGGGAACAAATAAGGATGATTTCGATATTTATTATTTACTGATGCAAATTAGTAAGAAACAAGCCTAATTTATTTCAGGCAATTAAATTATAAATTTATCAATTTTCTTAGGAGAGGAAGAACCGAACGACTAGCTTCATCAATTGTATATATGATGAAATATGCAAATTAGGGACTAACTAATGATGTAGTCCTGTGTATCCAATCAAGGGAACATTTTGTCTACATATAGGAATACAAAATCATAGTTAATAATATATAAGAATTCAATTAGACTACTAATGTTAGGTGAACCTACTAATTAGGACATAAACCCCAAACAGGTGGGGTCCATTAAGTACTCACCACCTCTTGCCGTGTTTGCTTTGAGCAATAATGATAGCATTCACTTCTTCATATCGCAAATCCCCATTTCTGTAAAATATTTCAAAGCAAAAAATCATCATGTCAACCTAGCTAGCTAGGGGGATGTATCCCTCTGAAAGGGCACATTATTAATCTTGTGGCTTAAGGATATTATCAAAGAAAATCTACGTGCCCTAAAAAGATTCCACGTATGACTTTTTTTGGTTTTGGTTTTGGTTGAGTAAATAATAGAGGGCTCTCAAGTGAATTTAATTAATTTTGTATTAGTTTATTAGTGTTACCAATAATAACGTCAAGTTAAAAGCACGAGTGCAATTTATTTTTAATTAATTCATGATAAGGACATGCAATGAGACCAATCATGCATATGTTGCTTAAGATTAAGTAAATTGAAGGTTAATTAATTAGACTAAGTCTTGGGATTCTCCTTCAAAATTGTCAAGCTAGGCTAGCCTAACTTACTTCTCTCGAACTTATCATAATTGCATGGACATTTCACACCTGAAATTAGCTATTTTTCTCTAACTTGATAGGACAATTACTATAAACAAATCAAGATAATTAACCGGCCCAGATTCCAAGTTTTACTTTTAGAAATGTCAAACATATATATATATATATATATATAGTGCTCTCTGTTATTGTGACTGAGTAAAAACTATATTATCGTTTTAAGTAAAATAAGGTATTAACTCGCATGTACACCTTACTAGCACCACTATGTGCCAAAAGATACATAATAAATCTAGAACTACCTTCATAAAAAAGATGAATAATATCCCAATATTTTATTTCTAATCAGAAAGAGAGGTAACAGTTAAGTTTTGATTTAACAAGAAGAAAACGCCTACTTTTGACTCATGGAGTTGCTGTAATTTTCCTTGGAGAGATGATCATATATGGCTATAGCTAGCTAGGCTCTCGGTTATGTACATTCATCTGGGCGCACAACTCATCATGCTAATCATCAATCACGCATATGATCATGATTAGGATGGTGATGATGATCATGATCGTGATTCAGTAGCTAGCTAATTATCAAGTTAGTTCCTCATCATTCTGAAGGCCAAAGCTTGAAGCTCACCCAAGTCACCGTTATAATTAGGTCTCTTCCTAGAAGTACAAGCTTGAACCAAGAAATCCTCCGATGATATTGATGATCTGCCGGCGCTTTGTATCTCCCGATGAGCGTTCATGATCATCGCATCATGAATATTGTTGTTGTTGTTGAGGTCCACCGACTCCAGTGAGCTCTGAGGCGAAATGGGGTTCATATTGTTGCAGTAATTTTGATATTGGCTTGGAAAGTTATTATTAGCCGCTGAATTAACATCGTTGACGTTAAGATTTATTCCTGGCCATTGATTCTCTAGGCTTCGTGAATGATCAATGAGGTTTTGAGCAAGTTGAGCTTTTGCTTGCATCAGTTGGGATTGCAGAAAAAAAAAAAAAAAAAAAAAAAAAAAAAAAAAAAAAACGGAGAATGAGAGAAGAAATAAGAATTGTTTCCCAATTGCGCCTATAACAACAAAATTCTACTTCTTTCTATAGCAATTATCTTGACCAGATCACATGTTAATGTTGCTAACTTATAAAGCGGGAAATAGATCAGAAGAAGAGAATTTAAGAAGAAGGGTTTATTAGACCATTAGGACAAAGGACACTAATTGGTAGAAGTAGACTTCTAAAAATTTTCAAAACCTAATAATGAAAATTTTCTCCATAACCCAAAAAAAAAAACCCTACTGAGAATTAGCTACATATGTTTTGAGTTTAGGAAGAAAATTGGAACACGACAAAACACAACATTATTAAAAAAATAAAAAATAAAAGTTTCTAGCTCCAATTAATTGAGAAATATAAGTTAAACCTGTTGTTGAAGGGCAAAAATGTGAGCGACACAACCATAAACGGGGTCTCTAATCCTGGCTTGAGCTTCATAGGCAATAGTGACAACAGCCTCGCAGCGATCAGGAACCGGTACGTGCAACAACAGCTTGGACACATTACTGGCGCCAAACACCTTGTGAATGGCGGCGAACCGTGCGGGTCCTTGCTCCGAGCAGAAGTACGGGGCGAATATGCAATCCGACGCGCACTTCCGCCGCAGGAACTTGCATGCCCCGCACGGAGATCCCGTTCCACCACTCCCCGACGACGCCATGGAAATCTGATCACTACGTATTATGTGGATGATCAGAAGTAGTACTAGATAGAATGAAGCGAGGGGGGGGAAAAAAAAGAGTACTAGATAGAGATGTAAGAAAGTGTGTTATGTCTATGTGATAAAAAATAAAAAAAATAAAAAAAAAATTGATGTGTTGAGGCACACGAGCACACTAGGAAATGGTGCACCCAAAAAAAAAAAAAAAGTTGAAGGAGGCTAAGTTTTGTGACTTTTGTCTATGGAGGGAATATGGGAGTGGCAAGTGACTAGGCTATTATATGGAAAGTGGGGCAAATCCATTGAAGTTAAGGAGCATAAAATATGGGGGGTTCTTATAAGGGCAAATGCGAGCCAAAAGTAAAAGAAGAATGGGGAACATGGAAGGCCCTTCGTGTAGTGTTCATAGGGAACATTTTTTTAATGGTTTAGACCGACTTTAAATGTTGTTTAATTATATACAATGCAATGCTTCATGGGTTTGATTTTGAATTCTCTTCTTCTTTTTTATTTCTTTTTTTTTTTTTTCCTTTTTTGTTTGCTAATATGTAATAAGTTTGGTTTTGGGTTTGGAGGGGAGGATGTGTTATATTTTCCGCCGAACGCCGCACCTGGGAACTGGTGTTATTTGTCGCCTTGTGTGGAGGAGTTGTTTGGGTGCCCTCCGTTGGTAAAACGCCCACCGACAACCACTATCAATTCAGACACCTTAAGCATAGTTTATGAAACATTTATAATGTGCTCAACAGGACAATTTTGGATGATCAGCTGCTGATTAAAATAATTAATTAGTAACATAAATTAAAGCCAATTGATATTGCTATGATTTTATTTGTTTATTTGGGAAATACCACCTGATGGTCCAAACCCATCTTCAGGGGTTAGCAAATTGATTTAATTAATTTGTGACAAGTTTGAGGTACCCCCATCAGCTGCAAGAGCATAAAAATGGGGTTAGATAAAGTAATGAAGCTAGTTAGTCTTTTAATTTTCGAGATTAAGATACCTTTATCTTTTAATATAGGGGAAGTTAAGGTAGACTCCATTTATAACATAAGACAAAGGATAAACAACTTAAAAGGTGGCAACAAAATTGCGTTACTTTTAAATGAGGCCATCATTTTCACAAAGCAACATCAGCACATTGCACTTGAAATGAAAATATTTGTACCCTTTTCACCAGTGACCTCAACAAGAAGCGTGATAAGATTTTTGGTCCAAAAAATCGTATTAAATAATATCAATGGCCGTTGCCTCTAATCAATGGTCTTTCTGCAGAGATTTAGTCAATCTTTTGGCCGTGTTTAGAATTTATCCCGTTTTTATTTTTCATGTTTTTCAAGAAAGAAAAAATAAAAACGTTTTTAAAACAGCGTTTGACACAATAAAGACAAAAACGGAAATGAAAACGATTTTTTAGTTTAGTATAAAATGAGAGAGAAATGAAAAACGACTTTTAGTCGTTTTTCAGTTTTTTGTTTTTCGTTTTCTCCTCTCTGGAGCAGAGAGAGAGAGACATTGATGGATTTTTTTATACTGAAAATAATCTCTTGATAAAACTACCAAACACATTTTTAAAAATAATTTCTGTCTGAGATTGAAAACGTTTTCATTTTCATTTTATACAAAAAATAAAATCATTTTAAAACGAGTTACAAACGCGCCCTTTAATTCTTCCTTGGCGATTGACGTAACGCCAATATAATATGGCCTCACTTTAACAGAAGCCCATGTTTCAAAATTAATTGCACTGCAATTGATAAAACTACCAAACACATTTTTAAAAATAATTTATGTCTGAGATTAAAAACGTTTTCATTTTCATTTTATACAAAAAATAAAATCATTTTAAAACGAGTTACAAACGCGCCCTTTAATTCTTCCTTGGCGATTGACGTAACGCCAATATAATATGACCTCACTTTAACAGAAGCCCATGTTTCAAAATTAATTGCACTGCAATATTCATGCATAGTGAAAGTTTATCATGGTTCAAGTGCAACCAAAAATGGTATGATTACCGGCTTGGCCTAAAGGGAAATTCACGCTCATCATAAGGTATAGAGTTTAAACTCAAATTTTAAAAATAATAATAATAAAAAATTAAAAAACCGATGATGGTGCTACTCCTTAGGGTTTCTGGAAGATACATGGATGAAAAGCGAAAGAGATAGGAAAATATAAAACCGACGGTAACGTAAAAACTAGAAGATGACAAAGAGAAACTAAAACTGAATGAAGGAGGTCGTCATCCTAACAAAGGAAAATGGCTGTTTGCAACAAAAAGTCGCATTCCCCATGTCATGGTTTTTTTTATAAGCTTAAAGCTACGCCGCTAAAGATCACTCTCAACGCTCGTATAAAAAGGTGGCAACAAAACCCCTTCAAAAAACAGAGAGAAAAACGCCAACCCCGTGAATGAACGACAACAATTAAAAGGGCACCACACAACTATTACATACTTCTCTTTCTTCATCCCACTTGCATTTATTTTGAAGTCAATCTAAAGATCACTCTCCCCATGCTCATATAAAAGGTGGCAACAAAACCCCTTTAGAAAACAGAGAGAAAAAACAACAATTACCACTTACCTATTTAACCCAACATCAAATACCATTGTATCATGGTGAAATCCGCCCACTTTTTGCTATTGGAACCGTTAAATTGTCATCAGAAGCTTTCATTTTCTTACAAGAGAAACATATCTCATGACTCGCAATTGACCTAAAGTTTTTTTTTTTTTTTTTTTTTTTATTACTCCAAATTGTCCTAAATTTTTTTTTTTTTTTTTTTTTTTTTTTTTTTCAACCTGCTAACTGTGTTTGTCACATGAGTTTCCACTAAATAGGGAAGAAAAATGGGAAGGACCCTTGAAGAGCCACATACAGTATGACAAGTTAGAATTGACTAGTCAATGTAAGATCGAAAAAGAGTGAGTTATGAGAGTGTCACTGATTACATCTTTTGTATATTGTTAATTGAAACGAAAACTTTTCGATCTGATCAAAGGTCAAACTGGCAAGACGACTACATTCCTTGGAACTTATTCGCCATGTCCATCAAATACTATATGGAAGTACTACCTAAATCGTTTTCAGTGTTCCTCTCATTTTTTCCACCCATCGTAAATTACACAAGCCCTAAACTAATTTAATGACGTTCTATACACTGGTGTTAAAAAATTCATCAACCATGTAAATAACAGAAACTAGACCATGCCATTTCAGGACAAATCCTTGAGGTTTCATACATAGCTAGAGAGTAAGAAGCAAAGGAAGCATATATTGAAAGTAACGATCAAACATAGTATTGCAGAAAATAATTAGGCATCGTTACTTTCGATGGTTAAATTCATTCCTTTACATAGGGAGAAGCAAAAGCTGAAAGATCTCCAGTAATCCCCAAAATGAGATCTTATCCAGATTTGTGAAATGCAGAAGAGGATTATCAGTTGATTTTCGGAATACACAACCGCACTGTACATCATCAACAAAATACTGAACATCCATTTTTAGCATCCCCCTTACCTCTTGTGATGAAACCGCACCTTCAACAAGAATTGCATTTTAACCTGAGCACGCAATGCATTTGAAATTAGTTTTCATAGCACAAGTGCATTAAGCTACCACAATTGAGGACGTCAATGATTTCTCAATTCTCACTAATGCTTTCATTTTTTATTTTGGGATTGAACCACCATTTATTTCAGTTAGTCATAACAAGGATCATCATTTGTGATTTGTGAAGATTTTTGAGAAAGGGTCGAGCTATAACAGTTTCAAGAGCTATCCTCTAGTTCTCTAGACCTGATGAAAAGTCATCCAAAAACAAAGTATGGCAGTTATGAAGCTTGATAAATTTTAATTTATTAGTTTTATCTATCTCAAAGTGTAATAAAAACTGTTGCTAGTCAATGGTCCTCACACAAGAGAAAGAGAGAGATCCCTAACAAAGCAATGGGCAGTGTAGCAAGAAAAAAAAAATGACAATCCCATATAGCTGTAGCAAAGAATAATTAAGCAAGCAAACAAGAGTACAATTTGGGACTTACTTGAGCGGTATTATACACAATGTACTCGTTGTACATCAGCTCAGAGGCCCTGACATTCGATCCCACTGGTTTTCCAGCAGGAACAACAACATCATCCCTCCACTTAACATATTCAGACTTCTGAGGCACCTTCTTGCCAAGCCCTTTTGTGGAATGCTTTCCTTCAGGAGGTTTATCCATGTACTGAATGATAGTAGGACTCAATAAGTAAAAAGGCTGACATAAAGAAAGAAACTAGAAGTTTGGTGCATTACTATGAGCTGAAATTTCCCCTCATAAACCCGATCAAAGAAAAAATGATATCCTTTTTCTTTTTTCTTTTTTCTTTTTTCTTTTTATGGGAAGCATCAAAGAAAACAATACTGGACGTAACAGAAGCATGCCCACATATGTTATTTAGGTATACCCGTGTCAGGTTACAAGTATCTAAACATGAGCTTCAGCAAATGTATGCATGCAATAAAAATCTCAAATTGTATATAAAAAGGAAAAAGAAAAATGTGTCATCATAAACTCACAAAAATGCACATGCACAAACTAAAATAATAAAGTTCGAGTTCACCTTAGCCTTTGTGAGCTCATAGACCTCTCCTAAGGCCACTTCACTCAGAAGTATGAGACCAACAGAATTTTTCGTATCAGTATAGCAATATTGAGCACTCTTACTGACAAGATCAGCAAAATAAATCCCCTTGCCAAACTGTAAAAATAAAAAAGGAAATAGAGTAAGCACCACAGAAAAAGCAGATAGTGCATGTTAAACTCAACACTTGCACAAAGAGGATAAAAGAGGACAAGCGAGAACAGATAAGAAACAGAACCATGTAACCAGTAGCTGGAGCTTCAGGAGGAGCTATTCTCAGTCCCTGACTAAGGATGCCCACAAAGTTTGTCAACCGAGAACCTGGCAAGAAAAGAATTATTGGTCATTTCAACTAGCATCAATCTCAAACTTCTAACTTCCTTTTACGTGAAATTTTTGCAAGCAAATTACCATGCCAAAGGAGCATTTTATTGCCAAGCTTTTGTCTGTGGGGATGGAACTTATCATACTCCCCTTGCCTTTCAAGTGAAAAGACTTCTTCAAGCTCAAGACTCCAATCCTGTAGTTACATGGTTCCAAAAACATATACAGAAAATTAGAACTAAAAAAAAATCATGAGATCCAAATTCTCGATCCAAATTCTCGGACTTGACAGGATTCCAAGGAAAACCCACCGTATGAGTAGGAGCATGAGTAGTGAGCAGATATTTCTCAATTAACTGGTAATCATCGCTGTCATGGGGAAGTGGAACAATATCACATCCGAGCTTCATGTACTTATCATCAAGAGAGTCATCATTATCAACATCAAAACCAACTAATCTTGAAGCAATCTCAATGTCCTGGAGAGCTTCTAACATTTTCACCTGCCAGGGAAGCAAAGAAAGAACTCCATCACCCTTTCTTTGAAAGCAACTTTAAGCAGGGAGATGCTAGATCTGAATGGATAAGTTAAGTCTTGATGGCTGTTTAAGTCCATCCAAATCCAAATTTCCCATCTTCCACATGCAAATCATGACTCAAAAACAGTTCATCTCTTGACTTACTGTTTCAGTAATGTGCAAAAAAATATATTGTATTGCCTCCCAGAGTTTTATTTATTTATTTATTTTAATAGCAAGTGGAATGAAAATTGTAGAGTAAAGGAAAAAGAAACCTATAAATAGTACTGCGTACCTTTGATTTAAAATCATCCTCATCCCTAATGACATGTGGATGTATGGAAGGGATGACAGTGAAAAACCGATTGCTAGCATCAACAATCAAGCTTTCTTTAATGGAAGGGTCGCGAGTATTGCTATTTAATAGATTCTGTATTTCAGTCAGTGCCTCAAATCCTGATTAAAGAAAAAGAAGAAAGAAAAATCTAAATGATTTATCACCTTTTGCTTTGCTAATAGGATCTATCATTCATGCATTTGAAACATTAGAGCATGGAAAATATATATATATATATGATAAATAGTTGTTTTGATGCGTTACCTTTTTGGATATTATTTCTGCTCAGTTTTCCGAGTGGCATTTCCGACATGTTGATCTCAAATTCCATCATAGCAGCTCTGCAAAACTTATCCCTCAGTTGCTTATACATATAAATTTAAATATATATATATATATATATTGTAGAACCTGTATGTCTCCACATTGAATAGCATCTTCATCAGCTCTGCTAAAGGAGGAGCAAGTTTGCTTTCCTCCTTTGTCTGATTTTTCTTTGATACTTGTTTGTTAACACCATAATCCTAAAAACCCAAATATTCAAAAGGATAATGTATATTTCAAGAAATGACCACCAATATGCAAAAGAAAATCTTTGGTTAAACAAAAGGGAAAAGAAAAAGTTGTAGTCCATACGATATCCAAGGGGAAAAATCTGCCCGGCTGCTTCTGGAAATTATGCTTTTGTTCCCACGCTTCCCATGGATTTCCAGTCTTCTCAAGGAATAGGCGTTTAAATTCAGAGATTGCATCTGATTTTGACATCTCTTCTATTTTGTCTCCTCCAATTTTTTCATTCCCCACCCGACCCCATTTACGGAATACGTAGCAATCAGAACTCTTATCATCTTGGATTATTTGGAGGATGTAGTAACTTTATGTGGAAAACACAACACAGTTAAAATTGGTGAAAGCTAATAACGTAAATGAAAGTTAAAGGGAACTAAGGTAGGAAATGAATATGCCATCCTAAGGAGAGGTTGAAAGTAAGGAGAAAAAAGGATGGCACATATAAAAATGTACCTGTTGATTCCGGTTGATAAGTCAGACATGTTCAATGTCGTATTATAGATGCTTTTCCCATCCTCAAGTATGTGACCAGAATCTTGCATACCAGAGCATTCATTCACAGCACTTCGTCCTTTCACTCTGACAGTTACCATGCTAGAGGACTCACCAATGGCTTCCACCTTGTAAAGATCAAATGGAAGCTTCTTTTGTCTTTTAAAGCAATCAACCAGATAATCCTCCCTAACGATTGGTATTTTCATCCTCCTTTTGATATTAAAAAAAAAGGCGTTAAGTCAAATGAAACAAAAACGCCAAACACAAGTCATATACAAGTCTAGCAAGCAAGTTAAGCATCTTCACCTTGCCTTCCTAATCTCGGCAGATTGGTCATCCGATCCACTCACAACTAAACAGTTTGTATCTGCAGTTTGGTTTGTTAAGTGAAGCAACTAATATTATACATACAAGGAAACCATACTGTAGCCATGCCTCTGATGTAGCCAATTGATTTAGGATCAAAATACAGACAAACAAGCACATACCTTTCTTGAGCTTGGCGTGAACATCTCCACCTGCGGCCTTGACTTTCCTCTTCCATTCCTCCTGCAAAACCATCCGCAGCAGAAAAAATGCATATCAAAGATTATGAAATTGCAAATGAAAATATCATCTCTGCACATTATACGAAGTACACATAAACATACGATAATTAAGGAAGATCATACCATGTTTTCTTCAGCTAATCCTGAAAAAGCAACTTTCAAATCTGCCAAGCGTCCACCATTGGATGATTGAGATTGACCATTAATAGCTTGGCTTCCACAATAACTGGTAGGCGACAGTGGAGGCAGTATCCGTGCAGGTTTTCCAACGTCTTGCGATTTAAGCCACTGCAAGCAATGGGTAATCTTTAGTCATTGTTTGCTAGCCTACATGTGCATGAGACTCGGTAAGTACCTTGCTAAGATATTGATTATTTGTATCTTCTGGGACTTTCCACTTTGCTTTAAGACGTTCTGGCTCACGAGTGGAGAAACTACACTTGCTCCAAGCTGACAGGTAACCGTGGCACCGGTACATGCTAGCAGAATAACAAAGACAACCAGAACAAAGTGGGCAGCTAGAAAGTGCTCCAAACATCATGCCATCAGCGCTAAGCAAAAAAGTCATAAAACAGAGTTACAGCAACTTTGAAAAAGAAAAAGGTATCAACAAAATGCTAATTGGTGAAAAAAGACTATCAATTGAAATGGAAGTAAAACGTGAAAACAACAATAAATACCTTACAACATCATAAAATTAAAAAATCATCATAAATTACCAGCGATCGCGCAAATCAAGCTCGGACCCCGTTGAATCTTGACCATTGGCCTCAAGCATTTCACGCAACTCAGCTGTTGTGACATGCTTTTTGAGCTCGTCTTTCAATTCCCACAGTTTTTTAGTCTGGGCCTCTAGTTTGGTCTCTAAATCAGATGCTTTTGAGTTCTTCTCATCCACATGATTATTATTCCCCACCGGTTGGCTCCTGCTTGTTGACACATCACCAACAGCTTTTGCAACTTTAGACTTCTGATCCGCACCAACATCCTTTCTCCGTTTTGCACCAGCTTTGGTAGATGACTGCTTCAGTTCTTCATCTTCCTCTGCATTGATTTGTTTTCCTAAAAGAACAACAAAGGTGAGAGAAATACGACTGACTTTCCCCACCTCTAGAGGTCAAGAACAAACTCCCACACAAACAAAAGGAATTTCATACCACTTTTCGCACTAGAAGGAACCTCCTTGACCAGGGACTGCAGAGCCGCCTGATCAGAAGCCGGGAGGGTCTCCCATCCTAACAATTTCTCCACTCGAGTAGATGGAGAGGATTCCATGTAACAATTGGCATGGTGCCAAGCCAAGCCCCTAGCTCCTTGACCCTCGGGCTTGGTGGATATACGAACCTACCAAGTTACCAATAGAACTATATAAGCAATCAATACAGGAAGAGTGTACAATCCGCATCATCGAGCAATGCTATTCATCATCTGCAGTGGCAATGATCACAGCGGGCACAAGTGTGTGGATCTCATAGGGACCCGCATTCTATTAACGCATTGATCATCGAAACTATTGCTGAAATCACTTTTCTTATTAGGTAGTAGCTAGAATATGGTGACAATTGATACAATGGGAAGACAAAACTGTACATTTCTTCATAAGCAGCGGGCTAATTAGATATTTCGTCTCAGTTTTCTGATATAAATGTTGAGTAAAACTAGTGCATATAATAATGTTGGGTTATCATAAAAAATTCAAGATAGTCCAAATACAAGGAAATATTATTTCTTTTATATATACATTTAGAGGGAAGAACCACAAGTTTGAGAAACCAACCTCTCCTTTAGAGATTTTTTTACTGCAGGTTCTGCAAGTGGCACGAGAAGTTTGAGAAACTTCAATATTACATTCCACATTCTTGACGGCTTCTGGTTTTGAGGGTTGAGCAGCACCACTGTTCTCCACGTATGCTCTGATCTTCTGCTGGTCTTCCCACCGAAGTTGCTCTATGCCCTCAACATCATCAATACTGTATTAAAAAAAAAAAAAAAAAAAAAAAACCCCAAGAAATTGGAAGTCTATTCCTTGCTTGATTGTAGCAAAACTCCTTTAAAAAAAGAAAAAGGCCTAAAACATACGATTTAATCTGCTTTGCCTTCTTCAGTATGCAAGTTGCATGGTTCCACATCTGTTTCAGATGAAAAAAAAAAAAGAAACAAAAAGGTCAAAAAAATTATTTTGTTTCTCCGATTATCGGATTGTGAAAGAGATATAAGCAGATGAGAAACATATTTCACTAAAAATGAAAATTTGAACGTAAAAGATAGAATATTTGAACGGAAATAAAGAGGAGGGTTTTGAGTATAGGAAAGAGGGAAAATGGAGAGAGAGAGAGAGAGAGAAATGAAGTGTACGGACGGGCATGAGGCCGTCGAACTGGGTGGCCTGAACCATCTTGCCGAGGCGGAGAACCTCCTTGCCAATGTTGCTCTTGCAGCTCTTGCACGACGACCGGGCCGACTTCGCATACTCCACTTTCCATGGCTTTTGGTTCTCAATCTTCGCCATTTTTTCACTTCTATAACCTTTCTCTCTCTTCTCTCTCTCTGTGCGAAGCTACCTCAAACAATATATACACAGAAATTGGGGAAAGGCAAAGACCAAAAGGGGAATCTTGGTGAATCTCTGCGTTTAGCTTCTCCTATAAGCTTTCTTTTTTTTTTTTTTTTTTTCGGACTGACTGTTTGTAATTAAAAATAAATAAATAAATAAATAAAGTCTCGTTCATTTTATCTATTCAAGTTTAAAATTTAAATTTTATTATATTATAAAGCTTTAATAAATAATCACATTTAATTTTTTTACTATAATAAAAAACTCTCATATAAAATTACATATTAATTTAAATTAAAAATTTAAATTAATAAACTAAACGACCTAAATAACTGTCTGCGAGTGTCTGTTGACGATTGCTTTGCTGTCTTGTGGCCGGTTTGGAAATTGGGGTTCAAGTGGGTTTGAACTTTGCACTAGTTTGGTGAAAGAGAAATACATGACTCATAAAACCCTATCCCTTAATTAGTTTTAGGTTTAATCTAAAAAGTTTTAGTTTTAATCTAAAAAGTATAAATATATGGACCTATTTTAAGGAATAAAAATAAAAACGGTTTCATTTTAAGAGTATTTTTTTAAATTGTTCTTGGACTAATTTTAAAGAATAAAAATAAAACCGGCTTCATTTCAAGGGTATTTTTAAAGATTATCCTTGAGAAAAAGAGACAAAAACATTAGAGGGCATGAATATGAATTTTTATTATTGATTAATATCATTTTAGTTAAGGGTCCGTTTAGTTCACTCGTTCAAAGCATTGATTTGATTTATCGGCGAAAATTTTGTGAGAGAAAAATTTTTTAAATTTAAATTTTTTTATAGATAAAAAACATTGTACATACTCAAAATCATGGCTTGAATATATGTATGAAACGGGCGGTAAATAACTATATTAATTAAAAGAGTATTAATCTAGGGTAAATGATAAAATCCAGACTCATGCACTATATCGCTAAGTTTAGTAATTTTCTCATTTAATTTTAAATTCATGTTTGTTTGCTAAAATTTTGAGTCTGAACTAAGGTTGAGAACCCAAAATTCAAGATTTTAGAGAAAACCCTTCTTAAGTTCTCGTGGGTTTGAACCTATTTCTTACAATGTTTTTGGTTTAAAACTTTGGTTCTATTTCATGTATTCACAATTCTAAAACTAACAAAACATCAATCAATCCGAACTATTTATTTTATGAGTTGATGTTTTATTCCTTATTTCAACATTACACTACCAAATGCAAGTTTCAAAATAAAAACCTCACCTATAAATTTAAATTAAAAGATTTAAAACCACACAATTTAAACTCAGAGGTTATAGTTTCTCTTTAATAGCGGGTTCATGCCTTTCGAAGACCTGATCCGATTATGCTTATAAAGGACTTGCATGATAAGGCGTTGCACGGTTTGACCAAAAGCTGCCAGACCGGACAAATCTACAGTTTTTAAACCGCCATTTTAGTTCCACATCATTAATATCATTTGCTGTTAGTTTAAAATCAGACAAAACTATTTTAGAAATGGTCCAATCCGGTTTGAAAATTTTATAAACGGTCTCAAACTAGACTGGGCTATTTCATATATGCACATTAAAAAATATGAAATATTAAGTTTATTTTTTATTTTTAAGCTTTTTTTAATCCTTATAAAATGTTATTTTTAATGTATTACACTTAGTATACGATTTTGTTATTGTATGTAACTTTTATTTAAACTTTAAGAAATATGAAATATAGTAACCAAAAAATAAAGTAAAAAAATAAAAATTAAAGAAACAACGCAAACTGTGGTTAAATTAAATCAAATTGTTTTGAAGCGGTTTGATCCGGTCCGGTTCAATCCCATTTTCCCTAAATAGTTTCGTCCGATTTGAATTCTTTCTTAAATCGTTAAAATGATCTGGTTTAAAAAACCTTACTGTTTGGGACCAGATCGAACGACACAACTCTATCGTTTAAGCTTTGAGCTTCTTCGTTTATGCCTTTTAAGTCTTTCTAAAATAAAGTGTGATTATTTTCACAAATGACCCCTCAATTACACTTTATCTTAATTTGGTAATTGATTTCTATTTTTTATTTCAAAACCCCAAAAGCCATCATTCTATTAGATACTCGTTAAAAGATTAAACGGAAAACACCCATGTGTCAATCGCATGGTTTTAATTATGGGGAAATTGATCAAACAAACACGGAATATGATAGACACATTTTATTTTGAAGAAGAAGAAGACAAGTCCTCTCAAATGCAAAAGAGGAAATGCCCCATTCGGATGTTATGCATGCATGTATTGAAACATGCAAGCGTGATGAGAGAGAGGGTGGTTGAATTTTATCGACGTCAAAGTTTTATCATGCCTACAAAATGACCGTATGCTTCTTTGCATCGTTGATATTGCACTACCCAGTCGATTAGCTATAGTTTTTCAATGTTGCCAGGTTAAATTGGACAACTCATTAATTAACTTTTAAATTGAAAGGAAATTGCCAATAAACACGATCCTTAGTTTTTATAAAATTAACCGTCCGTTTAATTCGCTAATTCGAGTTTTAAATTAGAATTGAGATATGATTTTATGTGAGAGCTTTTTACTGTAATAAAAACATTAGAAGTAACTGTTTTTAAGAACTTTTCACTGTAGTAAAATTTAAATTATAAACTCGAATCGATGAAATAAATAAGACCTTATTAAAAAGGCAAATTGGTATGCAGACAGGTAAAACATTGGCTTGTTTTTATAAAATCCGAAGCCAACGTCTCAAAGCAGGACACCTTGGCTTGTTCAAGAAACTAACGAAGCTTAGAGAACAAGCTCAAGTGAGTTGACAAACCTACAAAGCTCTTTATTATTAAAAGGGAAAAAAAAAGAAAAAGAAAAAGAAAGCTGAGTAGGATTGTGCTATTACTTTATTCTTTTTTTTTTTTTCTTTTTTTGGGCTCGAGAAAAGTTTTTTCGTTTAAGACTCCTAGTAAAAAATTCTTAAACCCGACACTGAAATTTGTACGCCAACATTCTAAGCTGTGTTCATTCGCATCACTGATTATTGTGCAAACAATTCAAGAACATGTGTAACAAAATCGTACAAAAGAAGATAAAAGCAGTCTAATGAAAATGCAAAAATACATGAATAACAAAAATGGAGAATATAATATCTAGACGAAGCAAGAATCAAGCCAAATTGACAAATGGGTTGCTAGAAGTGACCAAAAAATTACGTGTATGTGCTAATAGACATTTATGTTAGACAATAACAACTATTTTGTAAAAACAGCTTGCAGTCAGTTTGTAAACCAAAATTTTCTGTCTAAAAATAAAAAAGTAAACCACTACCGGGCCGAGCTCACTTGCTGCCTGGCTCTTCGAGCGCAATCTGCAAAATTTCGAACAAGATCAGCGCATTTCAGGGGATCCTTGAGATGCTCCTTGTAGCAAGCCAGGCAAGCCTCGTTCTCAGCAACACAGGGCAAAGGCTTCTGGTAGGGAAGCTTGAACTCCTTATCACGAAGCTCCTTTGCTCTTTGTGTTAGCTCCTCGACCATGTTCTCTTCCTGCTTCTGCAACTTCTCCACAGCCCTCTCACTCTCTTGAAGGACCGCTTGGGTTGCTTCTAATTCTGCATTGTCTGACTGAGCCGGAGGAGTTACCGGCAACAACACCGGAGGCGGAAGCGGCCATCCTGTAGCAGCCGGCCCCTTGTGTTTTGCAAGATCATCAGAAACCTGCTTTTGATTCGTTTTAGCTTGGGGTAGTTGTGGTTGAGGCTCCTGCGGTAGCTTAGTTCTCGTTCTTTTAGTCTTCTTCTTCGACTCCTCAGCCTCACCGGCAAGGCTATTAACCAGGTTGCTGCTGATCTGGATACTAAAATCACCCATGACTGGACGTACTCCTCGATAAAAATACCCAGAGACGCCAATAGAGGGTAGAAATTGTGGTTTAGAACTAAAGTTCCTTCAAACTATAGTAACCAAAAACGAAATTATCTCAAGATATTAATGTTCTTTTGCAAGAAACTTCATTTGTCCCCTAACTATTATCTTTTTTTTTCACTCCATAATTTAACATCCACAGTTGAGAAATAAATAGTCCATCCAAAAGCTCCATGGCAACAACAATTTTTTTAACATCCACATAAAGAAGAGTTAGAGAACTGGTGGTTTAGAGCACAAAGTCCCAAGCTTCCTATTCAAACAGCTAATCATCCTTTCGCCGAAAGAAACTTCATTTATCCCCTCTGACTATTCGCCTCTTTTTTCTCCTCTTAACTCTAATGCTTCAGCTGGTAGCATAAGAGCACAAGAAAAAATAACATCAACCTCCATAGTCAAAGATCCTTTTGCGAGGCTATGATTTCAAAAGACAAATTACAATGTACCAATAGTTTTCTACTTCGTTAAATCCATGTTTTTTTTTGGTTCAATTGAACTTTTTTTTTTTGTTATAGTGCTTTCTCACGCAAAAAAATTTGAAGAGAAATAAAAATCTATGAACTAAGCGGGTAGTGTATTTGTTAATTCTGGTGTCTTTACATGCCACTTGGCTGCGGTATAACTTCAAAATCTGATATTTTACTTTTATGCTAAGAATTAATAAGCAATGATTTTTTTTTTTTTTTCAAGAGAATAAATAGGAAGATTTAGGTTCACAATCTCAAAGCAAGAAGCAAGGCAATTCCTAACTCCATAACCAGTAAACTAGATCGCTTAGCAAGTTTCAGAAATCCCAAAGTCAAACCTACAATTAAACATTTATAATCAACAACAATACGAATCGAAAACAAAGCCGCGAATTTCCCTTAAAAAAGGGGGGGAAAAAAGCGAAAAAATTCCCAAATGCGAAAAGCACTAATCTGGTTGCGGAGAAGAACGAACAACATCGTAGATAGGGAATACACGTTTACCTGAAATGGAGAATTGTTGCAGAAGAGAGGAGAGAAAAGAATATCGAAGAGCAGAGACGGAGAAGGAGAAGAATCAAGAATGTGAGTTTGGGTATTTGGTAACTGTACAAACGACAAAAAATCTAAAAACGACGATATTAACCACCTTCACAAAAAGCACATAACCTAAAAACGATACTAATATTAAAAAACGACGAATACTTGATGAAAATTACATAAACATTTTTTTGAAAATAACTTACATAAACATTGTTTCGGCCTCATTGACAGTCCATTACTTAACTGTTTTCTCTATATACGATTCACTGTTTTCATTTTGATTTTGGTTGCATGCATTTTACATGTTTTGATTACATATTACATTACATTTCGTTTGTTTAGAGTAAATGAACTACATATTTATGATTTTATATATTGATCAATTGCTTCATCGGTTACATTTAGAAAAAGGACTTTTCTTTTTGGTTTTTTAAATTGTTGATTGTTTACTGCTTTATGTTATTAAATGAAAATAACGTTGTTTGCGTTTTTGGGAATTTTTTATTGTACTATTTTTGGTTATTGTGTTATTTTGAATATATTGTTATTAAGCTAAAACTTTGATTCAATATTGATCTTTTTGACTCCTATATACTTACTAAGTTACATAATCTTATTGAATGTTGGTATATTTGACTACTTTGTACCCAACGAAGTTACTATACTTGTTGTCGATTAGGTATTTGTTGTTAGATCGTAATTTAAAACACGACGGATTCTTTAAAAAATGGAGTGGAAACATCCAAAAAGAAGACATCATATAATGAAAACGACAGCAGAGTGAGAAACGACAACCAATTAGAAGAGTAGAAGACATTACAACTGGAAAAAAAAAAGAAGAGAAATATTCCTTGCGCCTATATATCCTTCGTTATCCAATGGCTACACTCTTCTTGCCTGGGGACGCTCCGAATTTAATTTTATTGCTTAATCAAAAACCACAAAAAAATCCATAAATTCAGAAAGGACATTTTGGCATCGTTTACTTTGCAGATTCGAGTTTTCAATTTGAATTGAGATGTGATATTTTTTTTAGAGCTTTTCACTGTAGCATAAAAAATTAGATGTGACATTTTTTAAGAGTTTTTTACTGTAAAAACATAAAATTAAAAACTCGAATCGGTGAAATAAACAAGACCTTTATAAATGACAACGAAGTGAGAAACTACAACCAATTGAAAAGCGGTAAAACTTAAAAAAGGACTACAATATTTCTTTGCACACTTGTCCTTCTTGATTATATTTACGCTCTACTAGTTTCCACGGGGGGCTCATTAAGAAACGACATCAGCATTTGAAAAATGACCACAACTAGAAAAACGACAGACTCTTTGAGGGCTGAGACACGATCATCTGAAGAAAACGACATCATACTATAAAAACCACGACCCAGTGAAAGCGTTGAAATGAATTTAATAGACAACAACATTCTAGGCCATGCAAGATCCATGTGAATTAACAGCTGTGATTCACCCGCGAACGCAGCATTGTCCTATTAATTTTCTTGCCCATAAAGAAACGACAACAGCGTGTTGATGAAAAAAAATCACAATAATAAGTACCACAACATATAAAACGACATACTAATTAAAAACAAGGTCATACTAGAAAACGATAATAACTCTAGAAACGACGGCATAATCTAAAATCTAAGACTTTAAAAAATGACGACAAAAAATCAGTGTTTAATTGAATAACGTTTTTTTTTGAGGATTTTTTTTTAAGGAATTTTTTGTTTTGTTTTGAGGATTTTAATTTAATAAATTCTTTTGCACATATTATAAAAACGAACTCTAGAAACGACAACAACAGATAAAATTATAAAAAAGAAAAAGACGACAAAATCATATCATTATCACAATCCTTGATCTAGCGTCGACTATATCAGCGGGACCCACGTACGTATTTAACTTCTTTGCTCTTTTACCCTCGACCAAGATTTATCTATCTTGCTCCCTCGGACGCTCACTATATAAATCAGAGCGCGTCATCTTCGTTTTTACCCATTTCCTTCCTTTTTGGTTTTTGTCTCTCTTCAGGGAAAGAAAGATCTTCAGCTTCCCTCCAAACGGTACGTGTCTTCACTCCGATTTTCCTTTCACATTTACGCCTTCAATTTCTTCCAGATCTGATTGCGTCCGATTTTCCATGACTTTCTCTTGCTCATTTCCAGTTCATTTTCGGCACTTCTTTCATTACCCTCTCTGATTGATTTCCTTTTTGTTTTTAATCATTTGATTTGTGGATTTTGTGATCTTTCCCTTTTTTTTTTTTTTTTTTTTTTTTTTTGCAAAAAATCGCACCGGAAGATTGTCAAGCTTAGGGCTACGGGTTTCGCAATCTGTTAATTCCCTCGAGCTATGAATTCTAGAAGGTTTGTTCGATTTTAGTCCTAATATTTAGTTTAATTTTAGGTGATTAGCCTATTTTTCTGATTACCTGATTCGGACATATCAAAATAACCGATTCAGATCTCTGAGTAGAATTTTTGCTTGCCCTGGACATGTATTTGGTGATGCCTTTTTAGTATTGTGCTATCGTTTGGTCTGTATTTGATTAGAGTTATTTGGGTTAGCATGAACGATAGTTCTGGAGTGGGTGTCCAACTTTGAACTTCCTTTTGGAGAGAAAAGAGAAAAAAGTTACTAAAGGGTCTAACTTTGTGCTCTAGTTGGCTACCAACTATTGATTAACTCGATCCGCATTTGATTATAAAGACTTTGCTAGTTTTGATTTGTATTTTGATAAAAATGATTTTGATTACTATATTAAAAGTAGAAGGGTTACGTCTAATTACTTCCTGATTTGTCCTTTTTTTTTTAAATGAGTTTAGACTTTTAGTAAGTTGTCACGATGGCTTCCACATAAACAGTTATAGGATACTGAATATAAATTGGAAATGGAACGTGCTTTGATGTGTTAAGTGTGAGATCAAGGATTATCGGATAATATCTGTACTAATGTAATCATTCTATAGGAAGTATGTTTTTTTTTGTTTTTTTCAAAAACAAATAAACGTACTACATTAGTCAAGCTAGATGGGTTGCCACTTTAATGGCTAAGCTAACTATGCTAATGGTTGCGCCGTTGCAGCCAAGTTTTGGTTTGAGGATGTGATTGTATTGAAAACTCTTATGATTCATTATATGTGATTGTTGTCCTCGGGAATCGAGGATAAGTTCACGTTAATGTGCATTTGCTATGGGATATATACCCTTATTTGGACGGGTAACTTTCATGGTGTTTAAACCCAAGAGTTGAAAATTTTAATACAAGACCATTGTAGCAATTTAATGAGATGTCTGTGTTCAGGGACCTTCGTGGTAACAGGGCTGCTCTTTTTGATGGCATTGAGGAGGGTGGAATTAGGGCATCATCATCTTACGGTTCTCATGAAATTGATGAACATGATAACGAGAGAGAAATGGAAGGATTGCAAGATAGAGTTATTCTGCTGAAGAGAGTAAGCAACTTTTTTTTTTTTTTTGACTGGTTTACAGATGCTTATTGCTTTCATTCTTTTTTATAAAACAAATAATAATTAGACAACCTTGTTTTGCTGTTATTTAGTTTATCTTTTAATTGTGTTTCCAATTTCTAAGTGGGCGATACCGATAATATTTAAGCTACTTCATTCTTGTTTCATTGCTTCCCTCACCAAAATTGCATGCTCCAATTTTTGAGTTCTTCTATTAGCATGGCATTTAAAAAAGAAATTATGATGGCGATCTGATGACATTGTAGTACTAAATTACTAATACCATCTCTAGGAATTGATGTCACATAACCTTGATTCTCAAATTTTAGCTCAAATATGCCTTTGTTTTGTTGATGGGATTCCGTGACTCAAATCCTTGAGACATCTTTGAAGATTTAAATAGGTTGTGTCTTGTTTAGAATTGTAGTAAAAGCTATGTTAAAGAACATTTAACTACCATATCTTCTCAGGCTGTTCTAATGTTTCTATTTATAGGTATTATATTTCCTAGAAGATTGTAATGAAAATCTTTTCAACAGTTGTCAGGTGATATACATGAGGAAGTGGATAATCATAACCGCATGCTCGACCGAATGGTATGTCTACTGCCATCATTTTTTTTTCTCCTTTTCCTTATTTCTCCCCATTGTTGCTCACATTGTCGTGGTCTGGTCCAGGGCAATGATATGGATTCATCTAGGGGAGTGCTGTCAGGAACCATGGATCGTTTTAAAATGGTAAGTAGTGGCTACTGGCCTAACAGTTCTATTACCGTCATGTTACTTCTTCCTGCAACTCTGATTCGCAAATTTGTCCTTATTTTGTTCATTCACGTCAAGAAGTGTCACGTGCTGTTTCGTGTCTATTAAAACAAAACCATAAACCATTTTCTTTTCCTTTTCTCACCTTCAGGTTTTCGAGACCAAATCAAGCCGGAGAATGTTTACGCTAGTGGCATCATTCGTGGTCCTTTTTCTTGTCATATACTATCTCACTAGGTAAACAATCCGTGATGAAATTGATACATCTACTATGCTTATGTTGAAAGCTGGAAAGAGAAACCTTTTATCTTTTCAATTTGTGATCAACGTTTATCATGTGCTTGTAAGATAGTCTGGCTTGTCTCTGTAAAGATATTGCAATGTATCAAATGGAGCTGAATACATAAAACGTGTCAAGTTTGTGCTGTCGGCCTCAAGTCATTGTTTGCTTCTCAACATTTTGCATATTATGCTCCCATTCTGTAGTTACATTGTGCGACTCAGCGTTTTGTGGTTTTTATACCTTCTTTATATATAAATGTATAAATATAAATATATATATATATATATATATTTGAGTTCTATATAGTAGCTGCAGCAAAGTTGATTAATGTTTGAAGCCTACATACCTTTACCGAGCTAATCCTTTTAAGTTCTAAGCCTGCTAAATAAATCCTGAATCTTGCTGACTTGGGGCTTTGGAACCTTTTTAGTTTTTAACGCTGTGAAAAGAGAGTAATAGACGATTCAAAGGAAGATAATTACTACCGGAAAGATGGCAAAATAACGGAACTGTTTTGGAAAAAAACTTTCGATGGATGTGAACGATTAGGAGTGGCAATTCGTGTCACGTGTCGTGTTTTGATCGTTTCTTTTTAAATTTACAGTCAACCCGAACACGACTTGGGACACGAATTTTTTTAAAAATTGCAATACAAACACGATACGATCACTTTACGAGTTAATACGATACGATCTGAAAATAACCCGTAACATGAAAGTGACCCGTGAACCCGAAATTGACACGAAAATTGTATATTTTTATTTAGTTTTTTACATATTAACAATAATTTAAAATTCATGATACACTAAATTACAATAACATCCATTAAAATTAAGCAAATAATAGTATAAGATTTTGAGTATAACTATCATGATATCACAAGTTCATAATAAAATTTAAAATATGAAATGAAAAATATATGTATTTTTTAGTTTTTTACGAGTTTCGTGTCGTATTCGGGTTAGGTGGGTCCAACCCGAAATTGACCCGTGTTTTTCGTGTCAATTTCAGGTCGACCCAATTCTGACCCGAACTTCTTTTTTCTCAACCCTAACCCATAAAATTCGTATCGTTTTCGAGTCGTGTCGTCGTGTTGTGACTCATATTGCCGGCCCTATGAACGACCATCCATTAACGTTTGGTTGGAGGATTCAAACCATGTGATTTGAACCATTTTCGCTTTACGTGAATTTTTTGTGAGAGAAAATATTGTAACGAACCATGAATCATGATTCGAATCAGGAAACGAATCCCTCTACCAAACATCCATTATACGTACATGTAGCCTTGTTCACGTTTGGTATTGGCCTTTCAGCGATATTGGTTTCTCTCCAACCGAATTGTGCTAATGTGGCAAAAATGCAAGAGTCAAGCTTTTCTGCCCCATCAATCTCGCAAAGATTATCGCCAAAAGATCGCAATTTGCAAATCTATTTGTAATTTATGCAACAGAGATGCAGTTATCTATGTGTGGGCACAAAAATTACAGAGGGCCCATTGGTTCTGACTTTCGAAATTGAGGGGGAGGGGGGGAATGTTTTTAATGGGTTCAAAAAACTTGCACCAGCCGGGAATCGAACCCGGGTCTGTACCGTGGCAGGGTACTATTCTACCACTAGACCACTGGTGCTTGCGCTCTCCTTTTCAATAAAATTATTTTTTCAAAATGGAAATTCAACTGTGGAGCAAGTTGAAACAAGGGTAATTCGTTTCATTGCTACTTTATAATAAAGTTGAGTTATTCTGAGCATATTAATGAGCTTTTCCCAGTGGCTTTTCGATCTCTAGATGTATATATGCAATCAAATTAGCTGGTTAGAACCAAGTAAGTAGAGTATTAACAATCAGTTGTTTTTCCCTGTTGTTGGTTTGGATTAATTTACAAAACATGCTCGTACACTTATATGCGGTTGACAAGTTTGATTCCACGCTCTTTACGTAAGAACCAAAGCTTTTCCCTTGCCAAAAGGGTAGTGATCAGTTAAACCACCTTTCCGCAAAACAAGAATTCGAAAAACGTGGGGAAAAAAGGAGAGAGAAACATGCGTTTGGCCGGCACGCGATAAATATGATCTTATGCATGCATATGCATTGTGCAAGGCCAATAGTTGAGGACCAAGTCAAGGACTTGTACATATACGTCACTGCAGATATCACAATTTTACAGTTTATTAAGTCCAGATACCATACATATGGTCAATCCAAGTCCAAGTTTTTTATTTTCTTTTGGGGGGTAATCAGAAGAGAAGAAGCTGAAATAGATTCATATATAGCTAGATTCCTCTACTACTCTTTATCTTGTTCCCGATTATAATTTGTCCATAAAATAATCTCAAAAGCAAGCCACCAGTACTACTGCAACTGTATATATAAATATATTGTTAGTACTTTGTGATCTCTTATAGATAAATACTGTATTAATATGACAGTACGTTAGTAACACATTGTTTTCTCTTAAAATAGAAATGCCATTAATAAAATATATAAGCAATATCTTACAGTTAACCACTACTGTTCATTTTCCTTGAGAGAAAAATGATTCAGAAAAAGAGTGAAGGAACTTGTAGATTTTTCCCCATTTTTGCTGCTTGAAAATGATCATAAACTAATTAAGTAACCTCACCAAAAAAGAGAACCTGGGAATTGTCACTACTATCCACACGATCAATAATCATGTTAATTTACCCACATATCGGTACAAAATACAATTAAATATTTGACTTTTTAATTAGACTAATAGGAAATCTTAATTAACATAATGGATAATAATATATTTTCCTTCACATTTCAGAGAGAACTGCTCTTAAAATATATTAATCTATACGGTGATCAGGCAAGACAGCAATCTATGCATGTATATGAATGATCGTATATGGCAAAGTATATCATCCAAGTGTACATTGATCAGACTCAATTTTAACAGTAAATGAGTATAATTTTTTCTAATGTTAAAGACATTACAGCATATAGAAGTTCATAACAATTTGCAAGTGTTACTGGATTCAGCTAGCAGCCTGATAAGCAACACGATCAGTCTATATATACATATACATATACATATACATATATATATATATATATATATATTTACATTTTTATAGACACACGCGCGCACGATGTTTGGGCCTTCAGAAACCTAATAAATGTAACGTGATGTAAGAGAATAGGAAATGCCGAACGGTAGTACTATGTACTTATGTTTTCCTTGAAAATGTCTTCTTGCACAACGTTGTTATTGGTTGCTTATTAGGCCATGATACCAAAGTAACTATATATATGTTTTGCCCGAACATATATACATTAATCAACAAACTGAAGAGCTATTTGGAACAGTTCCTTAACCAATTCACAATATTGGAAATATAAAATTATCACGTCTTTATGTAGCGTGGAAATGTTCCTAAAGTTAAGAAATTTGTGCCTTCTCATCAACAGTATTATGAGAAAGATGTTTCAATTTCATCATCATAAGCCATGCAAAGCCAAGCAAGATTACTTAGTTTTGGGCGAGTACCACTTGTGCAAGTGTAGGGAGGGGGTTGGGGGAAATAGAACTCCGATTATATATAAATACAAAAATAGAAACTTAGTTTAAGTAACATTCTCAAAGAACCCTAACTAAAAATTCAAGAGGCTAATACATGATAAGATGGGAGAGAGAAGACAATTTAGTACCTTAATTAATTTCCTTGGGAATCAAACATAGTTGAAGAACCACATATATAGTTGGTCTTCCATTAACGAAATCTTGCTCAAAAAACTTTCTTTCGTCCACTTTTTTCCCTTTTCTTCCAATCTTAGCTAGATGAATTGCCATGACCGGCTTCAGAACACATGCGCTAATACCTAGCTATTTGATATCATTATCACAAAATCCTTCCTCCTTCCCACAAAAGAAAAGCATGTAAAAGCGTAATTAACAATCATAAAACTGTACACAATACCAAACATATATATATATATATATATATATATATATAATATTAGAAGCTCTTACACATGTTTGAGATTTAAAGTACTACTATGGATCATAACCAAGTCGAAGCTCCAAATCCACTTCCACATGATCTTCTCTATGCAGACCACCACTTATTTTCTCTTTATCATGATGATATTCATGATGATCATGATCATCTTCTTGTTCCATACCGATTCCTAAGCTCAAAGTACTTCCTCTCCAATTCCCTCTCAACGGATCATAATAATTGGGATCATGATCCTGTGAATTATATTGATCTTGTGAGGGTTTCGGCACAGTAGTATTACCCAAAGCTGTATATGTGTGGTGATAATCTAGATGTACCTGATGATCAGGAGCTCTAGCGAAGTGCACCGGCGGGTAGCTTTGGATTGCAAAGAAGGATCTAAAACTTGCATAATTATCGTCCACTAATTTGCTCGAAATCACGGGATTATGGTTATGATGATGATCATCAGCCGTGTAATTAGGCCTGATGGGCTTGACTCTATCTTTGCGATGGATGTTCATGTGTCCACCCAAGGCTTGTGCGGTGGTGAAGCCTCTCTTGCAAAATGCGCACTCGTAGCACCTGCCTGACCCTAGATCGTCGTTTTGATCTGACCGATCAGTTTCGTCGCTACAGCTTTTCGTATCTGATTCAGCCATAATATTGTTAGGATAATACGAAGAAATTAAGGTAATTAATTAGCTTAATATTTACTACTGGAAAATGAGAGGAAGATTATAGGGAGAAGGAAGTAGTACTAATATAAAGAGGATGGTGGGTGTATTAGGAAATGAGTTTTGAAGAGTGGGAGAAAAGAGACAAATAAACGACATAGGCGTTATCTATGTGGGTTGTAGTGAAGGTGTTGTGAAAGAGATAAGTCTTAGAAGTTTTCTAAGGAAGCTATTAGGTTATAGCCGGCTTCTCTCTAGTGGATCTTTCTTTATAATTAGCAGACAAATTGTTTATTTTTCTCTTCCCTAATTTGTCTCCCGTTGGAGCTTTAATTTGGTGCTTTCTGATCTTGGTTCCCTTTGCGACCTCTCTCCTCTCATTATTATTAATATCATTTCTCTCATTAATTTTTATAATATAATGTTAATTGGTATTTGTATGTGTGTTCACAAAAGCATGGCCATTCAAATTTGGAGTTATTCCCCAACTTTCAAAGAAAATTTGGTGTAGTGACATACAATTTTTATTTTTATTTTTAGGTACAATTAATTCTTTTGCTGTTTTGCCTTCCCATAATTACGGCAAGCGAAATATATATTCCAACTACCCATATATGGGGATCCATTTTTTATTATCTGTTACATATATAGCTTTCAACTCTCCTAACATGTCCTTCCAAAAACAAAAAAAGTTACTACACCGTCATATACATTGATTCATTCCACAACTTCCGTAATTTCAAATTAATCAAGTGACCTTAGGAGTTACAGAAGTAGTAAATCATCTTATGCAATTTCAAATTAACTTAGCTAATTATCATATCACTTTTGTTTATGGCAAACAATATATATATATATATATATGGTATCAATTTAAAGAACCTAGCACTAGAACATGCACATTTTTGCCCTTATTTTTTATTTTATTTTTCTGCCATTTTGAAAATAAGGTGCTAAGTTCCTAAAAAAAAAAAAATAAAAAAAATAAAAAAAAAGAAAAAGAAAAAAGAGGTCCTAAGTCAAGGGTTAAAACGCGGCAATTGACGATTGTCCCTTAATTAATAATTATTAAGTCAATATTACCCGTCATAACCTTTGTAGTATTTGAACTGCCAAGGCAATTAGCACGGCATAGAAATAATTGGATGTGTTTTGTTAATCTTAGGTGAGAACACAAGTAGGCTTCGACAATCATGAAATATTATATATATATATATTTATATAATTAAGATATTGTACATAAAGTTAGCTGATTGATAGTGAGGAAAGATGAAGGAACCTTCCTTACATGATAATACAGCGAGCAAGAAATGGGCACTTTTGTAGCTTATTCTTGTCCTCAAGTCTAAGCCCGCTTTTTACACCATAATCAAAGGCCAATCTTTATGTCATTACAGTAGTCAACATCATTCTTAAATATATCATAAGTGATGACATTTGTGTCCCTCCCAAAAGGAGAAAGGAAAAAAAAAGAAAGAAAAGAAAAAAAGAAGGCAAATAGAATATTAATCATGGTTTTGAATAGCTCATAATTGATTCTGCTTTCTACCTAATGTATTTGTGTTATTCTGCATTCTTAATCTTTACGTATTATCTTCACGATCGGAAGTAATTATTATCTGCTGCATCAATGACTGATCTAGTTTTTAATCTTAAGATATGCAATCTAAACATTTATATCTTCAAAATTGGAGGCAAGCTAGATTTCGAAATTCCTCTCCAACTTTTTTTTTATTTTTATAAAAAACATATATATATATATATAATATTTTGTACCTAGAAACAAAGATATTATTTCTCTAATTAAAAGACATGCTCACGTCATTTGACATATACATGTATGTTATAATATGCATGCACACATACATATAAATACACACAACACATGTATGCATACATATAGTGCCGGGATATATATTGACAAATTTTCACTTGTGTATAATTGAAACGTAAGAATACTCTACTTTGATTTTAAAAGATAATGAGGTTGTTTTCTAGTTTTTTATTTTATTAAAATCTACCAGACCGTTATTCTATGTTTTTGTAATCACATAACATTACCCCTAATTAATATCAATCTGAGGCAAAGTTTGATCTTTTATAAAAAGTAATTTTAATATATTTTTAATAACTATCTCTCCATTTATATATATATATATATATATATTGTTAATTTTGATTAATTTTGACATTAGAAGTGGATTTTGCGTGATAGGAAAAAAAAGGGATCAATTACAAGTTTTTTGAAAAATACAAGAGTACGTTTTAAAAAACACGTCATAAAATAGCCGTGCATTTGGAAGGGAAAATTTTGTAATTCCTATGCATGGTCTCAGCAGACACAAACATTAACAAATATATATATATATACATATATATATATATATATACACATGTGTGTGTACGTTTATGTATACATATTTATACATGCGTATGCAGGCCAACATCCATTATATTAATGGAGAGGAAGTCAATAACGCATCATCAAGGTATTAGTATATGGCGCTGGCGGTGCCTCATCTTCTTCAAATAATATATATTGATGATTATCCCTGCAAACCAAAGAAAAAGGATTAATTACAAAAACCCTCCTTGAAATATACCCTTTGTAATATTTACTTTGCATGTAACATTTGTTCCTCTTAAATAATAAAATGTTAACAAAGAAAACTCATCCGTTAGTTTTTTTTTTTTTTTTTTTTTTTTTTTTTATATAAGAATAATTGACACATAATTTGTTATATTTTTGAGGTATTTTAGTAGCTCTATGGTTTAAAATTTATTTTAAATTTAAATATAATTTAGATTTAAACTTTTAATTATGATACGTCAATTATTGATTGAATGTAAGTTAACAATTTTATTAATTTTTTGGTAGAATAAAAAAATTTATGAAGTTTTTTTTTTGAATATTTAAATTTGTTTAAATTCAAATTAGATTTTAAACCATAAAATTATCAAAATACCTCAAAATAGTAAATTAAATATTAATTTGAGTTAAAAACCTAACATATGGAGCTTTTTTGTTAACATTTTATTGTTCAGAAAAACGGCTGTTATGTTTTAAAAATCATGGGGTAAAATGTTACAAGGGTATAATCAGGGGGCATTTTTGTAATTAATCCCCAAAAAAAGAATATGATAAGTATTTTGTTTTTCTTTAGAAGAAACTATCCATCTTCCGTCACCATTGATAAAAAAAAGCACATAATATATCCTTTTACTTACACGCTTTTAACAATGATATAACTACAATCTTTATTGAAAATGAACAAATAAATAAAAAACACTAATGTCCGTGCTGTAAAACAATAACCAATCATAGTATATATATTGAACAATATTATATATTGGGCGACAAAGTGGTTGATCAAAAGTACATATATATTGAACAGACAAAACATTAGTTCATCATCGACCAAATATAATATATTTAGACCACAATCGAATTTGTCTTTGGATATTAAGTAAATGTGCAAACAAAGTTCAAATTAAGGTAGAAATTGGCTATAGAGGCGTGGACCATGGCATGATCACGAATGACAACAACACGAGTGTTGCTAATACTGCTATGATCATTCACCCAATAATTCTAGCATCTCCAACTCTAGTCCGAATTACGTTTGAATATTGTAAATTATCATTCTTTTATTGATAGATATTTAAAAATTGTCATTTAAAAAAAAGTGTAACAAAGAAATTAATTCTGACATTTTGTGTATTTTAGAATTTGATACAGCTTTTTATACGTAATGTTTTCAATCTATTTATTTAACGAAGAAACTAATTTTGGTATATATATTTTTTAGTTTAACCACTAAATATGCACAACTCTTAAAATAAGGACTTCTAAATAAAGACACCATTAATCAGAGTTCCATACTTGTTTAGTTGTTATTTCTAATGCAACTCCTAACACGGCCTGTTGTATAAGCTAAACGACTAAACAAACTTCATTAGCACCAATTTTTGTCCTTAAGTTGGTGATTAAGGACATCGCTCAACTGCTGAAATTTTTAAGTGCTGAAGCAATAAAATTTAAATTATTTAATAGCTCAACTTCTTTACTAAATATTCACAAATCAAGTTCTAGAAGCAGAATCACTAGACGGCCAACTGGTCAAACCTTTTGGCTCAATCTAACAACTCCTCTCTCGGCCGGTTGGATCGACTACTTGGGATACATTACTACTCATTAAAAGAATTAACCCATATTTTATAATATTGGTTTTGATTCTCAAGTTTGTTTTTGAACTTTGACTGAGACTATATTTATAGGTTGATTCCAGTTACATTGATTCTTTTTGGGGACCATCAGAATTTCATATTTACTTATTTAGATGGTCAAGAGCTTTTGAAAAATCGATACAGAGAGAATTGACTTTCCCCAAGTGCTAGCTTGATCTTTTCTCCTTTTTTTTTGTTAAACATAATTAAAAATAAGTTAGTTATGCGTCCAATTTGTATATTATTCGATCGAAAATTTTTCGTTCAAAAAATATGTGTTTTTTTTTTTTTTTTTCTTTTATATCTTAGAAAAGAGGAAAACCTATAGCCTATATCCACTAATATCTATCCAAGATTAGCGAATTAATAAAGACATATCTCTAAGTGCATGATAAAATAATTAATAAAACAACGTATTATATATATTTCGAACTATACCAAATTTTCAAGGTCAGCTAGCATACATGTATATGTATATAAGCATTTCAATATATACCTTTTGATTTAATATAAATGATAATGAAGAAACTGATTTGCACTTAACTACTTTATTGACGAAAGAAAAAACTTGGTAATATTCATACAAGAAAAAACTAGGTAGTTTTCAAGGCTAATCTTTAAGTCAATTTATCTGTATGTTATATATATGTGTGTGTGTGTGTGTATGTGTATATATATGTTCCAATGGATAATCACATACTGTCTCTGTAGCACAGAAACATATATAAGGAAGATAGAACTTTGTGGATATACAGCGTACACGATAATATATATATATATATATATATGTATATACAGCATAACGTATTGGCACTAAGTTATTTACTTTTTCTACGATAGAAAAATATCAAGGACTTGAAATTAAGCAGGAATAACATGCAACTTTTCTTCAAGAACAAGGCACTTCTAATAAAATGCACAAAAAGAATAACTAACTAGCTATATATTAATTGGAATTGAATGATCAGAAAAGACGATGCTAAAGGAGCTTATAATTAGAAGAGTGGAAAAAAAGTACCCGCCTAAATGCCTGAGGATTGTGACGTTCGCCGACTAGCCTATATACTTTTTCCCATGCCCATCTTCTTTCACAATTTAAAACATATTTCTACTTTTGCAGGTTTTGTTTTGTAGGCCCCGAACTGTCCATTGTTTTTCTCCTTCAAACTTTACTTTATGTAACGTAACCTTTATTTGAACCTTCAAATTATCCTACATATGTGTGTGTTTGTGTGTGTGTGTGTATATATATATATATATGTATGTGTATATATATATATATATATATATATATATAAATACTGACCTCAAATATTCATCAATTGCCTTTCGGCATTAATCCACTCACAGAGCTCAGAGTTTGGTTTTTACGTTTTCTGTCATTTATCTTGTTTCGGTTGTCATTGGACAAATCACTATGTGGCCTTATAAGGAAAGGCCATCACGACCCAACTTTCTGGGGAACATGCAAAAGCTCGGATGTTGAGAAATGCATAAAAAAAAAAAAAATCCCATTAATTCTGGAGACCCAAACGTGACTTGGAACAGTAGATATTATCATATAAATGTATAGGACAAAAAACGTTGTCCGTCCAGAAAACATACATATAAACATGCACGACAAAGTTGAGATGTTTGTCCTAAATATAATTTCATGGAACACACAACGTACTCTCATGTCTTTCTACGTTTTGTATGATCTGCTTTTCTTCCGTGCTATAATTTCTATTTTTCCAAGAAAGTGACTAAGAAAGTAATAATGAGAACCGGCCCTGCAGAGTGCAGAGAGCGAGAGGGTTGAGAGCTAGAATGAGATCATGGGTTTCCCAAGATGGCAATATTTTGCAGTCTCAAGAGAACAATCACAATATATACATCACCAATTCATATCATCTTTTTCTATATCTCCAAGATCATGGTGATGCATATAAGATCTCTCAGACGTACGGATTCAACTATATAATTCAAACCTAAACGACAATCTTTAAACATTAATATGTATCAAGAGTAAAACATGAGAACAAAAAGGACCTAATCAATGTAGAATGAACAAATAAGTTATAATCGACTAGTAATTACAAGAGAAAACTAAAGAGGACGTAAGGATATGCAATGGCTAAGAAAACTCATATATGATCATATCAAATGTTTGATCATTAGGTACACACATAAATATTGAAAGAAAAATTAATTTCAACCTTCTAAAAACTGTCTTCTAGATGCGACGTAAGTAAGTGGCTAATTAGAAGGAAAATTATCAGATGAAAATAAAATTGGGCACGCGAAACATAATATGTATAAATATATATGCATATATATAGTAACTAGAGATGGATAATAAGCTATCATTCAAGCTGAGAACACAAATATAAATATAGTCTAGTAATTTTATCTATCATACCCTAGAAGTAACCAAGTCGAAGCTCCAAATCCACCCCCTCGTTTTGATCTTTGAGCAATCCCGTCTCCAAGTCAAACGTAATATTAACGTTTTCTGTCTTGAAAGCCTTGAAATAGTCAGCTTTTTGGGAGAAACGACCTTCCAGATCTCCATCCTCAAAAACGGGTGCTTTCATGCTTTTAGTTGTCGTATCCCTCAAAGGAACAGCACTACTGCAGCTCCGAGGAAAGTCGAATATCGTCTTCCTATCTTTTTCTGTTGAAGCTAAGGGATGATCAGGTAAAGACAAAGAAGCTGTAGGAGGAGAAAGCATTGAATGAGATGCGTAATGTTGTGGTAAAAACTTAGCTGAAAGAGTTGCTGATGATGATGATAATGATGGTGATGATGATAGTGAAGAAAACTTATTAGGGCTAGGGTTATAACATGATTCCGCAACGGTACTTAAAGGCGAGAACAATCTCAATCTAGCTCTCTCTCTCCTATGAACATTCATGTGACCACCAAGAGCTTGAGCAGACTTAAATTGCCTCTTGCAAAAGTTACATGAATAATTCTTCACAGCCCAAGGAATTTCACATGGATTCGAAGCGCTCATCATGAAGTCGGTGCAGTTCCATTTTTCCTTGATGATCTTGCCAATGGCGCTCAAGTTGGGCCTCTCCATGGCGCTTTTGCTCCGGTTTCTGATGAGGGCAAGTATATCTGGCTAGCTAGATCTTACAGCTTGAAAGTAGAGATGGATCTATAGAGAGAGAAGAGAGTGGATGGGGAGAGGAGTATTACTGCTTCTATATTTGGATACCACTTTGAGAAAATAAAGGTACAATCTTAAAAAGCTAGTTTTTACTTTTTGCCGATTTGAGGAGAGAACGAGCAGATGTTTATTACAATATATTGAAAGACGACTTAGTGTCCAGTCACTTCAGACAACATGGGGAACTAGCTACCTCTGTCGTGTATATATATATATATATATATACATATATATAACAATTGTAGCTAAGAATTTGTGTGTGTGTGTATGTTGTTTGGCGAATGGTGTGCCAGTTTATGTACTAGATTGCACAGAAAGGCATATTTCTAAAGAATAAACTTATGCCACTTATTATACGGGTAATTCACTCACTACATGGTTATCTGAGTACGCCACCTTCCATTCTTTCTTATAATATAGTCCTCCTCTTTGGAAAATAAAAAAAAAGTTATCTCTATTCTGATCAGGACGAAGGATTAAAACTATGGGCAACTTGAAGACAGAAGAAGCACACTTGAGTAAATGTAGGTGTGATGTATGTATATTACTACTTGGTCTATAATAATTGCATGTATGTCTTCTTCTTAATCCTCCTTTTTTCTTACTCCTACAATAATAGGAATGCGTGATCTTAAAAGAACATTTCATAATATTACAAGTACCAAGTAAGCGAGTGATATAAGGGCTACTGTGGCCAAACTTATATGCTTAAGATGAGGTCATAGTTCATTCTACGTGTACACTTTTGTAGGTCATGTTGAAGGTATTTGTGCATTACTAAAAAAAAAAAAAAAGTTGGAAATTCAAGTTTTGTAGTCATCATTTTGATTGGCGCAAGAAAAATGGCAAGTAGAGTCGTATAAATTACCGTCTAGGCATAAAAATTGGTGGATCAAAAACATAGATATCATCCTTTCAATAAAAAAAACAAAAACATGGATATCATGATTTTGTTTTTGAACTATTAATCTAATAGATCATTTAAGTTCACGAAGCATCATGCTGCTCAATTTACATCGTTAAAGTCACTGGCATGATAAAAAGTACGGATCCAGATGAATGAACTTGTAGGGAGGCCTTGGGAAAAGTTTGGAAAAATTTTTTTTTTTTTTTTTTTTTTTTTTTTTTTTTTTTTTTCAGTTTTCTCTCATGGCCAATTATAAAACAAAAGCTGTCATCATAATAGATTCAGAAGACAAAAATACAGTACTAACGTACAATTCACTACACTAGACATCTGTTAATGAACCTACGATGCTCTCGTGAGGACATGTGATAGTACATTCAAATCTAGGTGTCTACCCTGTGGTGCCAAAATGGGCAAATGTTTTTCTAAAGCTAGCCTCTAATTGAGCAAGAAAGAAGAAATAATTACATCAGTTTCTATCAGAAATAGTCATCAAAAGCCCCCTCCTTGTCACTTTCAGATCCTGTCCAAAGAGAAGAAAGAATATATATAAGACAATATCTTTATCTAGTCTAGAATGTAATATGCGAGAAAATAAATTGAAGCACGGAATGAATTTCTTCTCATTGTAAAAATATGGAAGTTCATGTTTTATGGATTATATATTGGATAAACAGAGCTGTGAATCTCTCTCTCTCTCTCTCTCTCTCTGTTTTTTTTTTTCAACAACATAGTATGAGATCAATTACAAGCTGAACTGACCTGAAACGTCACCTAATGAAATATCCTGAACTGCCAAGTGGAAAGAGTTCTGAATGGGAGAAGAGCCCGCTGAAGTTTGGTACGGAATGGAAAAGGTGAAATCTGAGTCGGTAAACGAATATTCTGAGCTACTCGAAGTGTCTTCAACCTCCTTATGACTAGCAGCTTGCTCGGATGCTGAACTTGATTTTGATGCAGTATGCAATATCATTTTCAGCTCTGAAAATTGGCTTGACATGAAATGTATCATCCTAGACACACTAGATCAGATCTACAATTAAAAAGTGATTCTGACATATTTCAAAACAGAATTATCGTAAATGTGCAACCGCATGTTTAAACAATAAACCATAGGGAAACCCTCTTAGTATTTGCTTGTATTAGCATGAATTTTTCATAATGTATCTCGCATGCTTGAAGGTGCTTGTGCTTTACGTCTACTTCAGTTTCTTGTTTTCTAGAAAGGATTTGTCATTGCATGCACAAAATCCTAGGAAGCAGATATATACACATGCTTTGTTTTCTTTGCAGTTATCTTTGTGCACGGGTTTGCTGCTAGAAATAGGCCCGAGTATATTTTACGAGTAAATGGAGATTGTAGTCACTTAAATTCGATTGGAGAACCATATAATAGCTTTGACCCAAAGCGCAGTCAAATTTTAACCCTTTGACCCAAAGGGCAAAGCCTCTTTTGTTCATGTTTGGGAGATTTGGGATTAAATGAGTCTCCTTGACCCAAAAGGCCAACCAAATCTTATTTCTTTGTGTGAAACAGAAATAACGTTCGGTTCTCTTCTAGCACATTCTAGTAGAAAGTGAAGATGAAAGTTCTCAAAAAGAGTTTCATCCTTAAAGAAGAAAGTGCCAATACTACCTGTTCAAAGAGTCCTGGAGTTTATGAACTCTTCTTTCACTTTCTTCTAATTTCCTAAGTCTTTCCTCACTTGATTCCTGCGCTTTTGCATATTTCATTTCATAATCATCAGTTCGTTGTCTTTCTGCATGCAGCATGGCCTGTTTAACAAGAGTATAAGTTACGTATGAACTTGAAAACAGCAAGGCAAAAGTTAAGGTCGGTAAAATAATAATTGGCATAATCATGCAACCATTAACTGTGGCTATAGCAATTTGAGTCAAGCGCAAAACGCACAAAGAGTGCAAAAAAGCAGGATTGAAATAGAATACTCCCGTCTAGTCTGCTAGATAAATGTGAACTTGTTGAAAATAACATAACTAGTGGAAATTAAAAAAAAAAAAAAAATCTGGTCTACACGACAATTATCAAACCCCCAAGCCCGACATACTTTGCATCTAACCAATCGCTCTAAAACCTCCAACCATTTTGTACGAGCTTCTGCTACTATAGTACCCATGATTATGCATACCTAAGGGCATTTTCCCCTTTTCTTTCACTTTTTTTGTAATTGCATCATACACCTAAGATTAAAATGTGTAGGATCACCACGCACCTTAAGAAAGAAGATGAGACATTTAGGGTGTTCATAGTTTATCGTTAAAGAGCTTTGAGTTCAATCTTTACTACCTCCAAACGTTTGACTTCAGCAGTGAGGGTCTCGATTTTTCCAGCATCGCCAGGACTAGAGGGTTCTTTGATAACTGGACAAGATGCTTCAATTTCTCGCTGAGCAACCTCACATTCAAACAGAAAATCCGTTTCTTCACCTTTACTAGGATAAGATTGCAGGGGAGGCCGCAATACTGTTTCCTGTTTTCCTTTCGCTTCTTCCAAGTCATCTGGCTATAAACATTTTTACTTCCGTTAAGAATTCTTGACAGAAACTACATAATGCTGCTTCTAGCCTAACTATATGTCCACCTTGATTTGATAACAGTAAGTTTCAACTAAAGGACTTGACACGTCATTTACTCCCGTCAAATATTTCATACCTCCTACTACTATACTAGAATTTCTCTGGAGTCGGTTAATGATTTTATTTGTTTTTGTTTTACTATATCCTTGCAAAGAAACTCTAGTTTATAGCCTTGACGTCAATAGATTAATGTCATGACAAGCAGAAGGAAATAGATAGCTTCCCAAGTAGGAGGCGTTCAGCAAAAGGGAAGCTAATCGTAATAACAGACATGTTACTTTTAAAGTTCCTAAATGATAATTAGTATATGAATGCAATACACTAATGCCAACTGAAAAATAATTGCCCAAAATACTGCTGATGCCTACCGTCTGCCGTTTGCTAAAATCACTATGGGCACTTCTGCCCCTCCATCGGCATTGATAAATGGTTGATACTCTTTTGAGCTTCTGATAATCTGAAAAAGCTCTATAACGATGCCAAGAAGCCTGCTTTTATCTTTTTGTCATTCATCGAGAACGTGAAAAACAATAAAGTTAATGACAAAATATATAAGCTGGGTAATCACCTGAAGAATAACTGCTGCCTTAGATTGCCTTCTATATCTAAAATCATCACGAGAAACCATTGCCCGTAGACCAGTCTGCAATACAATTGCAGATGACTTGATTCTATGGAAGTCCTTTCTGGCCACACATCTGCGTAGATTCTTCTGAATTTTAACTGCAGCGGCCTCTCTTTTTCTTTTGTTATATAATTTGCGAGCCAGTTCTCCTAGAAGGTCAAACAATAAATGAGTTCGGGCATATTGTATGCAACCAAAGCCTTCTAAATATATGCAAAAAATAAAAATAAAAATAAAAAATTCCAGGGAAACAATACTATTCAAATTATTCCTCATTTGTATATCTCCATGGAAACTATTCCTTTATTTACGGACTCACCTCTCCAAAAGGCTTGTACACGAATTGAGGCCTTCCGCATAGAAACAAACCTTTTACGAGCAATTCTAGTTTTTGTCTTCAGTTGAATAACCTTAGCGGAATTGCCAAGTATTTCTGTCCTCCATGCATCTAGCTCAGCCATCTGACCAGCTCTTAGGAAAACCTTCGTTTTCCCTATCTGCAAAACCATTTAAAGTTTATTAGCAATAAATGGAACTTGAAAAACAAAGGTGAATCAATACACTATTTAATTAAAGAAAACTTGGCTCCTTTAACCATACAGCAGTTGTACTTTAAAATTTTCTTGCCAAGAGTTGCATTCACGATTGAAGCCCACAAACATCTCCAGAAAATAAAACTATGAATACTATGATTGTCAACTTGAGCATAAACATAAAGTAGTTGTTTCACCTGATAACCTGTAAGCCCCATCTTGTCTAGAATTTTTTCACATGCAACCTTCTCATCACAGCTGCATAAAGTGTTTTTAAGTTTGAGATTAATCATAGCCATCAAACCATGAGAGATAAGTGAAACCACCAATGAAGTAAAACCTTGAAGATGAAAAGGTAAACAAAAGTGACAGTCGTTTTATTTTCCAATTAACTTGAGCATAAGTGATACTTACTGCCCTTTTAAAACCTCTGGTGCCAGGATGCCAAATCGAGTTAAAAATTGAAGAAAACTCCTGTAGGTAGGGTATCCAGAACATTTTACTCGGACGGCTTCCAGGACACCCTGTGAAATTTCCAACGAGCGTGAATGCACAAGCAACCCTAGATAAGGTAAAGTAGAACACAGGTCCAACTGTACTTACACCTGATCGTAGTTGTTGCATGACGCTAGTATTATCAAAAATTCCAGGGCTTAAAAGATTATTTGGCTTAACACATCTAATATAGTGGGGCTCTGTAGAGTTTAATATTTCCATCAATTGTTGTAGTTGTAGCTGCATGCATAAGAGGAAGTCAGAATATAAGGTTTTATCTGTAGGCAGATCAGTTCATCATGTATAACAACTTGATAATAATTTCAGGTCACTCTCCATGATAAACAAGATGATAGAGCAGAAGATACCTTAAAGCGAGAACCAATAGATGAGAACTTGGAATTTTTCCCTGCCTCCTCAGAAAGAGGAGGAAAAAGGCCAGCTACGAAAGAGCATTTGGAAGAACTCAACAAATCTTGATGCTCAGGAACAACATAATCTTTGTTTTTGTCTAGAAATAGGTCAGACTTATATTGAACCTGGAAGAAGCGCATCAAGCAACAAAAATTTCAATGGACTCCCACTTTGGAGAGCAATAAGAGTTTACAGCAAAATTCAGGAACTAAGGTCACCTCTCCTGCATAATGCAAAATAGAGAAATCTGAACGAGCCAATTTTGGCTTCACAAAGCGCTTATGATCTTTGAATATCTGATAAAGCTTTTGCGAAAATGTTTCATGCGTTGACTTTGGAAACATACTGCAAACACACATCACCCAAGTAAGCAAAATTGAAGTTTTGAAGAAAGTGCATATTACCACCCTTACATTCATGGAAAGGATTTGATTATGTGTCATTATGTTACTTGTTTGTCAAAAAATTTCATAAGATAAAAACAGAGTAAAATTGCCAATCGTCCACTCAAAATTGAAGTTCATCAGAAATACAAGTAAAAAGAATGAGAAGAGGATTTAAAAAGAAATCAACATTAACACTAAGATACCGCATATAAAAAGAGATTATCATTTTTTTTCAATTTCTCAGTGAACAACCACTCGAAATACAAATTTACCACAAACTAAGAGTTGGATGAAAAAAAGGGGTGGTGTAATCACGTGTATGTACACTAAGATCCCTGTAACAATGACAAACAAGGAGAAGCTATCATACCAAGCTTCATCAAGCAGAGCGATAATTCCACCTGGTTTCTACAAAACAGAAATGAACAGAGAGATATTATAAGAACTGTAATTCACAAGATCGCTTGTTGATAAACTTGATTACGGGATAAGAATGTCATACCCTTGAAGATAAACATAATACTAGGGGATCGTAATGTAAAAATGCGTGCCTCTAAATCTAGATTAACTATTAAACTAAATAATTGAGAAGATGTTGTGTGTTCTTCTGCACCGTAGGTATTTTTCTGGAATACCATTGTACACTTTTACATGCCTAAAACTTTTAAAATCATTGTCTTGATATTTTAAAGTACTAACCTCTACAGTAAGGAAGGTAACACTTAATTTGCAATCAAGTTCTGCTTGAGGAACTTTATCAACAAGCGTTTCTTGCTTTTAGGTTTGCTAATACATTTAACAAAGAAGAATGATAACAAAACAAAGTACCAGACAAGCTGAAAACATCTCACAGAGAGAGCATGAAATAGAGGGTAAAAAAGACCTTTTCAATGAGATCCAATACATCCTGATTATCAATAAAATCTATGTAGCTCCAATCAATTTCCTCTCTTGTGTACTTCTCTTGCTCCATCTTGAACACATGCTGAATGCACAGATAACACTTAGATTGTACATTCAAACGAACGAGTTACAGCTGAAGTTGTCAAGTATGACTAACCTCATACCTGGTTGAAATGCTGTTGCAGCTTTTCATTCGTGAAATTAATACAAAACTGCTCAAAACTGTACGAGATGAAATATAAAAAGTCAAATTAATAGAATAATAACGTGGCTTCTCATAAAAATGACATCGTTAAATCTTCATCTGCAAGTAATCCTTTAGGATAGGTAAGGGAAAAAAGGCTCTAAAGTGTCCTGATATTAATAAAATTTCAAAGGTATCCAGAGGACTCCGTAAGTAGTTTGTGGTAAAAAAGGCAAGAACTTCAAGCAACCAAGTATAGATGCCGCTAGGTCTTCCAACGTATATGTATATAGCTAGATGGTTTTCCCGGTATGTGCATGTACAGCACAAATAAACAGAAATGTGCATAGAAATATAATTATTCAAATGACACCAAGATATCATCTTTTCCGTGTCACCTATTATTTTTGAAGCTTTCAAAACCATAGATATCAAGGACACCGATCAGACAATTCGAGCTAGGGTCTGGTCCAATGGAGACATTAATTTTATCCACCAACCTGACGATAATAAAACATTGCATCCACAAATTATTTTCCATGGGATAAGTAAGTCTCCAAGTAACAAATTCAGAAAGATGGTACAGTACCAGTCAAACAAACGGGAATATAGTGTCTTGGCTAAACCATCCCTGCTTACTCTAGCACCATGAGAATCAAGGCTCCTCTCAATAATTTCTTCTGGAGTAATCATTGCACGCTTACAGAGAGCATTTTCCAGTACATGAGGATCACACCTATATATAGGAACAATAAAATGACACTGGTCATTTTAAGAACAAGAAGAATAACAAAGATAATAAACACAGAAAAGCTAAAAGACACACATGAGAAGTTCTGCTGCCATTTGAAGATGGAATAAGGATAGTTCATCTTCAACAGCTGCTGAATCATTATCTTCTCCCTTCGAAAAATCAATATTACCGAGATGAAGAATTGCAGCCACCACTCTGAAAACTGAGTCCTGAGAGAGTCAGAGATTATTCATAGATTACTTGAATTGATGACTAACAAGGAAAGTGACGATGTTCAAATTCAGAGGCCATACCTGTTCTTTTTCACTTATTCCAACAATATCCATGGCTCTCCTAGTGGTGAGATAATCATGAGCATCACTTACACCTTCCAGTTCATAGCAATTAGATTGATTAAGATAGTGAAACGACCTAGGATTCCCCAACTTATATCTCTCCCTCTCCTGATAAAACCTAAATTTGTCAACTGAAATATATGAAATTTATCAGGACTACTCAATAAAATAGAGAAGAGGGCCAACTACCTGAGGAGGAGCGGCACACAGAAGATAAAAGCAATGGTAGTTACGTTCGGGATCTGAAATTTGGCAAACACGAGATCTTTCAAGAAGATAAGTTCTAACTGCTGCCCCTGATATTCGACCCAACTTGTCAAATTGGATCTCCACAAATTTCCCAAAACGGCTGCAATAATATATCCAGGAGATCAGTGTCTACAGACTTTTGACATGTCTTGAAAATTAACCATCTCTTACTAAAATGCAATATTCTATAAACAATGAAAAATAACCTTGAGGGGAAAAAAAATAAAATAAAAGCAACAAAGAAAAAAAATCCATCTGAAAAAAATTTTCACCTGGAATTATTATTTCTACTAGTTTTAGCGTTGCCAAATGCTTCGAGAACCGGATTCGACTGCACCGTATCCATGCGAATAGCAAGAACGCATTACATCAGATGCATACATCCAATTTTCAAGTGCAAGAGTCATAAAAACTTGAGCCAAAGTAACAGCCTCAGCGCATTTACTTGGCTCTTGACTTGGTATATGAGGCTTTCAAAATATAAGATGATTGCTATGATTAACTAATGGTCAGATATCCAGCTTACTTCTAAAACTTGTTGTTCCACAGTTCTTCCTTCGGCTGCAGAATGGCCACCCAAGAAGGCAAGGTAGCGCATAAGCATTTTAGTTGTCTCGGTCTTACCAGCCCCGCTTTCACCGCTTACTAGAACAGAGTTGCTTTTTCCCTCCTTCATCATTTCCCTGATCAAGCTTACGCAGTTTAACTTTCCAATCCACATCATTTCTAAATCGAAAGGAAAAGGAAAAAAAAAAAGAAAAAAAAAAGATAATAACGGAACAATGACAAGTTCACCTGTATGCAGCATCGGCTATGGCAAATACATGAGGACTCAGTTTTCCAAGTGGAATTCCCTTGTACAGTTCCATCGTGAAAGCATCATATAGCTGTGGGAGGCTTTGAAACGGATTTATGGCAATGAGAATGTTCCCGGTATAAGTCTGCCATGATGTCAAACCATTATAATAATACCAGCTACTGTTGTAATGATTCTCCTACTCGACAGAAACGGTTTCTCGAACAGAAAACGGGAATAGAATAGTCTTACATAAATTTCATTCATCTCAAATCTGGTGGCTAGATTATGCAGCACTCCAGGCTCATGTAAATAGGATAGCTTGGTCATGTCATCCCCTCCATCTGCAAAAGTTTCCGCATCTTTTGGATATATTTTTGAAACTTTTGCAACAATCTGTGAAAAAAATGAAAAGAAATTACGTAAGCTTATAATAAAGGATGTGAAAAATATAAAACAAAATCTTTCTTACAAGATGGGAGTGACAGTAAAAGGCTTTGAATAATCGGTTTCAAACAGTTGCGCAGATAAAAGACACTTGATGAAAATGAAAGAAAGAATAAGGGAAAAAGATAAGAACTTTAATACCAAATTTCCATTGCTAGTTAGAATTTCAGCATCTTCTCCATTAATATTCACAACTTGTCCATCAACCCAAACTAATTCCGGGTCTCCAACCCAGACATGAGAACCCACAACAATAGTATCCACCGGTATTCCCTGCATCATACACAAAATTAAAGCACAAAATTACACGTAAATTTTGGATCTAAATTTGATTTAAAAAAATGAAAAGAAAGCTCCGATCCAAAAATCAAGACTATAAATTTTAGAACCGCATTGTCTATATAAACCGAATAGGAATTAGATTGTAAAATTAGTCGCACCATTTTGATGGAGAATCAAAGGGAAGGCGAGAAACGCAGATTTTCTTCTTCTTCGATTGAATTAAAGTCCATTTACCATAATAAATCGATCGCGAGCTCTCCAGAGAAATTCGAAGGAAAAGGAATTTGGAATAGAAAATGAAAGAGAAAAAGAAAGCGGAAAAGGTGAAAGGTAATTGGAGAGGTGGAAGAAGGGCCTCCAATTTCGCCATTTTTGTGGTTCTACTTCTCTCTTTCTCTGTGTTCGCACTTGGCGCCCTACTCCTACTCCCACTCCCGGTTAGCCGTTAGCGGGAAGAAAAGAGGGGCGCTAGCTATAAATAACTCCCTTAAAACGACAAAAATGTAAAAAAAAAAAACCGACATCAACCTCGAAGTCCGACAACCTGATAAAACGACAATAAACGACAGGAAGTAAACACGAAAAATTTCGAATAGTTGCAAGCGTTTTTTGTCGCACGTATTTCGAAACACATGTCGGTCAAGCAAAAACGACATAACTTTTTTGTGTCGTTTGAACCTAAAACGACATAAAGTGTTGCGTTCTGAATTCTGATCACGAAAGCGGAGTTTGCAGACGGTTTAAAAAAGAAAGCATTGACTCCCATTTGGTAAATCCAAAGGAAAACCAAAGGAGAGCGATGACCCAAACTCTACCTTCTTCTTCTTCTTCTTCTTCTTCTTCTTCACCACCGATAGTACCACCGATCGGCGAAACCCTAACCCTAATTCCGGGCCTCCCAAACGACGTCGCTTCGCTGATTTTCTCCTTCATCTCCTACTCTCACCATGCCCGTCTCAAATGCACCTGCCGATCATGGAGGCTGTTCCTCTCCTCCAAAGCCCTAATTTCTCTCCGCCAGAGCCACCGGAACCTCTCCCACCTCCTCTGCATCTTCCCCCAAGACCCCGCCGTCACTTCCCCTTACCTCTTCGACCCCAAGACCCTCGCCTGGTGCCCTCTCCCTCCCATGCCCTGCAACCCCCACCGCTACGGCCTCTGCAACTTCGCCTCCGTCGCCCTCGGCCCCACCCTCTACGTCCTCGGAGGCTCCGTCTTCGACACCCGCTCCTTCCCTCTCGACCGCCCCTCGCCCTCCTCCGCGGCCTTCCGCTTCGATTTCCACACCTGGTCCTGGGACCGCCTCGCCCCGATGCTCGCGCCGCGCGGGAGCTTCGCTTGCGCTGCTGAGCCGAATTCTGCTCAGATCCTCGTCGCTGGCGGCGGCTCGCGCCACGCGCTGTTCGCGGCGGCCGGGAGCAGGATAAGCTCGGCCGAAAGGTACGATATTGAGAAGGACGAGTGGGTTTCCGTTGACGGATTACCGAGCTTTCGAGCCGGTTGCGTGGGATTCTTCGTTAGGGATGGGGAGGAGAGCGAGTTCTGGGTGATGGGCGGCTACGGCGAATCCAGGACGATATTGGGGGTGTTTCCGGTGGATGAGTATTACAGGGACGCTGTGGCTATGGAATTGAAGAACAGGAAATGGCGAGAGATTGGGGATATGTGGAATTCAGGGGAAAGGGTGAGACTTGGGAAGATCGTCGTTGTCGAGGATGAAGATCGTGGGCGTCCAGGGGTTTACATGCTCGATGGGAATGACATACTCAGGTAGCTATTTCAAAATCTGATTTCATTTTTTTTTTCTCTGTTACCATTTTTGGCCTGCCCTGTGTATTATCGTAGTAATTGGTCCCAGTTTGCTTGAAGTTAGTTGTTTAGTGTTAGACAGATTTAGCAAAGTTTCAAGCTTTTATATTTGCGAACTGCAACAGTGTTTGTTTTTAATTCTTTTTGTGCTGAAGCCAGCAGTTTTGAGGTTGTTAATTCGGTGTTGGTTTAGCCAGTGATTAGAGGTTCTTGTGGTCTTAATAAATGTTTAGATTTAGAAGAGAGCAATTTTTACTACCAATTTATTTATCGAGCTGAAAACACAATCCTTCTGCTTGCGTATTGGTGTGTTGATGAATTTAGTTAGGCCTTACTTAGCCCTTGAAGTCGAAGCACATGTAACAACCTAAGGCATGGGGTTTAGGGGACTAAGCTTTTCGACAGCCCCTCACCGTAAGGAGAATGACTAAGAGGGGTTAACTAAGCAATGAAAGCAGTTTATGGTTGGGGCATTTTATTGGAACATTTAAAAAGAAAGGATAATAACTTCGTCTCTTAGTTGCTATTAGGAATAGAAGCAGTAATTTTATGGTTTGCTGTTTTCAGAGGTGGTGTTCCGTCGTCATCTTTTTCCGGACCTGTTTAATTGATGGCTGTCACACTGCCTTTTAGAGAGTCTTGTATTAATTAGAAAAAGTTTGGTGGCACCTCATCTTAATGTGCAAGAACTCTTATGATAAAAGAATCTGTCTTATTTGGAAAGTAAATTCATTTTCTGTAATTACTAAATGATCTTTTTAGTCGCTTTCTCCAGCATGCATATTTAAATAGCTTATTTTGCAATTCTACAAGTATTATGTTTTAACTTAAATTTTAAATTGCTATAATACTAGTGCAAATGAACTTCTCCAAACATGAGTAGTGTTTCATGTTGTTTATAAGGAGAGGGAAATGTATGGTGTGTTTGGAACTCGTTCTAAAATGAATTTGTTTTTTGTATGAAAATGGAAATGAAAAGGTTTTCAATCTCAGACATAAATTATTTTTAAAAATGCGTTTAGTAATTTTATCAAGAGATTGTTTTCACTATAAAAAAAATCCATTAATGTCTCTCTCTGTGCTCGAGAGAAGAAAACAAGAGAAGAAAACAGAAACAAAAAATGAAAAATGACTAAAAGTCGTTTTTCATTTCTCTCCCATTTTACACTAAACTAAAAAAAAGTTTTCATTTCCGTTTTTTGTCTTTAATTGTGCCAAACAGGTGCGTTTGGAATTCGTTATAAAATGATTTTGTTTTTTGTATGAAAATAGAAATGAAAACGTTTTCAATCTCATGCAGAAATCATTTTTGAAAATGTGTTTGGTAGTTTTATCAAGAGATTGTTTTCAGTATAAAAAAACCCATTAATGTCTCTTTCTCTTTCTCTCTGCTTGAGAGAGGAGAAAACGAAAACAAAAAATGAAAAACGACTAAAAGTTGTTTTTCATTTCTCTCTCATTTTACACTAAACCAAAAAATCGTTTTCATTTCCGTTTTTTTTGTTTTTAATTGTGCCAAACGCTGTTCTAGAATCGTTTTCATTTTTTCGTTCTCAAAAAACGTGAAAAACAAAAACAAGAACAATTCCAAACACGGCATTTGTTAGGTGAAGAACCTCGATTCATCAAGTATCACCATTTTTAAGCGTCTATTTCTCTCTTCCTTAGCTGGAAGTATTTCAAGAATCGATGTTGGACATAGCCCAGAAGTTTGAGATGGTTCTGTGCTTAGAGCCTGAAATGAAATTTACAGAGGTAGGGAAGCCGGCCTGCAGATTTGTTGGTATCGGCTTTTATACTGTTTGAGTTTTGGTGCATAGTGGAATCTCCCAAGAATATATTTTCATGTAAAGCTGCACCCAAAAAAATAATTATAATAATAATAAATCTCATATAAAAAAAAATGAAATTGGGACGGAGGGAGCTCAGGTACTGAACATCAGCTTCTTTTTAGTCCTTTGTCTCCCTATTCAGAAAGTCAGCCCTGGAGTTTTGGTTCAGATTAGTGTAGGAATGCTAGTATTTGCCTATAATATACACCAAACTTAAGAAATTTGTTATAATTCTTGAACTGTGTGATCTTGCATTTTCTTAGTTGCAGTTTTATGTATCTTAATTTCAAACGTCCAGTCCAGTTTAACTATACTATGTGAATGGTCGTTAATGTGTACGCATCCATTCGATCCTTTAACGTGAGGGATTGCTTACCATGTTAGCAGCTTGAAATCTTGCATGCTATTTGACACTAAGTTCCAAGTCGCTTCTTTTGTATTGCTTTCACTTTATCATGAGCTCTCTCTAATGAGTTGCAGATATGATATGGCTTCAAATCGTTGGAGGGAAGAGTCACGTGTACCAAGGGAGGCACCTCTCAACTCATCATTTGGTTTTGTGGTATTGGATGGTGAGTTGCATGTAATTACCCTTAAGAGGGCTGTTGAATCCGTAGATACCCGCAGGTCGCGACAGCATAGTAAGAAGACAGGAATCTTGTACATTCAAATTTACAATCCAAAGAGGAAGACATGGAGATCTCTTATTACCAAGTCACCTTTCAACAGTTCCTTGGATTTCAATACAGCAGTTATGTGCGACATTCGTCTGTGATTTGTAAATCTCATTGTTTGTGTAGGAATATGATGCAAATTTGTACCGATACTAAGGGATGCGTACAGTTCTGTTCTTTGTTAGCAGATTGTATAGCATTATGTATATTTAGGTCAATAAGCTTCGGAGGACATATATTGTGGTGGTCGTTACCGAACAGAAGCACATATGCAGACTTATTATATCTTGCAAAACTCATGTAAAGTACTCTTTATCTTTGATTGATAACATTCTGTCTATAATTTTGCACTTATTTTAATATATAATAGATACATTTTGGACATTGATAAAGATTATTTGAAGAATACTATATGAATGGTTGTATAACGTTTGATTGTATCGAGATGAGATGGAGGAAATTAGATATTGAAATTTTACTTTTATGGGAACGAGATATTCCACTACTGATCTTGCTAACTAAATTAAATACCATCTTGCTCAAACCATTTTTTGCTTTCATATATATCATCAATTCTTCTTTTTGTTTTTGTTTTTGTTGCCCTTTAGTAGAAAGGGCAAAGCTTTCGGTAAGTTTTTTTTTTTGGGTCATTCAATTAAATTTAAATGGTTCGATTTATAAGTTGTGCATTTTACGCTACACAAGTAATCCCAATCATAGACTAGGTCTGAAATTTAATTAAATGGCTAAAAAACTTGTTCTAATAGGACAAAATAGCGTCTCCCCTATTGAAATTTTGTTTCGTTTTTTTTTTGTTTTGTTTTTTTTTTTTTTTTTTTTTCTCTTTATAATACCCTAGATTTTATAATGTAGTGAAGAACAAAGATTGGATGAAGACTAAGGTATAGCGATAAAATATAAATAAGTAAAGTAATTAAGAAAAAAAGCATACGTAGTAGTAGTATTGGCGTCATGACCTTGACATCTGACGTAGATTAGCATCCAAACTGACATGAAAAATCCAACGTATGAAGCTGTTTCCGTGTGTTCTCCATTGGGCGTACACGACCCACTTTTGAGTCCTCGATTCCAAACAAACGATTGAATCAAAATTTTGAAAATAAGAAACCATGAATATCGTGTAAGAGTCTCGTCACGCGCATGACAATATTGCATTAATACGAAGCTGCTCTGAAGCCAGGCCAACTCATGTTCAATGCAAAAAGTACTATATATATAATTAAAAAAATAACATATAATTAAGAAAATTAATCTCATATTGAAGAGGAACTAATTAATCAAACTGACCGCGTAAGATAATCAGCATACGAAGTCATTACTCCTTATAATTCGCAAGTACTCCAAAAACGAACGTCCTGTACAAAATACTGCTTAAGCGCTAGAATATTTCTGCATTAGCTGTTGAATTCAAAATTTATTTGATAACGTGCATAAGAATATTGTACACGATATTAGTAAAACTTAAAAGTCACTCATGGTCTATCATTAGAGTTATAAATTACAAGGAAAAAAAAAGTAAACTATTACCGGAAATGAACAGCAAGATTAATTATAATTTTTTGGTTGATTAGTTATATTTTGCATAACATGTAAATTCGGTAGTTGGTTGAAAATAATATGATGGTAGCGACTGTACAAGAATTATATCGAGTCAAGAAGATTAATTTGTATATATTTGTGCAAAAACTATATTATTATAATAATAATAATAATAATAATAATAATAATAATAATAATAATAATAATAATAATAATAATAATAATAATAATAACAATAATAATGCACCGCTTGTGTTAATGCACGTGATCTACAAGTTCACATAAAACAAAAACAAAAACAAAACAAAAAACAAAAAAACTTGACTTATTTTATTTGACCAGTTATTGATATATGCTTACACACAAATTTGTCAAAAGTCAAAATACTTGTATGCTTCTTCCCTCATAGTTTCCTTCCGTCTATTGGGCTAATTAATCGAAGTCAACCCTGCTAAATACGTGTATGGATCAGAATACACAGGAAAATACATGCAAATTCGTTGGTATATATAAATACCTCCTCCCCCTCCATAGCTTCCCTCACCTTTACAAATCCTATCTAGCTATATCTATAATAAACACAAATTATTTGCTTTCTATCCTTCTTCTCTCATATTAATATATAAATATATATACACAACAAAACTATATATATATATATATATATATATATACGTCAGTGCTAATACTACTTGACGTTATAGGCACTTCCCAAATTACAAAATGAGATTCGTAAACATGTTTGTTGTAGTAATGTTATTTGTTTGTGTGATGAGCATGCACTCATCCGAGGGTGGTAGAGTGTTGGAAGGTGCAAGCGTCTTTGAATCGCTGCAAAAGGGTCATAACCGTCCCTCTTCGCCCAACCCTGCAACCACAGCTTCAACCATTGACCAGATGAACTTTGCAGGCCGCCAGTACTCAGCGCCTCCTCCGTGCGCAAACTCCGATTCCATGGTCCGCTTTGGAGCGGCTGCAAGTCGTAAATGAAGCCAGGACTTTGTGATAATTCAGTAACCTTGATTATCATATTCCTAATTAATTAGGATGCCAAATGCTGTTCTTTCAATTTTTGTCTCAATAATAAATATTGGTGAAGAAACGCCATTAATGTAGCTGTCTCGTTAATTAATTTGTTTCATATATAAGGTTTGTTGTGTGTTTTACGGGTGGTTTATGTAAATATATGCTATACCTTGAGTCAGTGAAAAGAATTACAAGGTCAAAATAAAAATGGAATTATTGGGAGACCAAGCTGATCTTACTTTGCTTTTGCCAATTATCTACCTAATTAGGATTACTCTATATTTTTTTTTTTAAATGCCAGTTGCTCCTTTTTCAATTAAAAAATGAAAAGATCTTTTACTTTGCCTGTAAACAAATAAGATATTGAATTAATTAACCCCCATGCGTGTATTGGGTTTTATATATAATGTGAAATGGAACATGCTCCCTCTTAAACCCTTGCCAAATTAAACCCATCTTATCTCAGGTAGTTTGACCAAGTAATTATATGCATATTCTATAGTATAATTAATAGATGAATGAATAGGCTAAGCTATATTGTCTATAAAAATAAACAAATAACTAGACGTTTATGCTATATATACTATGCGGATGCTTGTTCGAATGAATAAGTATTATGTCCATGGTTATATTAATCCGCTTGTTCGAAACTTCGAGCAATTAGATATGAAATGCAATAAAAACGCCAAGGATAATATAATGCTTATGCCGATTTTCTGTTTTTTGTGTGTGTTATAACCTTCGGAGCCAACAAACGAAAGAATTAATATAGTACAATATATTCGCCGCAAAAAAAAAAAAAAAAGGGCAAAAGCTAATATAGTGCATGTTCTTTTATTTACCCCCGATCATTGATCATGCTCAGGATTAATACATTAAATAACACAGATTACCTGGAAAAACAAAACAAACAAAGCATAAGATTTCATTTAACGTATTAAATTAACCCTATGGCCATGACATACATCTCGTACAATCAGCACACAAAAAAAAAAAAATACAATATAATAAAAATATAACAATAAAATAGCGAGCACTAATAAGTTTCTCCTTATTCATCTTCAACATTTATTGCTTTTGGAAAAAGTGCAAAGAGTACGGACGCAACTTTCATGGACTAGGATTATAAGCTTCCCCAGTCCCTTGAGGGCGGTTGGTTTGAGCACGAGGAGGAGTGTCATGGCGTGGAAAGTGCTCCGACGGATCGATCCATGACGTAGGGACTTGCGGGTTAGGCGCAGAGGGAGGGTTTTGTCCCCTCTGGATGGATACTAACAAACGAGCATGATCTTGTTGGACGAGCTTTCGGCTTTTGTTGATGAAGACTCTACCTGCCTCTGTTGGATTCAAGTTGACGAGTACAAGAACAGTGGTGAGAAGCAAAAGAGAATAAATTATATGCCTCATTTTGTTGGAAAAGCTTTAAACTAACTATAGCAAACTTATTATAAGATATAGAAAGTAAATGTGATAAATAATATAATATTATTGAACAATATATTGGACTTGATGAGAATGAGTTTCTTCAGTGAATGACACAGTATATGTTGAAGAAATGAGGGAGGAGGTAAGAGGTTTTTATAGCGTACCAAAAACATAATATTCTATTACGGAAGTATTAATTTGTGACTAGCTCGCTAGACTTTTGAATTATGACTTTCGTGGTATACGGTTTGGAAATTTGATTGAACAAGTTAGTCATCTTTTTGCATTCAGTTATGATATTCCTCACAAAGTCCTCCGATGCTTAAAAAAAAAAAAGGATTTTCGTTCTATTTTTTTTTTCTTGAGCAACATGATTAGGGTATAGTCAGGCCGTCACCTGATAATAGCCTTTCAAACTAGCTACTTGGTATGTGCTAATTGTCCTCTCCATTAAAGAAAGGATGAAAATATATATATAATATATATATATATATATAAGATCCTCGGTTCACATTAAAATTTTTTGAATGAGGAGCTTGATGAAGCACAAAATTAGGAGTATATCTAAGCTAGATGATTAATTTTAGGATTCGTAAATCAATTATCAATGAATTCATGATTTACCAAGATCAATAATATTTTATCAGAAATCAATTAACAAATTACGAAAGTCAAATTTTTTTTTTTTATAAAAAGATAAGCTTTTAAATTTATTATTTTTTACATTATCTTCACGTGTCCAAAATGTGTGCAAATGTTGTGGAAGAGAAAAAAAAAAAAAAACAAAAAAAAACAAAGAAAAACTCCAATCCCCCAAATGCACGCGATCGAGACGGTCGCAGATTTTTTACTATATATCCCTCTTTATTTCCCGTTTTCTTCTGGACTAATCGGAGTCAACCTGCCCTAGCTATCACGTATGTAGAATTGGAAATTACATTCACATATTGGAAAATATATGGATATTGATCCCCATCTTCATCAAATTCTATATTTCCCCTCAGCCTTAGTGAATTTAGACAACAAATTTTTACTTTGTTTATTCTTCTCTTATAGCTCTTTTTTTTTTTTTAATAATATTTGAGTGGAGGCCGATTTGGGTTAAGATGTGAGTCTGAATAAGCGTCAATTTAGTTGAGATATACTCTATTTTTTTGAAGTCTTGAAGTAACTGTTGGTTATAAACAAATCCAATATGGTCTTATGATCATATTATATTAACC